AAAATCCTGCTAAAAAAATCTTCCTCTTTGACTGTGCTTTCTGTCACTGTATCCCTCCCCTATCTACTTGAGCATTCTACGCTGCCCACAAAAATCACTTGGAAGATGTTTTACATGAAACTTCCTGTTTAAGTGCAAGTCTCGTTATTGTCAACCTCGCTGACCTTGGCCCTTTAAAGTTGGAAAAACCTAGATAATCTCCAGAGAATACATGATACAATTAAATATGCAAAGACGCATGACCAGGTTTGTCATGTACAGTTGATCTGGAGGGAAATGGGACTACCATGGACAGTAATACATCACAGCAAAGCACGTCAAAATATTTTTCACAAGTGTATAATATAATCTCAATAACCACAAGTATTTCTTTCGTAGCATGCATTTCTAACTTCTTTTCCATTGCAAGTTAAAAAAAAGTATAGTCCACTTAAGAGTCTCAGAAACATAAATCAGCTTTCTAAGCATACTTGGAACAGTATACTCTGGTTTCTTTTCAAATCGTATCACATTTTGCTGTGTCATTTGCCTCTTGCGCAAAGTTGTTCTGCTCATCACTAAAAAGTATATTCCCAGTCCCTTCCATCACCCCACTTTTAAGGTAGGAACATTTTATGTATGGATAAAATACTTTTGGACACATATTAGTCCCCCGTGACTCAAAAATGTACTTTTCACACTGCAAGGCAACTACATGAAGAGGAAGCACAAAAAAAGTGCACAATCCCACTGCTACTGTCCTACATTTTCCCTCCACCTGTATCTCATCCCGCTGTTACATAGATCATTTGGAATTTCAAACCCATAGTTTGATGTATATTGTTGGAAGAGAAAATAAAATAAAAAATAATCCTTGCATTTGTACTACAACAACTTACATTTATATAGTGCGCTTCACGCAGGCTAGCACCTCAGAGCGCTTAACAGCAAATTTAGCACTGATCACCCGGAGAGGACATCTCAAAGTACTTCCCAGGATTTACTGTAGTGTGTAATGACTGTGCACTTTCAAAGTGAATGCCTACAAACTAACTTCAAGAAACAGTTCTCCCACTTTTTTTTCTGAGAACGTATATGATTTACAGCCGGGACATTGGGAACCTATGACTCCGCCAATGCTACTCTGAAACCAGACCAGTGTCACTTACCCTGTAAGCAAGCTCCTGGCCTAAATCTAGCACCTTCTCATGACTGAGGAATTGCTAGTATGAATCTACATACCATCATTCCAAGATGGCGTTAATTATTTATCTAATATACTGATCTGCAGATTTAGCAAGAAACATATTTAAGTTGAAACTTTTTAAATCTTGAACGCAGCTTTCACATTTTTTCTGGCAGCTCAGTGTTGCTAGTTAAGTGGGTACTGAACTCAAATGAAACTGTGAAGTAAATGACAGGATGGCAACTTGCCATATCATCCTTATCAGTCATAACTTTTCTGTACACATCGAGTTACTAATGCCTGGGACAGAGACTAAGGAAGCAGAAAAATGTAATGTCCACTTGTTAATAAACCTGTAGACCCAGCAAAATTGCACAGTGCACAAAGTTGGAATGCAGATTGCATTCAGAAATTCCCACCGTTCTTTGTGGTTACTGATAAATTGGCCACAGTGGAGCTCAAGTTATTGATCCTCCTAAGTTGACATGCAGTGCAATGACAGCCACCGTTGGCCTCTACCAGGACAGAAACAAGCATACCCATAGCAAGCCTGTAATCAAATCTCTGGGGTTGAGCTGACAATTAAAAGACAGGGTGTCTGCCTTATATCACCTGAGTCCTTTGGATGACAGCCTATAGCCATTACATGTATCCATTATTTTATTATCAACCATTTGAACTTCTTCATTAAACTGCAAGCAGCAACACTCAGTCCCAGGTGCTCTAGGCTATTTTTTGCTACATCAGTATTACTGCCCTAAATTTTTATTTTAATGGGTAAAAATCTTAGGCAAAAAAAGGCTTACTTGCATGGGTGAATGAGGAGCAGTCACAGCTGAAGTTGAACATCTTTATTGTTCAAACCATTCTCAACAAGACAGGATGACTATTTACAATCAGAATGTTCTCCACAGGCTGCTTCCTCATCTGCTCTTTTCATCACATTTAGATTTATTCCTCTAGGGTAACCTTAATAATTATGTACATACTGACTACATGATATCAAACAAGCAAAGCTAACTCTGTGTGAATGAAGTGCACCAACTATTTCATAGGTACAGGATAGTTGAGAAACAGAATACAGTATCTTCTGAACTGATCATACTGTGTGCATTTGCTAGCTGTCTTCACTGAATATAAATAGATGAATAGTCATGATGTGCCAATACACACCACAGAACAACAAAATGTGCAAAACAAGGGCCAGAGCCCTTTCCCCCCAACCCCAACCCATGTGTAGCACGATTGAAAGCAAGTCATCCTAGATTCACTCACATTCTTTTCAAATAAACCAAGAGGGAGGATGAAGCCTAGCAGCAAGCTGTATGCCCACCCTCAGTCAAAGAAAACCCCATCCTTTGGATGAAACGAGATACCGTCTGCCTATTCAGGTGAGCATTGAAGATCCCAGACTCAGAAAGAGAAGAGCGTTTGTCCCAACATTCTGGCTAACAATCCTGATAAATTGGTCATTCACTTCATGACCATTTCTGGGAATGGATGTACACAAATTGACTGTTGCGATTGCATGACAATATTTACCTGTGAATAGTTTTTAGATATCTTAACTTCATAAGTACTCTATTAAATGTAAGGATTTTCAAGTGTACGGTAATGAAGCAGAAGTGACAATATTTCAGCACACGCAACCCTTTCCCTACCGACTTAAGAATGCCAAACAGAACCATTTAGAACCCAATATTTTGGCTAAGGAATTTTAACCTATTTGAGCTTTGAACAAGAACCCACTGTTCAGTTTGGAGCTAAAAAATGTTCTTGCTCATTGCTTGAATTCTGTGTTGAAGATATCTCTGGCTATGACTATTCTACAGTTTCCAGGAATGGGGCACCTGCAGATTTTCAGCAGATTCAGTCTCTGTAAGCAAAAGCTTTCACTCTACATACTACGCTCAATTCGGTTATATTTACTTAAGGCACATCATCATTAAAGGTTTACTCAGAGTCATAAAAAAAAGTGATAACACAGCATTGCATGATAAAATGCCATCAGAACATACAAAAGAATACATTTCTATTATTGAAATACAAGTAAACTACTCACATCTGTTTTATACATCAATCCATAAGCACATGAAAACCTCAACAAATTACAATTCATCAAAACCAGTATACCATAAAGAAATTTAAGAAAGACATTCTTGGACCTTACAACCAATACATCTTATCAATAATAAAACATACTTTGGTGCATCAAAGGTTTATTTGCAATGGTGTCACACTCAAACTTTTATTATGGTTTTTGATCATTCCGCAGTCCCATACTCTTCCTTCCAGATCCAAACTCACACAACATCTTGATGCGGACGCCATTCTAAGAGGAAGCATTTCCAAAGAGGAAAAATACCCTCTCGCAGGCTGGTTTCAACTTTGTAAGATTAACCCCAAACTAGCTCGAGATAACATATGGCATACACCAAGCAGTAAAAACTTCTGATGCAGTTTTCTGTGGCTCCCACCTGGCAGTAGAAGTGTTCTCAGCAAACAGACAATTAATTCACTTCGACACCGATTTCAACACGTGTTTAAATTTAGCCCTCCAGAAAAAAAGGCAGGTGTGGGTGGGGGGTGGGGAGAGGAGTCAGGACAGCTAATGATTCCACATTAATATCAGTTTCTCCTCATATATTCCAGACGAGCTGTTATGTCTCGGTACAATCAGCAGTAATGGCAATAAATCATCACATTGTCCTATTGCTGCTTTGGATCTCTCCTCTCCCTCCTCCCATCCCATCATCCATCCAGGGTTTATGTTAGTCTTTCAAATTTGATGCATCATCTTTAGTCCTGCTGTTACTACTACTACTACTACTACTACTACTAACTAGTGCACTGCCCTCACTGCAAAGGCCTTAAGTAGCAGCCAAACCCACCAGACGGGATTGAAGCCACAACACAAAAGCGAAAAGGCCACTTTTAAACATTTATAAAACACCGCGTTTCTGCCTGAAAACAACCCAAGTCTCATAACTGAGTTAAAATGATGACGATGGTAATAATAATAACAATAATAATAATAATAATAATATCACCATATTGAAAGATCAGTCGCCCTGACAAGTCAACCATCTATCTATCTATCTCTCTCTCTCTATCTCTCTCTCTCTATCGGCCTCTTTTCAGACTGCAGCCCCCAAAAGAGGTTTAAAAAGTACTTCTTTAAAAATCAAACACAGTTGCCAATGTGTGTGAGAGAGAGAGAGAGGGGGAAGAGGGAGAAAACACGGTTGGATTGTAATAATTCATCAGAAACAACGGGCGATAATTTTCAACCCCCACACCCCCACCCCCACCGGGAACACCCCCACCCCCACACCCACCGGGAACACCCCCACCCCCCCCGGCGGTGCTGCTGGACAGTGGAGCAAAGCAGGTGAGAGGGAAGCCCTTTTTGCGCCTTCTCGCCGGCGGCGGCCTAACCCGAGCCCAGGAGCCACGAGCTTTCCTGGCGCCGCCAACCACATCCCTGTCGGGGGTGGGAGGGTTGAGTGGTGGGAGGGGGGAGGGTTGAGTGCTGGGTGGGTGGGTGGGAGGGAGGGGAGGCCTTGTCTGCCTTACCTCAGCTGCCAATAACTAGTTAATTTTTTTTAAAAAAAAGAGGGGGCTCGACTCGGGCGGCCCTGCGGCCTGGGCCTGCATGGTCACCCACTGGCCTGGCCTGGCCTCCCACCCCGGCCCGGCCCAGCCCGGCCCTCAGCGCCGCCTCCTCCCCCTCCTCCTCCAGCCCGCCCGCCCGCCCGCACGTTGACCCCCTACCGGGGGTGGTGGTGGGGGGTGGGGAGAAATCGGCTGCGTTTCGACTCAAAAACTCCCTCACCGTCTGCTCGGGGTCGATGTCGATGCGGAAGGTTTGCTGCTGCAGGGTCTTTAGCGTGATCTGCATCGTCTCCCGCTCGCCTCGCCTCGCTCGCGCGCTCTCTCTCTCTCTCGCCTCGCTCGCTCGCTCGCGCTCAACCGTCCGTCTCCCTCTTCGCAGCCGCTCAGTCACTCACTCGCACTCGGCGTCATGGCGTCAACGTACGTAACCCCTCCCCTCTCACGCGCATACGCAAGCCCCTGCCTCACCCGCCGCCTGCACCACCACCACCACCACACGCTCGCTCGCTCGATGGCGTCACAGCGTTAGCGCGCGTGACCTTCCTCCTCCCCCCCCCCCCACCCTCACGTACTCACGTACACACGCACGCCGAACCCGCCTGCACTACCATAAAGTGCCTCGTCATCACGCTCGGCCAATTTAGCCGCACGCACGGTACGCCACGCCATTGCGTCATCGCGCACCGACGTGGGGCTGGGGGAGGGCAGGGCCGGGCTGGAGCGCCACGTGGTTTGTCTCTTTGGCAGCTCAGGTGTGGGGGAAGTGGGGGGGGATGGGGGGGGGGGAGAGGAGACCCTTCTCCATCACAGCACTGGTAAACAGTAATACTCGCCCTCGCATTTGATCCGTATCGGCGCCTTATCACGTCGTCTAAATGCTTCGCAGCATATGTGTTTGGCGGGAGGGCAGGTTTGCAGGGCTGCGGGTGGGGGCGGGGGGTGCGGGGGCAGCTGCGAGGGGTGGGGGTGGGGAGAGAGCGAGGGGGGAGGGAGTGGGGGCCTTCGCCGCTTCCTCCCGTTCCTCCATCGAGGTCGGTCTCAAGACCTTTCTCTTTGACCGAGCCTTCACCCCCCCCCCACTCTCGACTCTCTACCCCCTCCTCGCTCGCTCCCTCCCTTCCCTCCCCTCACCCTGACCATTTCCCCCCTCCTCGCTCCCTCCCCTCCCCTCACCCTGACCATTTCCCCCCCCCCCCCAATGCTCGGGTCCTGACCCAACTGTCCAGCGCTTTGGGACGTCCTCCCGACGTGAAAGGCGCTCTATAAGTGGAATTTTGTTGTTGTTGTTGTTGTTGGAGGGGGGGAATGGGGGAGAGGGAGCATGGGTGAGGGGAGAGCGGGGGAAGGGAGAGGGAGGGTGGGGAGATGGGGAGGGGAGAGCAGGAGAGCGCAGTGGGGTGAGAGCGCGGGGGTGGGAGGGCGTAGAGGGGAGGGGGAGTAGTGGGATTGTTCTGGAAAATGCTCTTTTCAAAGAGCCGGCACAGACACGATGGCCCGGATGGCCTCTTTTCTGCGTGTGACGTGCAGGAACTGCGGCTGGGCTAAAGCGCAGCAAAATAGGAAACTGGAATGGAATTGCTGTACTTGCTTCCAGCACCCGGGAACCCCAACAGACAGAATCATTCCAGGATTTCACCCGAGGCAATAATCCAAAAAATGGGGAAACGGGAAGATATTCCCCTTCGGATAAGGTGCTGTTTACATAGGAACAGGAGGAAGCCGTTCAGCCCTTCGAGCCTGTTCCGCCATTTAATTAGATCATGGTTGATCTGTACCTCAACTAATCCTTTCAATTTCCCACTTTCTCTCCATATCCCTTTATATTCACTGTGGAATAGAACTTTCTCTTGTGTGCAAAGACCCTATTTCCTTACCATTAATCTCACAATGAGATAATGGTCTGCCTTTAAATCAATCAACACAAGGGTGTGGAGTCCTGTAGCTCAGTGGTTAGAGCACTCGCCTTGCAAGTTCAATTGCTTTGCCTGGGTTCAATTCCAGGCAGAGGGCGAAACCTTGGGCAAGTTTCCTTACTCCACACAGAGCCTAATAATAATCCCTCCAAAACAAAACAATAATCAATTGGTCATTTTCAATCCACGACTGTTCGTGGGACATTGCTGTGCGCAATTGGCTGCCGCGTTTGCCCACAAATATACAGTCAATTCACTTTACAGTCCATTCTGTGAAACGCTTTGAGATGTCGAGAAGACGTGAAAAGCGCTATATCAAATGCAAGGATTATTATTATTATCTATAAGGTGGTGTAACTAGACCTGATTCTTAAGTCATCTCACTCTAGGGTAATAGTTGTACTATTTCAGCTTGAAGTAACACTTTAATAATGGCTGCATTTTGCAATATTTTATGTGAAACAACATATTTACATTAAATTATGTAATACATCAAAATGCCACTTGGTGCCAGCAACCCCTCCTTTAATCCATCGCAGCTCCCTCACTAATGCAAGTATTTTTCAACAAAAGCTTAATAACATAACAATCACATTGAACGCCTGTGGATGGAGGAGAGGGTAAAAAAGCACTTTATGAGATCCTCTTTTAAGCACTCCGGCCCGCTACCCTGTGTGAGGGCGTCTCTACAAATGAAAGTTATTAAAGGTGCTACATCAAAGGATTATAATTAGCTTAAACGTCACACCGAGAAAACAGAAAAACCCACAAGAGCTTAAAAACAGGTATACATTTTTATTTAAACAAACCTTCTGTCGCTGGAAATACATTCAGTTAATACATAATTATTCAAAGGTGTGTTCTTTAAAAAAAAGTACCAAAAATAATTTAAAACCTCAGTTGAGTACAGTGATGTGTTACTGCATATTCCGATTATTATACACCAAGTCCTGATAAGTATGAGATGAAATGCTCTATCAGGTATTGATGTGAAGGTAGTCCTACATTGGTTAACCTCTTCACCAGCACCCATGTGTATGAAATGAAAGGCTCGTTATAGAACTACAGCGAGCACGGAGTTTTACTCTGCCAATTACTGAATGTTTTATTTAAATATTCGTTGCCTTCTCCATGCGTGTCAGTCAGAGGACAGTTTAGTACAAAAAGTTAAACCCCACTGTAACAAACTCTTGTGATCAGTCACCTTCAAAAGTGATTACACTTCCTCACCCAAATCAACCATTAAATTCAGTCTTAAGAGGTGTAGGAATAAACAGTGCACCACTACACCGCAGAACAAATAAGACTGTGTCAGAGTTTTCAGCAGACTGTCACCTCATGTTTGGTGTCAGGGAAAAGCGTATAATAGCTCCCTAAACTGCCTGGAGGCGCCGAACGAGACAAGACAATTTGGGGCAAGGTTTCTGCGCCTCTTAGTCCCCAGTAACAGTCGACTCATCTACAGAATGACGTTCGGTGAGGAGAGAGGAACTGCAGTAAGGATGGCCAGTGATCAACTAACAACCGGGTTCCTACTTACTTCTAGGTAAACAGAGGTTTGCCACAATCGGGGTCTGACTGGTATCACCCTGAAGACACTTTAAGTGAAGACTCTGAGGCTTAATGCTGGTGAAAAGGCTAAATTACAGTGTATTTCTCTCCATGATTGGATGCGGTTGGGAACATAAAAGAGAAACAGGGTTATCACAATTCATCTTTTTCTGGAACTGTATCTTCTGGGGCATCTTCCTCTTCTTCCTTCTTTTCTTCCTCTTCATCCTCCTCCTCCTCTTCCTCCTCCGCGTCCTCATCTTCATCACCATCCTCTTCCTCCTTACTTTTCTGTTCTTCCTCCTTGCGCTTTTCGCTTTCTTCTTTATCCTGAATCTCTTTCATCTTCTGCTCAGGCTCCTTTTGAAACAAAAGTAATGAATGACAACCGCTCGTTAGGAGTGCATCATCTCCACCCCCCCCCCCCCCCCCCAGGCCAAGATCCATAACGTCATTCATGCACCAAAAGTTTCATTTGGAACTAACAAAACTCCCCTCCCTTCCCCCAACTGAAGCAGGAAACCCCCGGTCTCATGGGGTTGCGGTGATGACGAGGGTAACAGGATCGCTCTGTTATTAGACTTACATTAGCACCTTTCCCATCAGGGGGATGTCTCAAAGTCTTCATAGGATATACTGTAAAGTGTGTGTGTTTTGTGGATGAATGGAGGGGTGGGGGGGTGAGTGAGTGAGTGAGGGAGGGAGGGGTGGAAGAGCTAGCACCAGCACGGATAGTCTCCTGAGCTCTACATATTCTATGACTCCACTAGTATCTGACTCTGCAGCAGTTGATTGCAAGGGACTTCAATAACCGCTGGACCCTCTATCACAATATCCCAAATCAAGATTCTTTACCTTGGTTTGTCCCCAGGTCTCCGAGCCAAACGTTTCAGCATATTTCTCGTCATCCGTGATGAGAAAATTGTCAAAAATGGTTCCCGATTTCACCTGCAAAGTAAGAATAAAGTGTTTGAACTGGTTACTTTTGCTGCCACGTAGGTGCTGGTTTCACAGATCCACAAGGATGCAATTTACCTGCAAATCTACTGCAAATCAGGCGCTTTTGTACTACACAATGGACAGGCAGATTGCAGTGAAGCGTAGTATGAAAGAGTTGTCCCATCTCACCAGAGATGTACTGGTTTCAGGAGTAATGCAATTTATCAAATGCAGGGGATTTATTCTCACGATGATTATGATTATCGTTCGTGCAATATAAGCTGCAAAACCTGGGTTTCCTCTAGTTTTGCACTCAAAGCTCTTGCGCTTTCCCGTGAATATTTTTTAATGGCATTGAAAAGCTGAGTGTAGGAGCCGCTCCTTAACAGTTATAAAGCACCAGATGGTGGAGCTGTGCACAGGAGGCAGTGGTATAGGGTGCAGAGCTCAGCTGTCATTGCTATTTGAAGCCAATTGGAATTCTCTTTGATCTAAACAAGCCTCCCATTACTGACCTGCCACAGATCCAGGCCTAGAACTCCGATGCTCTTGAAAGAGTAGATGTTCATGTCAGCAACGTAAGCAGGATTATCGATTTCAGGATGGACCCACACCCCCTTGTAGTTGGGGTTGTCGATCTGCTTTGGTTGCCATTCACCCTACATCAAAACAAGAAGCATTCATTATCACTCGGCACTGTGTTAGCAAGTTCCCAACACCTTTTTCAATTCCCCAGTCAGTGTTCCCCGAGGTGGAGGGATTTGGGGAGAGCATTCCAGAGAGCAGGAGTGTAGGGACTTAATTTTCCATTTGGAAGTATAACCTCATGCCTTCAGATGACGACATCAAGGGAGCTGATCAAGCCCTGAAACTCTGGAACTCTCCCCCTCTATCCCTCCATCTCGCCCCCTCCTTCCCCATCTTCAGGTTACGCCTGAAGGCCTTCCTCTTTGACCGTCAACTCCCTCCAGCTCGGTGTTGTGTTCCCCCACTGTCTGGGATGCTACTCTGCAAAAGGGAGCGCTGTATAAATGCGAGTTGTTGGGAGTCGAGGCTCACACCCCAGCATTTGAGAAAACCAGTGAAATATCTTCAGGACAGGAGAGGAACAAACTGGGAGTAATATTGCTTGGTAAGAGAAATAACTAAATAGCAGCTAAATCAATACTGCATTACGTTTTAACATTCTGTACCTTGTATTCTGGATTTGGGATCATCGGAGGCTCCCACTCTCCGTCCATTTCTTCATCCCAGTCCTCTGGTTTCTTGGCTTCTGGGTCTGGAATGTTTTCAGGTTTCTCCCAATCCTGTATTTATCATCAGAAATAAAAAACAATTATTAGAGATGTCCTGGCATTAAATCTATTCAATCGCTTTCACCAACTATGCCAACAGCCATCCTCAGACTGGTTATATATGTTAATGGTTTAATGTGCTTAGTAAGATCACTTAATAAGGTCCCCTAATTCCATGAAGGGCTTCTCAAATCTCCAAACAATGATCACGCTACAATTGTGCTCAGCAACCCTGGGTTAGAGAGGGGCAAAAATCACCCAGGATTTATTTCTGTGTGTGGTTGTCAATTGAAGACAAACTCAGGACACAACTAATGATAACTCCCTCTATCAAATAGCTTACCAAAAATCACTGTCAAACCTCACGTGTCTGGCCACTTGAGTAAAGTAACAGAGGGTAATTGTCACTTGTGGAACTGCTTCTCTTTGTAGAAGGAGAAAATGTTAGAAATAGGTGGCTGGAAAAAGGTGGGATTTAAAGAAACACTGAGAAGAACTGTCAATAAGTGACCGATAAGCCCTGGATGTTTTTACGACAAGTGTAATTTGTTGTGGTTGTTGATGATCGCACCTCGGGTTTCACGTCCTCAGGGTCATTGATCTTAGATCGTTCATCCCAGTCTTCAGGTTTTTTCGCTTCAGGGTCCTTGATCTTCTTGAGCTGCAGGAAATCCCAGTCCTCCTCCAACTTGCCCGACTCCACCTTCGCGTTGTCGATCTTGACTTCGTATGTCTGATCGGGTCTCAGGATCAGCGTGTACAGGTGGGTCAACTCGTCATCCTGTGGAGAAGGGCAGCCAACACAACGTTTGTCTATTGCAAGCTCAAACCCAAGAGTTCAAACCCGCCAACAGGGAGATTGCCTGACATCACTGGGCAGATTATTTCAAACTATATCAAATGCAAGGATTATTACTATTATTTAAATACCGTAAGGTTCTGCAAAAAATGTTAAATGCTACTTGTCCCTCGTGCTCTCCGTTCCACTATCGGTGGCTGCGCTTTCAGCCACTGCGCCCTGAAACTTAGAACACTCTCTCTCAATCCCCCTCCTTTCCCTCTCCTTCCCCATCTTCAGGTCGCGCCTTAAAACCTTCCTCTTCAACCGTGCTAACAGTCACCTTCCCCCCATTCCCCCAGCTCGGTGTTCTGCTCCACTGCTGTCAAGCGCTCCGGGAAGCTACTCTCCGTGAGGGACGCTATGTAAGTGTAAGCTGTTGTTGTTAAATTGTTAGCCTATTTCATCCCTTTGGTTGTTCACGTGCCTATTCACAAGCAGTGAAACACTGACCTTGCATGTGATATCCTTCTTGATGAGATGGTTTTTCTCTTTGTAGTTGAAAATGACATGTACTTTCTTTGTGGAGTATCCACATATATCGGGCCCTGCAGCAGTTAACATAGAAAGGCATTTAGAAATTTATATTAGCCTTTGGCTCGATCTATCACTTCGCATTCCTCTCTTGCTTCCTTTTCTTTCAAATCTGTTCCATTAAAATTAGCCTCCCCAAGGCTTGCCCACAGGAATGTATTGTGCAAACCAATCTCTAGGAGATGATAAGTAAGACTCTCATGAACCTCACTGGCCTTGAGTATTAATGTTTGGAGATATAGTGCTGATTCTTTATTGATTGAATCAGTGCCACAGCTGTACAGCTAATGGCCATTAAACTGATGGAACTTAAGGAGATGTCCACAGGAGCCCATCAGCTTGAGAAGGGCCTCGCAATTAGTGTTAGGTATCATGCATAGATGTCACCAAGCTCAGGGGTATGGAGGACTGGCAGCCAGGATCTTACAAAGACTGATCTCTGGCAAATTATGTTCAATGAAAATAACTGCAAGGCACTGCATATAGGAAGTAAAATTGGAAGCCCCACACACGCACTCCATAGCTTACCAAGAGGTAAGCTGAAAGAGACCTGGAGACAAAGAATGGAAAGCTTCATCAGAAGAATGGACATAAATACAATGGTCAAATGGTTTCTTTACAGTGAGCTGCAGTTTTATATGATTCTACATTAGTTGGCATCACTCATGTCCAGATAATGAAAGTTACCAACACATCACAGTGACATGGAATCAGACATAGCCCATTATAATATGGTTTTGTTCAGCATCTAACCTCTCCTAACTCTAACCACAATCTACACACACCAAGTGGGGTGGTGAGGGGGGGAGAGAGGAGAGAGGGTGGAAGAAACAAACAGGAACACAAATATTTCTCGTCTTCGCCCCCCCCCACCCAGTGAAACACTTTGACGGTTCCTGAAGACGTACCAAACATGATGTAATAAGAGGAGTCTCCGTGCATCGCTTTCTGGTCCAAGTTTGAGGGGAAGAGTTTGATGTAGCCTCCGCCACAGTCTATCTTCTGTTCGTGTTTCACCGTGAACTGGATCACCAGCGTCTTCCCCTCATTGTTAAACGGCTCAAATCTCGCCGAGGAGGCATAGAACTTGGCATCCTGGCTGGTCTGGAGACCTGCAGAGCATTCAAAAGGTTCTTTGTAAATCTACATTTACACAGTTGAAAAGTTACAGAATAATAAAGGATAGAATTGGATGAAGGCAAGGCGGGCACCAACAACACCAATAACAAATTACATCTGTATATTGGAGTGCAAGTGGTACTGTAAATGGGGCATGAAGGGGAAAAAAGACAGGAAAGGCAGGTATGGATGAGGCAACGTTAGCAGTTAAAATTATACAGGTCTCTTCCCTATTATAATTATACACAGGAGCTGACAAGTTTGCTCATACTCATGTATGTTTCCTCTATCTGTGCAATGTGACAATTATGACATGCTGATAATTTCCTCCCCCACCCCAAACACACAAAAACTGTCACAGAAACCACATTGAACCTTGATGCACCACTATAAAAACATGAAACTTTCAAGTGTACATTTATAGACGTCCGAGATGCTTATGCACGTTCTGCCTGGTTCCCAGTTCCTCAAGAACTTCCTGTTCTGAAGTCGCACGTGTGACTTGAATGGGGCGCAAAGTAGGAACATTCACCACAAAGTCTCGAGTGTCACAAGACGAGATAAAAAACAGTTAGCGGATTCAGAATAAATTGATCAGAGATGTTCGAGCAAGACTTATGACAATTAAAAATTTCATCTGAACCACATTTGAGCTTGAGTTCGATACCAAACCCCTGATAGAAGCTCAACAGTCTGTGCTGAATTGTAGGTCCTACCCTTCAGTTCCCCTCATGGCACATTTGCTGGCTCAAGAGCCTAACCAAGGTCTTTATCTGAAGGATTACCATAACCTCAGAAGATTCATGTTCCATTCTCTGGAACTCTCTCCTACAATCTCTTCACCTTGCAACTTCTGTCTCTTCCTTAAAAAACCCTCTTAAAACTTCTTTCTTTGACTGTAACATTGGTCAACACCCTTAAGCTCCCATCCTCTCCGCTCCGTGATCTCCATCCTGGTCCAGATATTGATTTTATGTGAAAGGCACTATACGAATGCAAGTTATTAATTCCTTTTTCAGCGGCTGTTACAAAACTGCAGCTGAAGAGAAAGAGAAAGAGTAGGTTCCAAGCTTCTCTCACCTGGGGACAAAGCATGCAGCACACTGACTGTGCCATGTAGATGGGGAGAAAGGGCCTGGGGGAAAACATCTACAGAGATACTGGAACAAACAGCGGGTGAAAGAACACACAATCTCAACAGTCTATGCTAAATTGTAGCACATTCATCCCAAGAACTGAACCTAATATCGCTGGCACCTTGGCAGTTTCTGTGTGGAATGTAGCTGGTTCTCTTCCCGCACCAAACAAACAGTCTCAACAAGCTCAGGAATTACTGTTACCAGTCGCGGAAGTGCTTCTCCAGAGTCAGAAAGGCTGGGTCTGCAAATCCCCCCCACACACTTTGCGAGTCACGCATCTCACCCAGCTTTTGGGGGCAGCATCTCCAAGTAGAAGTGAGGCCTGTATCTCAAACATATAATCAAGGTACACAGGATTCTAGAAACGCCAAACAAGAATCTATCTACCTTTGTCCTTCTCTGGATCCCCATAAAATTTTCCGGCAGTCAGCTTGAATTGGCCGTAGTCTGACTTGTGTTTGGATTCCACCCATCGGCTCTCCCATGCATCTGTAAACAGATTGAAAGGAATCAGTTGATCAATACATATTAATTAAGAATAACCAATACTTGGTTATATAATACTTGCATTTGATATAATAATATAATAATAATCCTTGCATTTGTATAGCGCCTCATCACATCGTTGAGATGTCTCAATGCCCTCAATGGATATACTGTAAAGTGGATTGACTGTGTATTTTCTGGGTGAAACTAGATAACTTGCATTTGATATAGCACCCATCATGTTGACAAAACGTCTTAAAGCATCCATAAGGTTTACTGTAAAGTGTAGTAATTGTACTTATAAGCTCCGGCCCTCACTCCTCATTGCTCTTAGTTCCTTTGACCAATTCTCTTATTTCAAATATTTTGGATTCTGGAACATTTGGATATGGGGAAAGAGCAGGGGAGTGGGACTGACTGGGTAGCTCTTCTGAATGGCCTTCTTATGTGCTGAAATATTCTATGATTTGATATAGACAACATTTTCATGCTATAAAACACAGGTCCCATCCCAAACTGGGATGCTCAAATAGACAATCAATCTACTCTTTCACTTCTATTGAAGGATTAGGCATCACCTCTGTTCGTCCCACAGAACACAACCAGCTGCTGTAGCTCTCTCAAGCGCTTCCAATATCTTTGTAGGGAGGTCACTATTTAGTGATTCCCCTGCTAGAAAGTGAACCAGTGTGCATCTATGTGTGCTCACATTTGCAGAAACCAATTACAATGCCCTCTAATGCAATAGTCCACATGAGGGATTGAAGCTAGAGACATTGCAAAATCTGTGTGGCTCAGGGCCACACCACATAGTGCTTTCGTTCACTGACCCATGAAGAGCCCTCACAAATTTTAAATACGATAGTAAGCTTCTGAAAAACCGACTAGCGTGACCTGTGTTTATCTCCACAGATTAGATGTTACGATACAGAAGTTAGAGGAACAGAACGCCATTTGAACCATCAAATCTGCTCCACAATTTCATTGTTACCTGTATCCCTTTGTACCCTCATTTCATATCTCTATCCATCTCTCCTTGAAACACCCCAATTGGCGGGCAGGGGGAAAGAGGGAGCATCATAGCCAAACAAAATCCATCTGCGCACACACACTTTACCGTATGGGCCAACTGGATAGCGATCAGAAGGATGAATAAATTGGTACGAGTTGTTTTCTTTTCCGCGGCCAACTCTACTGCCTGCATTTGCTGCGCTCTCCAGAACTGGGTAAGCAAGGTGCGTCCCTCTGGGGAGAGAGTGAGCTTTCTGTTCTGGACGTGGAAATTTCCATCGGTAGGTCATAAACGTGGAACTCTCAGTCTGATTTGAGCATAGTGATGGGTTTCTGCATGTGTCAGACATCAAGTTGACCCCCCAACACCGCCCGCCCCAAATTGCTTCCCTGGCTGAGATCACATACTGGGCACTGAACATGGATTAAAAAAAATTCACTGGTGTGAATTCTAGAGAGGGTATTCTGCTAAACAACAACAAATTGTATTTATACAGCGGCTTTTACGTTGGAAGGACATCCTATAGCACTGGACAGTGAAGGGCTTGGACTGGAGCTGGAATCAAGAGGGGTGAAGGGCAAGGGGGTGGAGCAATGGAAAGATGACCAAAGGCACGGTCGAAGAGGAAGGTTTTGAGATAGGCCTTGAAGGAGGCAAGGGAGGGGTCAAAATAATATAAAGAGAATGAAACTGATAAGGAACACATAAAACTTTCAGGTCACATTTCAATCTTAAGGCTGCTTCGTGATAATTATGATCCTTGCAGTCAATATATAGCGCCTTACCACGTCATTGAGCTGTCTCAAAATGCTTCACAGAATATATTGTAAAGTGAATTGACAGTGTATTTTGTGGAAGAAACGCGGCAGTGAATTGCACACAGCAGCGTGCCACAAACAGGCATGGATTGAGTGACCGCATTTTTTTTTGATGGGAGCCCCTGGAAAGCGATCCGCCAATTGACTCACAGCCGGTTAATAATTATTAATTAATGAATATTAATACTAATTAAAATTAACATACTAATAGCACAGCACCACACAGCGCACAAGGAGGGCTCTACAAATCTCAAGAGGTTTTGCATTTGATTCATTTAAAAAAAAACATACCAACTTCCTTCAAGAGGCAAAAATAAAGAGCCGGGGCAAACCCTAGCAAGACAAAACCACTTATTAAAGAAAATATACTGGATACGCTGAACAACAAATGTAGTCCCTCGTGTGAGGCCCACAATGTACCACCCACAAAATGCAAAGTCACTAAACTTTACAGTATATTCTGCGAAGCGCTTTGAGACGCTCTCGAAAACGTGATACGACGCTGGCATCAAAATGCAAGGAGCATTCCCTATACAGCACACTGTGTCAAACTGTATTGGTATACACGCTTCTTCCAGGGTTCATTTCGCTTCTTCGAGGGTTCGTCTCCGCGTCTGATGAGACTGGAGCAAGGACCAGAAAACAAGACAGAAAGCAACACACACAAAAAAAAGTAAGAAAAAAAGCAGCAATATGCGCACTCTTAATACAATAACAACCCCCCCCACCCCACCACCCCTTACAATCTAGGGGGTGGTCAATAACCGCATTCAGTAAGGCAATGGTAAAGCTGGTTTAATAATAATAATAATAATTTCAGTGCAGAGAGCAAGTAAGAGCAAAAGAGCTGGGAGGGGAGGGGGAGGAAAAGGGGGTTATTTCTCCTAAGTGCAAAACCCCAACACCTCCATCTCACCTCCATCCCCGAACTGCTCGGTGAAGTAGACGGTGCAATGGGCAGAGGCAGCCAACAGGCACACGAGCAGCAATGCCACCTCCATGGAGCCAGTGGGTTTGAGCTGAGGCTCAGTGAGGGTCAGACAGGCAGTGTCAGTGTGACAATCCCCTCTCACTACATGGCTGCAACCCATTGGTCTGAGTCAGCAGCTGTTCCCTGCAAATCAGCACCAACCACGTTCATCCCATTTGCTTACCACCTCCCCCCCCCCCCCTAATGATCTGAGAGGAACAGCACATCCTCCCCCCACCCACTCATTCATTCAATAGCTCAGCATTTTTTTTTGGCTTTTGCCCTTTTTTTTCCCTGACAAGTGCAGGGTTTGTGAGATATTCGTTTCACTGGAGGGAGGGAGGAGGGGACCTGAACAACAATTTGTTATTATTAATAATATTAATCCTTGCATTTCCCAGCAATGTGCACTCTTGTAAAACAATGCAACATATATAGATAAAATATATAATTTAACATATGTATCTTATATATGATATATATATGTATACACTCGCATATTATATACATTTATATAAAATATAATTTAATACTTGAGGGTTAGCCAAAGTGCAGCGCCTATCATGATGCAGCGCTCCCCCATAGCAGAGAAGGGTTATTTTTTAAAGATATAAAGGCTTTATTATGCGGTTAAGATGTCTCAAAGCACTTTACAGTGAATATTTTGTGGGTGAAAAGTGGCAATCAATTGACACAGCAGTGTCCCACAAACAGTCGTGGATTGAGTGACCAAATTATAATTTTTTCTAAAGGGATTATTAGTCCCGGAAAGCAGTCCGCCAACCGCCAGGTTCCTGCTTACTGCTACATAAACAGAGGCATGTGGAGTAAGTAAACTTATATAATACATGCTAACATACAAGGAATGGAAGTGTGAAGAGATAATGATCACAGTCTGTGCTTATTGCCCACTTTGTTTTCTCTAACACTGAGTTGACGCAGAAACAAACAAATTATAAACACAAAACATAAACGGTTTAAATGCAAAAATCCCACCACAGACTCGGAGCTCACCGATTTGGCCCAAGTTGTGTTTAAATAACCAGCACCATTAGAAAACTAGTTTTTTTAACTAATGGATGAGATATGCATTGCAAACGGTCCCAATGGGTAAATAGCCCGCATGCTTTGCACGGTTTTACATGTGTAGGGAGGGCTCAGGTTCGGCCCTCACCTATGTTAAATTAGCACAAACAGTCATAAAGTGAATGACCCAATTTTATCTGTGAAGGGGGGAGAGGGTGGTTGATGGCAAGGCCATCGGGAGAATCTCCCGTCTCTTTTCGAGTAGTGCCATGAGCTCTTTAACAGCCACCTGACCAGGCAGGCGTCCTGCGGGACCTTGGTTTAACGTCTCGTCTGAAGTGCAGCACCTCTCACAATGCAGTGCTCCCTCCAGGAGATGCATAAAAGGCTAATTTTTAAAGACCTGTAAGACTATAATAATAATAATAATAACTTGCATTTGATATAGCGTCTTATCACGTCTTGGAGAACGTCTCAAAAGCGCCTCACGGAGCATAGCGTCGGGTGACCGGACGGCGTACTCCGCGGGCGAAAGGCGGCGGGCGGCCAACGGCGCTCAGCCGTGTTCCCACAAACAACAACAACAACAACATTGCATTGACAAGAGCGCCTTTCGCGTGGGGAGGACGTCCCAAGGCGCTGGACAGTTGGGTCGGGGCGGGGGCAGAGGCGGGGTTGGTGGTCGGGGGTGGGGGGGTGGGGGGGGTTTGAGTGACCAAATCATTATCATTTTATCTGTTTAAATTGACCTAAAACAAAAGGCAGAGAAATAGAGAAAGCCAGAGAGTGGGGGGGGGAGGTGGATGGGCCCAGAAATGTCTGAGTTCCAATGGGAATGTGGCTCTTTTACTCCATTTTGTTTACCCCAAACATTATTAACCTTTGATCATTTCTTTCCCCAACATTTTTTTTTTGGGGGAGGGGTGGGGGGAGGGGGTGGGGAGTGACCTGAAATCCTTTAGGTGTTGGCAGACTGACTGACTGAGTTGGAGACACAAGGAGGACCCGGAACCGTGAGCGGGGTGACGCCGGAAGCTGAGACCCGGAAGCGTGAGCGGGTGACGCCGGAAGCTGAGACCCGGAAGCGTGAGCGGGTGGCGCCGGAAGTTGGGGCCCGGAGCAGCGAGCGGGTGAGGCCGGAAGCTGGTAACCCGGGGCAACCGGGCTGGACGCGCTGCGGCTGTCAGGTGGTTTACCGGAGCCGCCGCCGCCATCGCTCGTTCAATCTATTTAACGTTTAAACGGGTTTCTTTTTAATATACAATGCGTCTTCGCCCCCTCCCCCCCGAGTGAGAGAGAACCCCCATATCTCCCCTCTCTCTCCCCCAACTCCATATCTCCCCCCCTTTCCCCCCCCCATATCTCCCCCCTTTCCCCCCCATATCTCCCCCCTTCTCTCCCCATCCATATCTCCCCCCCTTTCCCCCCCATATCTCCCCCCTCTCTCCCCCATCCCATATCTCCCCCCCTTTCCCCCCCCCATATCTCCCCCCCTCTCTCCCCCATCCCATATCTCCCCCCCCTTTCCCCCCCCCATATCTCCCCCCTCTCTCCCCCATCCCATATCTCCCCCCCTTTCCCCCCCATATCTCCCCCCCTCTCTCCCCATCCATATCTCCCCCCTTTCCCCCCCCATATCTCCCCCCCTTTCCCCCCCCAATATCTCCCCCCCTTTCCCCCCCCCATATCTCCCCCTTCTCTCCCCCCACCCCATATCTCCCCCTCTCCCCCCCCCTATCTCCTCCCTCTCCCCCCCCCACTCCATATTTTCTGTGAAGCGCTTTGGGATGTCTAAACGCCGCGATAAGGCGCCGTACCAAATGCAAGGATTATTATTATTATTATTATTATCATCATCGTGCAATATCACCCTCCCACCCTTTATCTCCCACTCCGCCTGGTCTCACCCCATCTATCCATCCCCCCTCCCCCATCTTCGCCAGTTCCTACCCCCATCGCAAGCTATTAGTCAGCCCCAAATACACGCGGTTGTATATATCATGTTTAGTGACAACATTCTGTGCTCCACTTTCTTAGGATGTTCAGGAAAAGTGAACTAAGAAGTTCTGCCCTAGCCAGAGCCCACACCCAGCTCTCTGGGCTGAGAGCTTCAGGAAGGTTAGAGGACTCAGGAGATGAACTGAAGGTAATGACAACACCGACAGTTGAGCTGAAATGTATATTTGTTGATGGACCTATGATTAGCACTTAGCTGTGATCTTTTACCTCCCATGCTACACACATTCTGTGGACAGAGTATTGATAGGTTACCTGCCTTTCTACTCCTCTGACAAAACTATGTTGCTGGGATGTGCTCAATTGTTTTGAAGAACAACTTCTTTGCTGGTTCTTATCTCTCGCTCCCTTTATCCCATACCCTTCCAGGCCTCAAGCTAAAAGCCCAGCTGACCGTGGAACTTTGTGGGTATAGGGAATCGCATACTGACTATTATTCCTTGTCCCTTTCATCTTTTGGTGAAATGTCTGCCTCTACTCGCAAATGTGCCATTGTCCGTAACAGTGACCGTTTCTAATCTTTCTCTCTTGTATTTGCAGGACTTTATAAATATTCTTAGTAAGAAACACAGTGGTCTGGAGGTTGATCTATTCAACATGGGTGAAGTTAGTGACATTAGCGAACTTTCAGCAGATGACACCACAGATAGAGCATGGAAAAGAAATCTCAATCCCCAAACTTTGGCCATTCTAAAGCCGGCAGAAGACTTTGCTGAACCTCCATTGAGTGGCAATCGCTTCTTAAAGAAGCAAAACATGGCAGTCGTGTCCCATAGCCCCACCATCAGCAGGAGCGTGCTGAAGAAAACGAGTGATTCAGACGTGAGGAGACCCAACACTGCCTCCACACGAATCCGATCCTCCAGTGCCGCGCTTGCCAGGCTGGCACAGATAGAAAACAAGATCATGAACCGAAGGCTGGGCTTGGACACCAGCAAGTCCGACGAGGATCCACGGGGGTCCGATGAGGGGCAGATTTCAGCACAGACCAGCAGTGAGTTAAGTGAAAGAGGAAGTAGATTTCTGAAGAGAACTTCGCAACTGACCGAGACCAAGCAATCCAGCACCAAAGGGCCTGGCCAAGCAATGGGATCTGTAAAGAAAGTTCATCCCAAGGCACAGGCTAAAACTGAAGTCACCATTGACAGTGATGAGGAGGAATTGAGAATGATGCTGGGAGGCTCTCTTGAGCTCTCAGATGAAATTAAACATGAACCGGGATCCAAGGGAGCTGCAAAACTCAGTACTAAACTGTACAATGAGGTAGTGTATATACAACAACAACGACAACTTGCATTTATATATTGCCTGACACGCAGAGTAACGCCCCAGTGCGCTTGACAGTGGCAGAGCACAACACCGAGCCAGCAGGAGGGGGAAGTGACTGTAGAATGTGTTTTAGCCAAAAAAAACTGTTCACACAGAAAAAATGTTCACAAAACATTTGCTTTGGGGATTTTTTTTTCTGTGACTTGGCTCGAATATTTCGTTTAAATAATGATAATAATAATAATAATCCTGGCATTTGATATAGCGCCTTATCAAGTCTTCGAGACATCTCAAAGCGCTTCACAGAATATATTGTAAATAATAATCCTAATAATAATAATCCTTGCATTTGATATAGCGCTTTTCACGTCGGGAGGACGTCCCAAAGCGCTTCACAGAACACACTGTAAGGTGAATTGACTGTATATTTTGTGGGCAAAATGATGATGGCATTGGGGATCAAGCTTTGAGGAGTTTCTGAGATCTTTTCTACTGTGTTTATTCCTAAATACGGACCAATGTCCATCTATAGAGCCATCCAACATCCTAAAAAAGTCCTTCCACGTATCTATCTAATTATCTAATAACCCTGAATGCTTTAATTTCCTGGAATGTTGGTTCATTATTATTATACTACCTGTGTTGTAGTTTTTTCCCTATCCCTATTGCCCTTATACTAAAAATGTTTCTCCTGCACTTTCTACTCACTTATGTTGTCCTGATTTTGAAGCTATGGTGTAACGTTATAAATTGCATTCATGTTAATTTCTACCTTAATTACAAATCTTCTGGTTAGGAACTCGAATGGATGTCATTAGACTCTTGACTATTGACTCATGTCATTTTCTTTTAGACAATCTTAAATGACCGTCCAAAGACCCAAACAAGAATGCCCTCTCCGCCCAGCAGAGGTTCCCCACAAACAGCCTGGTCTCCGAGGTTAAAGTTTGTGAAACGACCCCAGTCTCCCCTGTCTGAGAGGAGCGAGGTCAAGTCACTGGATGAGCTTTTTACCGAACCATCTGTCGCTGAGGACATCAGCAGTCTGGATGGGAACTCTGATGGTGAGTGCCTCTGAATTGGTCTTCTCGTCGGGTTTGAATTGGAGATGAGCAGGTTGTTTAGGATTCCATAAAGCCTTGTCAGCAGGGATAACACGCGACAGAGTAAATTGTCTTCATGTCAAAGTGGCACAATTTAAATTTTTGAAGTTATGAAATCCTATCAACATCCATCCATTATCTCCATATCCTTTAATGTCTCTTCTTTATAATGTTGTAAATTTCTATTTTAGACATCTCAATTGATTCTGCAATTATGGCCTCTGGAGTGCATTTCACATTCTCACAGGGAATTGTGAGAATGTGAAATGCACACAGTATTATTTTAAACACCTTAATCAGACCACACTTGACCTCCTCATATTTGGGGTATATAATTCAGGTTTACACAGACCATCAGTACAGCTAAGCCCCTTCATCCAAATTACCATACTGTTAATCATTGCTCCACAGCCAGTAAATCTGTCCTACAACCAAATTACTCACAATTGTGATCTGACCATCACCGTATAACTAGTAATATTTACTTGCTTATGCTCTCTACCAATCTTGGATAAATCCCAGTATCCTATTAGCCTCTTTGATTAACTGCACTCTGAAGACCTGGATCAGATCCATTCAAACATATTTTCTACAGCGAAAACAAAAACAAACTCAACTCTTTCACAATCGCCAATGCATCAATGCCTTTTTGAAGATCGGGTGCCCAAACTAAACACAATAGGCCCTAACTGACTGCAGTTTGATCTGAGTTTTCTTTGCTCTCTTTAAACTTTTTCTTTCCACTCGCTTGTACACATAAACTAGCGGAGCATTCGTTCTCTCAGAATACCAAGGCACAAGGTAAACAAGCTTAGAAATGACTTTTGTTTGTTATATGTAGCTGTGTCCATGCCCTGAAACTTGCCTGGGTGTATCTGTTCTATGTACCTTTGCTGTGTAGCAATAGATGTCTGTGTGATGATTGCTGAAGGCTGATTTAAATCATTTGGTTTCACTTTTGGCCGTGAATGGTGCACAGTCTAACCCCTGGGAACAGGATCAATTGAGTCCGTTGCAGTCCCAGCTGATACCAGCAAAAAAAACATATATCTATAAAATATCTTACCATTATTCTTTATTTACAAGGAGTTACTGAGAGAGAACAATGAGTGTACAGATAACTGCCACAAAAGCATTTATGTTCTGTGTAATCCAATGGAACACCTTTTGTCCCTTTATCGTTATCCTGAAATAAACCCTGAATGACAGTGAAGTACACATATTTTAGAATTTGCTGTTTGAAAGCTCATTTTTAAATAATAATAATCCTTGCATTTGATATAGCGCCTTATCACGTCAATGAAACACCTGAAAGCATTTCACGGAATATATTGTAAAATGGATTGACTTTGTATTTCGTGGGCAAAATGCGGCAGCCAATTGCGCACAGCAGTGACCCACAATCGGTCGTGGATTCAGTGACCAAATTTTTTGGAGGGAATATTATCCCCGGAAAGCGATCCACCAATCAAATAACAACCGGGTTCCTACATACTGCTAGATAAACAGATGCGTGTGGAGTAAAGAAACTTGCCTAAGTTTTAGCTCTACCCAGGAATCGAACCCGGGTCCTCTCGCTTGCGAGGTGAGTGCTCTAACCACTATATTACGGGCACTCCAGAGTGCCGATGTCACCAGGTAGCACTGCTTATTGCAACCAAGACATTTTCTAACACTTGCTGTAACCATTTCAGACTTCAGAGTAAACATCATGTCTCTGGAAGATCTCGTTCAAGCCCCAGAAGCGACATCGACTCCCAAGGTAACCTAGATTATTGTCTGTCGGGGCCAATGATCAGAGCAGTAATGCTAGTCACCAAGTGAGATATGTTACTTTCTATTTAACATATCATTAATTTAAGGAAGGAATTAAAATAATGCCTCCGTTGATAATTTGGAGCTACTGTATTTATTTGGGTTTTGCTGCCAGACAGTACTTTCTGATTAAATAATTATGTCTTTAATACCTTTCTGTTTTGAAGATGAAAAGGAGACAGGCCTCGGCCGATCAGAGAACAGAGCCCGGCGTCCGCACCTCGAGGCAGCACACAGCGGACAAGCGGTTCAGAACACCGCCTGCCTCCAAACGCCTTCCACAGGACAAGGGTGCTGCATGTGAAAGCGACGCCGAGAGCGAGATCCTGACAGCGAACGCCGCCACTGAAAACGAAATCTCAGAGCATCTGAATGAAGATTCTACCACCTTGAGAGGGCCAAAGGGTCTGCCTGAGAGGCAGGAGGAGCTGTCAGAAGGCGACGACGCTGGTTCTTTGTTTTCTTCAGAGGCCGGATACTCCGAGGACTTTGATGAATCTGAGCGTAGAGTGGCTGCACTGATAACGGGGTGCAGCGATTCCAGCATGGAGCCATCTCACAGAGAGGAGTTAACAACGCCCTGTTCTGACAGCAGCGAATCCTACTCAACAATCTCATCTCGCACTCCAGATACAAGCAGTCAGTCATCCTATCTATTGAGAAGGAAGACAGATACAAGACGCAAGAAGGTGACTCTAAAAGATATAGCAATTCAGACCCAGGTGCCCGGATTCACCTACAGCTGGCCCAAAGGTGAATTCACTTTTATTTGTATATTTCTTCCTTTCCTCCAATGTTTTCTCTGTCCTTCAATCACCTCCAATGGCTTCCAGTGAATTACTCTAGTAAGATTCTTAGTGCCCGTTGCTGATGCAATATAATAATTAATAACCATAAATTATAATTTGCTGCACCTTCCTTGGAGGCAGATGATAGTCAGGAAATTTTTTCGCCAACAGAGAACCATCCAATGTTACAGTCTATTCTAGAAACAAGCTATTCAGCCCATCGAGTCTGGCTAGTGTTTCTCTCCATGTAACCCACCAAGTCTAATCCCACTGTCCTGCTTGCTCGAATACACTTTGTGATTTCTCCTCTTCAAGCATCTATCTAATTCCCTACTAAAAAGAATTTGCTCAAAAATGCACAATCCCTCCATTTCACAGTAAATCTTGTGAAGCGCTATGAGACATCCTTCCGACGTGATAAGGCACTTACCAAATGTAAGGATTATTATTATTATAATAATTCATGCCTCAGCTACAGTTCCAACCACCCTCTGTGTGAAGACACTTTTTAAACCAAACAAAGTTGCTTACAAAAATATGTTCCCTCTCTGGCCAGCACTTGCCCTTTTTGGTCAGGGCATACCTCAGTGGCCAGGGGCTTTCCCGTTACTTGTGTAGCTGTGTAATTGAGAGGGATACTAGGAAACACCAGCAGCACAAGAGATCCTCCTGTAATGGTCCAACTACGGGCAGGAGTGTCCTTGCTGGTATAAAAGTGGTAAACGTTGGTTGTGAATATCACATTCAAAAAAAACATTGCTATGCTTAAGAGTAATCAAACCAGGCAGAGTTCCACGTAGGCCTGCCACCTACACATAGAAATTTATCTTTGTCTGGAATGAAATGCGCGCTCTCAACCTGGAGGGATGCACCCTGCTCATCGTTCAGAAAAATATTGAGAATATTTCAAATGCTTGTCTTGCATTATGATTGAAATTACCTTACTCCACACATACACATACACACACACACACACACCTCTGTTTACCTAGCAGTAAGTAGGAATGCTCTTGTTAGAAGGTTTGCGGATTGCTTTCCGGGGTAATAATCCATCCAAAAAAATATTAATGTGGTCACTCAATCCACAACTGTTTGCAGGACACTACTGTGCGCAATTGGTTGCTGCGTTTCGCCCACAAAATACACAGTGACTGCACTTTACAGTATATCTTGTGAAGCACTTTGAGACGTCTCTTTGACACGATAAGGAATTATATCAAACGCAAGGATTATTATAAGTGACAGTTTGGAAGGTGAGCTGTCCATTCACCTCCACAGTAAACACTCCAGATAACTGTGTACCTCACTTGTTGAATGCAGCTGTATTACCATCTCTCAGTATTACACTATAAACTTTCTGTGCTTCTTTTTACAACAGGGGAAGGCGTGGCAGTCCTTGGACCATCCTTTGGCACATCATACTTGGACCCTACACCCATTGCCAGCCACGTTGTCAGTCCTGAGGCGATGGAAGGTGAATGTTTAGAATAAGGCTTTTTTCCAATGGTAGATGGAGTGATGTCTGTTGCAATTTAATCACTGAATTTGACCAGGGTAGAAATAACCATTCAGCCCATTGTCCCTTTCCAGCTCGCTGAAAGAGCTATCCATTTAGTCCCGATTGTTGGGCATTCTGTGTCCTAATATCACTCTATATAAATAAATCTCTCAACCTGTCTCTTTGTTTTTTTGGGAAACAATTTTAAATTGATCCCTTCCAATTAACGAGCAGTGGAAATAGTTTATCTCCACTTTGTCTGTAAAAGCACTGAGGCGTTAGCCAAAGACAAAGCAATCTGTTGCAGGTTCTGAACCAGGAGGAGAGTTGAGAGCTGAGCAATTTTACTCGAAGCTTTTTCTCTGAATGTGAAAAGACATCTCCATGTCACCGCACCATGTCCCTTTGCCACTTTCTCGGTAGGTTTTTAAAAGTATAGAAGCCTATTAGGGACCCCTGCTCAATGGCCAGCCAATCTGTCCACTTACAGATACATTATGAAGCGCTCCAGGACGCTCGTGAAGGGTGCTATATAAATGCAAATTATCTATTTGGATGCTGAGTTGGATGCTATTCAATGCCTTTCTCTTCCTCCTCACAGCACTGACATCATATAGTCCCGCTGTCTTTGCTCTGAACGACATGCTGAAACAGCAACTCCTCCTGACCCGCCAGTTTGTGGACATCAGTCATCACCTCCACTTGTCCCTTGTGACTTCACTAGAACAAGACAGCTACCACTACACTACGCTTGAAGAAACTCAGGAGGTAAGGGCTAAATCCAATGCTTTGCATTGGGAAATTACACCATCTTTCCCTCTGCAGGGATAAGGAAACCCACTTGCTGTAGGATGATCCCAGCTGGTTATGCTGGCGAGGAGACCAGCTCATGGTATTAAGTGCAGAGAGGCACAATTCATGTTCTGTGCATTTACACTCATTAAAGTGGCTAATTAAATGCTTCTCTCATTTACCATGAAAACTCCAGAAGGTTATAAAGGAAGAATGATTGAGATTTTTAAAAGGTAGATAGATGAACACTTGGAAAGTAAAGTGCAGTGAGAGGACCTGGGTTCGATTCCCAGCAGGGCAAAATGTTGGACAAATTTCCTTACACCATACGCCTCTGTTTACGTAGTGGTAAGTAAGAACCCAGTTGTTAGTTGATTGGCAGATCGCTTTTCCATAATAATCCCTTTTAAAAAAAATAATAATTTGGTCACTCAATCCACGACTGTTTGTGGGCTACTGCTGTGTTTCGCCTACAAAATATACAGTCAGTTCACTCTGTGAAGCACTTTGAGACGTCTCAAAGACGTGAAAAGGTGCTATACCAAATGCAAGAATTATTATTATCCACAAAACTGGTGTATTAAATAACTCCTTTATTCTCAACTCCAACCCTAAACCCACATAGTTCTTCTCCCAGAATCCCTTTTTTTATATCCTGGTCTTCTTTCATTGCCTCCCAGTCAATTGTCGATTTACTCTTAAAGGGTTCTCCAATGTAAAGATCTTAAATTGTATGTAAATTGAATGGGGTAAAGGTGGGAAAAGATATTAAATGATCTGTGACAATCTTATCTACTAGCGGAATGAACTCAATGGGCTGAATTGTCTCTGGTTCCTATCTACTTGTAAATCTTAAACTGTTCTGTTTTCTTTTCTAGTTCGTCAAAGCTCACATGTCACCACCGCTCACATTCGATCAGGCCCTGGAAGAGGTTCTGCAGGAAATGAAAGAGTATCACTACATCTAACCGCAGGGATTACCCAGGCTATTACACACAGAATGAAATCTCCAAACACTCGCCTTGTCAGGACAAGGGACTTCTGCCTGGAGACTTGCGTTCACATCAGTGTTACCAGTAAAGCTTTTACCATTCCAGCAGCATATTTTAACCTGGGCTTTTCAGATTCTGTTTCCTGTGCAAATACAACTCGCTTATGTCCCCAGTTAATTATACACCAGTCAACACTGATTCTAATGGCAAGAAACGGAACGTTTATGCTTCATACAATACAAAATGACGTCCTGAACTGCTGGATATCAATTCTTGCACGGTCTTGTCAAGTCTTGTCAAGTGTCTTGTCAAGGCAACGTGTTTTTAAACCGCTTCATGGCAGTGAGTTAAACTTTGAAGTTTAGCAAAGGTTGTTGAAGTCAAACGCAGCAGCTTACTCTGCACCAGCAATGCCCCACAAACAGCAATGTGATGAATAACCAGATTGAATCTGGGTTTAGGGCACTGGGAGAACTCCCTGCTCTTCAAAAGAACGTCACTGAACCAGCCCAAACAGGAGAAAAGTTGAAGAGGGAAACAAATCCATATTGATTAATGCCGTGTTGTATCAGCGAGTTCAGCACAGGCCAGTGGAATGTGTTAATAATGTCCATAGACATGCTGAAATATTTCCATGATTTATATTTTTCTAATGTTATATAAAGTGCAATATTATTTTGATATCATGTACTCATTTCCTACAATGAATCAATTGCTGCTTAACACTTGCCACCATTTCTGTGAAACAAACTTAGCTTAAATTCAAACCTGTTCAATCAGACAGCTATACAGACACAGGCACACAATACTGAGATACTGCAATATATTGGATATTGAACCTTATTTGCAGATTTGATTATGTTGTGGTTTTGGTTCAGAAATGTGAGAAATGAGCATTCTGCTTCACATAACATGGCCCGAGCCTTGAGATGCAGCCGAGAAGCTTGATGATGAGACACCTTTGTTCCAAGAGATATTTCCGCTGGAATCCAGACCATCTCTAATGTCAATCAAAACTGCCCACTGCAAGACTAGGAGGTCCACCGAGCCCTCTTAAACCTCATACCGGTCACCTCACCTTACTCCACATTCAGGACAGGACAAGGAACAAGAACAGCCTCATTAATTAACATTTTAATACCGAGCTGACAGAAACTCTGCTGGTTAAGCCTCTTAAGATTCTCTTAAGCAGATGTTACAAGCCGCAAGACCGTGATTATTGGAGGCTCAGATGACAGAAGAATATTAGTTGGTTCTGCATTGGACTTCTATCAGCTTATGATCCAGATGTCAAATGCTTTTTCTCTCTCCCTGTTCAACTCCATACACAAAGGTAAGAATCCCCAACTTGTATCTGTTAGATTGGGTGTAATTTTGCCCAGGCTTCAGGAGTCTCTTGAGGTGGTAGATATCACAGCATAAACAGCAACTTATAAACCATGATTCTAACATCTTTATTTGGCATTTAAATACAGTACATACTAAGAAAAAGTAAAAAAGTTCAGTAAAATTTCACTATACAGTCAGTGGACTCAAAAGTTCCAGTCACTGAAGGTCACAATAACCATGAATCATCTCTTAAGAAGGCAAACAGCCTTCCAATGTTCCTAGTTACATAACTCAATCCACACATTATATTCAGGGTATGATGCATAAAGCACTAAACATCACTTAAGCACTTGCAGGGACAGAGATGTAGCAAAATCAGCCACTCCCAGTGCCGGGTAGAGGGGTTCGGTGAATGTTTGTTGCTGGAAGGTGTGTAACAGGGTCAGGTCGGTACCTGACACACAGTAAAATGAGATGATTCCAGCCTCAAAATCCACAAACACCCCCACTGTGCAGGGTGATTCGGCCGCTAGTTTGGTGGTGTTATTATTGTGCAGGGCTACGAGCTTACCTGGCTCCGAGTACAGACACCAGGACTTCTTGTTCTGCCCCAGTGAACACTCTGCTCCCTCACCCTTGCGGCTCAGGCTCCCATAACACACCCCAATGTCCCATCGCCTTCGGTCTCCTCCGGCTTCCACCTCCCAGTAAGAGCGGCCGCAGCTCACGCCCTCAGTGCTGAGAACCTGCCACCAGTAGTTGAATCTCTTGGGACTGTGGGGATACGGATGCTCCCGTTTCGATCCTGACACAGTCCTGTTACTGTCAGACAGGACCAGGTTGGGAAAGGCTGTGTCAGGATCCAGAGTCGGTGTTTGTCCATCTGTGAATATAACAAAAACAATCCTTGCATTTGATATGAAGGTTTAAATAAAAAACGTACTAAGAAGGGAATCGTTGAGATATGAGAAAACACAATATTAAAGCGCTTCACAGAATGTACTGTAAAGCGAAATTGACTTATAGGAATATAATATAAATATAATAGGGAGAATCCTTTACATTATATTCATATATAAATGTGATATAAATATATGTAATATAATATAAAGGAGAATTCCGATAAAATCACAGTTATTGATTCCTGGGAAAAGGAAAGAGTTTTTAATTCATCTTGAAATTCACTAGGATGATACTAGACCTGTGACAAAGTACGAGAGCCATGACTTGTATTCCCCCCCACTCCCTAATCCGGGAACAATGAAGCTAAATGACACCCCAAAACCACGGTCCTGGCTGAGATCAGGTAACTCAGTGCAAACAGGGCTGACGTCTACAACTGACCAGTCTGTTGCCATTTCTGTGGCGCTGAGGGAAAGCTAATGGTCACCTCTTCCCTCCCTCCCTCCCTCTGGCTCGGAGTCAGGCTGCGCCACCATTAAGCACCACGAGACGCTGCCCTGCGTGAAGGGGGCTATAGAAATGCAAGTTGTTGTTGTAACGTTACACTTTTAACCAAATTCTACTGAGTTGCTCATGTAGGCGCTTAGAGGGGACATTTTAAACCGAGGCTGTCGCCTGGTTTCACCCTGCCGAGTACTGAGTGGTTTCAGTTTCTTTTTGTAAACTATCGCACGTCGAGGATGCCCTTTCCACACAGGCCATCAACACCCACCCGATGCCTCAGTTTCACTCAGTTTAGGGCAGAAATTACCCTCCCGGCTGCAAAGTGTCTGACCACTTCACTCAGAATTAGTCTCTGCTTGAGGGTGGAGGAATTGCTGGCTGAGCCTTTTCCAGGTTCAGAGCCGAGTCTGTAGGTACTTACACACAGTGACCAGACAGTTCCTTTGGGGGTCTGACTGAGGCGCTGCCACATACATAGCCTGAACCCAGGCCGCCAGCTTCTCCAGAACAGATTTATTCACGTCCGAGACAGGAGCCAGTGGCACGAAAGGTTCAGACACGTCCTTGATTCTAGATAATTATATCAAACATAAAGAGGGTATGAAAATCAATGCATTGTTGTGGTTGCAAAGCAGACGGTATTTGTGGTTGAGTAATTGTAAGTTGATCACAAGCGCTGCGTCTCTGTCTCTGGTCTTTGGATCAGAAGTTGTTGATTCATTACGCAGTGTCAGGGCTTGAGCTCACGCCTCAAGGCCGGCACTCGCAGTGCAATACTGTGGAGGAGATGCATAGTCCAAGTTGCCGCCTTTCAGATGAGATGTTTACTATCTTGTCTGTTCAGGCGGATGGGAATATAATTTTATTAACTATGAAACAATTGGAAATGAGGAGTGATTGACCTGGTGTCCTGGACAACAATTTTTCAGATAAATTGGTCATTTGTCTCGTGCCTCCTTGCTGCATAGCGCTCCAGGACCCTAACCTGTGTGAAGGGTATTATATAAAGGCAAGTTGTTGTGTACCAGTGAAAGCACGACAATAATTCCTGTGACGAGCTTGGCGATGGTTCAGTGCAATCAGGTGCTATTACAATCTCTTTCTTGCTGGTGCTCTACCATGGGTTGGTGGCATGGCGAACTGGGGTTTTGATTACCACACAGTAAACTTTGAGCCACGCCATTGAGGGGAGGCGTTAAATAGAAGCCAGACAGTTCCACACAGGGAGTCGAGAATTAGCGGGTATTATATCACTGGGGTAGCTCCAGGGAAGCAAATTACATATTGTCACTGTCAGGAGACTGAGTCACGAAATGATAAGCTTTAAAATACAAATTCAAATTAACCTCCATTCTTCACTATGTTTGTGTATGGTTACAACATTCAATAAGTTTCAATAAATGATATTCGATATGTTCCTCTCACCTCTCTTCCATTGAATTTAGCCCCTGGAATTAAAGAAAAACACATTGAAAGGCAATGAGAATAATACGCAGCAATGCAATTTACACGGATAATAGCACCATTCACATCGGGAGGACATCCCCAAGCACTTAACAATTCAGGCTACACACCAGAGCTGAGGGGTTGAGGAGGAGAAAGAAGACCGAACGCAGTCAAAGCGGTACATTTTGAGGCCTGCTTTGCTACCGGGAGGGGAGAGAGCAAGATGGAGGGAAGAAAGTTCCAGAGAGCGCTTCATAGAATATATTGTAAAGGAGATTGACTGTATTTTGTCGGCAAAATACGTATTAAATGTTTGAGAAGCGAGCCATTGAAAATTAGAATTTATGGAAGGCGAAACAACAATAACAACAGATTACATTTGTATAGCGCATTTCACATCGGGAGGACGTCCCAAGTCGCCGGACCGTCAGAGATTTGGACCCGAACAGGGGGTGGGATCAGGAGGGTTGGGTGGGTAGAGGTAAGAGGGAATGGCAAATCAATACCTGTATAAAGACAACCTCTTTATTCTGCTGCAAAAGGTCGCTGAGATCAGCCAAAGCCTTTTCAAGATCTTTCTTTCTGTTTTCCAGCTCGGAGATTGTGGTTTCAATGTCGTCTGTTACACGTCTCTTTTCACTCTCCAGATACTGAAGAACCCTTCTCTCTTCACTCTCAATGCATTTCCTCAGCGCCTCGTATTTGCCTCTAATTTTCATTTGCGTTTCTCTTTTCATCCTCTTAGATGCAAAAAAGAGTTCTAATAATAATCCCTGTATTTGATATAGCACCTTATCACATCTTTGATACGTCTCAAAGCGCTTTACAGAATATATTGTAAAGTGTATTGACTGTATATTTGTGGGCGAACGCGGCAGCCGATTGTGCACATCAATATCCCACAATCAGTCGTGGAGCAACTGACTAAATTATTATTATTTCTTTTTTTATTTATTTGTTACTAAGAAGCAAAAATCCCTTTGCCTTTGGCAGCATCAACACATTTATAATATTAATTATGAGAAAATGCAATTACAATCTGCGTTGGCAAGTAAAATAATCTCAGGATAAAATATATAGTTTGGGACACGACATATCAAGCGACTGCCAGGATGGTGGAAGGGGAACTAGTTGGATCTTGGTCTTCTTTCACCTAGCAATCTCTTATGTTCTTATCAATGTTCAACATCGGCTGCTGCGTGGGCTCCTACCTGCATGTTCTGCTTCTCTCTGTGGAGATGTTTCAGCGCTGATTGAACAGCCTCACCGTTATTCCTGATACTCTGCAGCTGATGTTGTAAACAATCCTGAGGAACATTAATTGAAGGAGAGGTTTATATAATGATAACATTACTAACACTCCTTGCATTTGATTTAGCTCCTTACCACATCGTTGACACGTCTCCAAGCGCTTCACAGAATATACTGAAAAGTGTAGTGACTGTGTATTTTGTGAGCGAAATGATGCAGCCAGTTGCACACAGCAGTGTCCCATAAACAGTTGTTGATTGAGAGACCAATTCTCACCCCCTGAAAAGTGATCCGCCAATCGACTAACACCCGGGTTCCTACTTACTGCTGGGTAAACAGAGGAGCGTGGAGTAAGGAAACTTGCCTAAGGTTTCGCCCTGCCTGGGAATCGAACCCGGGTCCTCTCGCTTGCGAGACTAGTGCTCTAACCACTACGCTGTGGGACTCCACATGCAGTAATTTATCTTTGCTAAACGTTTCACCACGGAGAGAACAGCACATTTGGGCAGCAACAAGATTGTGAAATGCTGCAGATTTCACCACGAAAAGAAACCCTCACAAAGTAACGTAAACAAGCTCCAATTATTTTTTAAGAAAATGTCAGTGGTAATTAAAGAATTGATTCAGAAAACTAAACATTTTTCCACATGAAGCCAACAGCCACTTGTCTAAGATAGATCATAATAATAATAATTCTTGCATTTGATATAGAGCCATATCATGTCGTTGGGACGTCTCAAAGCGCTTCACAGGATAAACTGTTTTGTGGGCAAGATGTAGTAACATTTTGTAGTAAGCTTATCTTGTGATAAGAGTGCAGTGTCTCTGCAATGTGACTCGACTTCTTCTCTCAAACCATCTCTGCTTGTGAAAAGGCTAATGCAAGTAAACTCACCCATCTTTGTCCCGGGTGCATCCAAAAGATCACACTGAACCCTTAAACAGGCCAACTGATGGGAATGACACAACACAGACTTACCCTCAGCTCCTTCTCTCCCTCGCTGATGCTGCCGCAGTTGTGATTCTTGTGTTTTCCTATCAAAGCACAGAGGCTGCAGATACAGACTCGATCGTCTTTACAGTAAATCCTGAGCAGCTCCTGATGCTCCGAGCACTTCCACAGAGATACGTCTGCAGTGGGATCAATGAGAAGGTGGCTTCTGAATACAGCGCTCTGGGTGTGGTGTCTCAAGTGTCTGGGGCACATGGAGGCTTCACATTTCAGGCAGCTTTTCACAGCCAGGAGTCCAATTTGGGTGCAGTAACTGCACAGAACACCAGCACCTCGGGAGCTCTGCAGAGCCAGGTATTTCTGCACTATACTCGCCAGCTTGAAATTCTTCTCCAGACCAGGCCTCTCGCTGGTCTCTGCTCTACACTCCGGGCAGGAGTAAGTACCTGGGGCAGCCCCACTCCAGAACTCCTCGATACAGGCTCGACAGAAGCTGTGTTTGCACTCCAGCACCACAGGGTCCGTGTAAATGCCGAGGCAAACAGCGCAGGTCAACTCTTCCTCTAAGGACTCCTGTGCTAAACCACTTGCCATATTTTTTTAATAAGCCAAGACGCCGACAACAGTCGTTACAGAATTGTGTTCCTGTGATTTATGGCGTCGGTGACATCAGGAAAACATCTGTTGGTGGTTCCCTTGTGTGTTGGCACACACTGTCGGGAGAGCTCGTCTGTGCTGTGTTAACTACTAATCCTCAGCAGAGCGAACACGTGTTATTTTCGCATGGAAAAGATGGCTCAGGGGAAATGTCACCGAAGTGTTCGAGATCCTAAACTGTACAGATAAACTGAAACTGAACCCTAACATGGTTTAACCTGGGCGAGAATCTACAACCAGGGAGCAGGGAACTCAAGCTCAGAAGAGAGGTGATGAGATCAGATCAGATGCAGTCACTTTGAATCAGGTGAGTTGTCTCTATAGGTGAGCGGTCAGAATTTGGCACATTTTTGAAATCGGTCAATTTTCTGCAGTTCTTAAAATAAGCTTGGGGGGAGCGGGAGGTGGGGGTGGGGGGGGCGGGGGATGCTTGAGGGGGAGGCCTATACAAAATCACGGGTGTATTTAAGAGGTTGCCAAATTCTGGACGCTCTAAAATGCCACAGAAATAGAATAATCTTGACCCAGATGCAATTGCTCCCCAGAAATCAGTTGTCTACGAGAGAATATCTTTCAGGACTGCTCGCACAGGCACTCTAATGTCGAACACTCCCTCAGCTTCCCATTTGCATGTCAGAAAATAATAATAATCCTTGCATTTGATATAGCGCCTTATCATATCTTCGAGATGTCTCAAAGCGCTTCACACTAGCCTCTCCCACTAGCCTTGCGACATTTCAAAATGCCCAGCTGTACATGGCGAACAAGTAAAAAGGACAAGGGCAAAAGTTTGGATATAAACACGTGAATTTGTATTTTAAGCTGAAAGAGAAACAAAAGCAAGACAATTGCTTCATTACATTCAAGAAAATGCTGAAATTACAAAGGATTCACAATGAAAGATACAAAAATATCAGAAACAAATAAAGTATTGCAGAAATATACTATCCTCTGGAGATGAGAGCTGGGCTGACTCCAAGGTGTGGTGCTTGGAAACAGAATGTCGGAATCAAATCAATCCTCTGTGGAGGTCTAGGTAACCCAGTTCCTGAGGCCAAGTAGGTCCACAGTCCTCAAACACCTTGGTTCTTAACAAACTGCCTACTTAACACTCTCTGGGATTCGGTAAACAGGGTGCATCCCTCTAGGGAGAGAGCACGTATTCCATTGCAATAATCTATCTCTGGAATTTCCACGTTTAGGTGGGACAAATGGAATTCTCAAGTTTGGTTTGGATACACGTTGTGTGATCGGTGTATCCAGGCCTCACAAGCTGTTCATGAGTGAGAGACACCCGAGAGAGATCAAGTCGGGGACAAAAGGGAAAGAGAAAAGCACAGAAAATTTGTGAGTGGGAACCTGCGAGGATGTGTAATCACTGCATCAGATAACAATAAGTCAGAGTCACGTCACAATCATAAACCCACAGAGCCGGGTAGAGGGGCTCAAGGAATCTCTGCTCTTGGAAGGTGTGTAACAGGGTCAGGTTGTTGCCTGACACACTGTAGAATGAGATGATTCCAGCCTCAAAATCCACAAACACCCCCACTTTGGAGGGGATTGCAACCATTAGATTAGGTTTTTCACCATTGTGCTGAGCTGTGAGTGACCCGGATGAAAAGTGCAAAATCCACGACCTCTTATCTTCCACTGGCCCGTAACCTGTAATTGACCACTCAGTACATCTGGCACCTGGAGTCTGGAAACAGACTCCAACCCCCCATTGTGTGAGTACATCAGCCCTGTACCCAACGTTTCCCCTAGGCGTTATATCAATCTGCACTTCCCAGTAGGAGCGGCCGCAGCTCACTCCTTGACAGCACATATATTGCTGCCAACCCATACTCTGCAGTCCGTAAGGGTTCTGTCCATCTGTGAATGCAAAGAGAAACGTGAGTTATTGCTTGGGTCAATAGAAAATTTGTGCCAGCAATTTTTCCGCAAAATCCACTAAAAGAAATAGCTCTCCGTGACAACCTGAGTGCCGGGGGGTGGGGGCGTGTGCTGGGGTGGGGTGGGGGGTGGCGAGTGCCGGGGTGGGGGGTGGCGAGTGCCGGGGTGGGGGGTGGCGAGTGCCGGGGTGGGGGGTGGCGAGTGCCGGGGTGGGGGGTGGCGAGTGCCGGGGTGGGGGGTGGCGAGTGCCGGGGTGGGGGGTGGCGAGTGCCGGGGTGGGGGGTGGCGAGTGCCGGGGTGGGGGTGGCGAGTGCCGGGGTGGGGGTGGCGAGTGCCGGGGTGGGGGGTGGCGAGTGCCGGGGTGGGGGGTGGCGAGTGCCGGGGTGGGGGGTGGCGAGTGCCGGGGTGGGGGGTGGCGAGTGCCGGGGTGGGGGGTGGCGAGTGCCGGGGTGGGGGGTGGCGAGTGCCGGGGTGGGGGGTGGCGAGTGCCGGGGTGGGGGGTGGCGAGTGCCGGGGTGGGGGGTGGCGAGTGCCGGGGTGGGGGGTGGCGAGTGCCGGGGTGGGGGGGGCGGCGAGTGCCGGGTGGGGGGGGCGAGTGCCGGGGTGGGGGGGCGAGTGCCGGGGTGGGGGGGCGAGTGCCGGGGTGGGGGTGGCGAGTGCCGGGGTGGGGGTGGCGAGTGCCGGGGTGGGGGGGCGAGTGCCGGGGTGGGGGGTGGCGAGTGCCGGGGTGGGGGGTGGCGAGTGCCGGGGTGGGGGGTGGCGAGTGCCGGGGTGGGGGGGGCGAGTGCCGGGGTGGGGGGGGCGAGTGCCGGGGTGAGTGCCTGAACACACATTGCTGTCTTGTTCCACGATAGTTGCAAGGAGTCTGGTTGGGGAAGGAGGATCTTATGTTTGAACCCGGAGTCTGTCCATCTGTGAATGCAGAGAGAAACGTGAGTTACTGTCACTCACATTAAATGGTTTAAAGTGGTATCACTCACATATTCGCTGCTAATAGCTGTTATTCCAGGAACGAGATACATTATACAGACCCCACGACTTTATAACATAGCATTATACAGAGTCCTGTAACTCACTGGTTAGAGCACTCGCCTCACAAGCAAGAGACCTGGGTTTGATTTCTGGCAGCTCGAAACATTCGGCACGTTTCCTTACTCCTCACACCTCTGTTTACCTAGCAGTAACCCGGTTCTTAGTAGATTGGCGTATTGAAATAATACTTTCAAAAAAAAAAAAAATTGGTCACTCAATCCACGATTGTTTGTGGAACACTGCTGTGCACAATTGTCTGCCGCATTTCGGCCGCAAAATATACAGTCAATTCACTTTACAATATAATCTCTGATGAGCTTTGAAACGTCTCGAAGATGTGATAAGGCGCTATATCAAATGCAAGGATTATTATTATTAATAAATTGAGCACACAGCCATATGTGCAGCTACTTACACATAACCAGAAAACCTCGGTGGTTTGCATTCCTCAGATCACAAGGTACAGAATTCAGTGTCCGAGCCCAGGCTGCTAGCTTTCGTTGAAATGTTTCACTTACATCAGAGATGTAATGAATTGTTGAGACAAGACGACAATGTCAACGATCGTGGATGCTGCCGCTCGACGATGTCATCCGCAGATATGGGGTCAACTTCTACTGTATGCGGATAACACCCAAATCTACTTCTTCTCCTCAGCTGTGATTCCCAGTCTGCTGATGTCCTGTCAGCTTGTTCGACTTGCATCAAGGCCTGGATGATCACAAATTTCCTGCAGCTGATTGTCAGCAAGACAGGAGTCATACTCTTTGGGTCCCATCAATGTCTTCTATCCTGAACTCCTCAACCTCCCTGGGCTTTCCTTCAGACTTCCCAAACGCGTGAGCAACTTAGGCATCAGTTTCGATCCCCAGCTTTCCTTTCTACCCCACATCCGTTCCCTGACCAGCACCACTTCTTTCCACCTCCGCCACATGTCTGCCTCTGTCCATACCTCGCAACTGACGCAGCTGAAACCTCCCTACCTATCGGGCTTGCTTGCTCCCCACTCCACCACCCGCTGCCTCCGCTTGGCTTGCTCCGGCCTCCTATTTGCCCCTCATGCCTTCCGTTCCATCATCGATAGCCACGACGTACCGAAACGTCAAACTCTCTCAATCCCTCCGCCTTGCCCCCTCCCTGCCCACCTTCAAATCCTGCCTAAAGACCTTCCTTTTTGATTGTGTGTACCGAGACCACTTACAGAGGGTTGACTCAATTCCAACATTCTGCAAATCATGGCCAACTTTTTTTTGAGGGTATATTATCCTGAAAGCGATCCACCAATCGACAAATAACTGCGTTCCTACTTACTGCAAGTAAACAGACGTGTGTGGAGTAAGGAAACTTGCCTAAGGTTTCGCCATGCCTGAGAACTGAACCCGGGTCTTCTTGCTTGTGAGGCGACTGCTAACCACTACACTACCGGACTCCACACCGTGCTTTGTACCATGCACAGGCTCCAGCAATGAAAGACAGTATACAGATTACAAGACTATTACAACATAGCAATACATTGGGTAAATCACACTATGTGCAGCTACTTACACATGATGACCAGAAAACTTCGGTGGCTTGCATCGCTCAGAAAATTTCTGTACGTTTTGGAAGGCACAGAATCCAGCTTCTGAACCCAGACTTTCAGGTTTTGCTGAATTGCTTTATCCACATCAGACATGTTTTCCAGTGGAATGAATAGTTGAGACAAGTCCTTCATTCTAAATAATGACACAAAAGCAGACAATGAGATCTGAGCTGCATGTTGGCTCCAATGAGATCTCACTTTCCTGGTCATTTCATGTTACTGAGTCTCAGAGTGAAACAACAACACATTGCATTTATAAAGCTCCCTTCACGTCGGGAGGCTGTTCCAAGGCCTCGATAGAGGCGCGGGGAAGGAGCGAGTGAGTCAGAGAATGGAGAATCCGGGAATGCAGATCCAGAGGAGAAGCGGGGGCAAAATGGCGATGGTGGTGCAGATGTGGGGGGGTGGCATGAAGCAAGCTGGTGTTTGTTGGGCAAAGGGAATGGCCGGGTTGGGAGGTCACAGAGATAGGGTGGGGAAGGGAAATGTACGCTCTAGAAGAGTTTCTCACTGGGGAAAGAGAAAGCTTTCTGTGGGGAAACTTCTGGTGTGTGTGTATGTGTGGAACGGGAGGGGGGGGAAACCTACTGCTAGGTAAACAGATCACTCTCATCTTTGTCCGGCTTCACTGGCTCCCCATCCCTCAGAGAATCAAATTCAAAACCTTTGTTCTCACCTTCAAAGCCCTCCCCCCCTTGCTCACCCCCTACCTCTGCGACCCTCTAACCCCATATCAGCCTGTCTGCTCCCTCCACTCGGCAGACACCGACCTGCAGCAGATGCCCCATTGGTGGTCAGTCATTCAGCATCTCTGCCCCCACACTCAGGAACTCTGTCCCGCAATCCCTCCGCCTCACCCCCTCTCTTGCCTCCTTCAAGTCCCGTCTAAAGACCTTCCTCTTCAACTTCCTCTTCAACTGTGGCTTCGGCTAGGGAGGGTGCAGAAAACCCCGTCTTAGCTCCCACTATTTAGCAGGTGGATGATCATGCAAGATCAAGGGGAGCCCCGGGTGGATCTCGTTTGAAGGGACTGAGAACTCACTATCTGGCAAGCAGCCATTCACGATGGGAAGGTGCACCATCTGGCAGCGGGAATGGATGCTTCCCAACACCTGCGTGGCTCATTAACTGGCAGAGGCAGGAAGCATTTGGTAAGGACACTGGCTTTCCTTCCCCTCGGCTCAAGAGGGACTTTCTGGAACTCACACTGCAGCAACAAACAGATATTATTTCCACTGTGAGCCACTGTAATGAGAGGACGGTTCGTGGTAGAGAGTAGAGGGAACAGACAATCCGAATTTGGAAATGGTTCTCAAGCCGGCCAAAATCATTCCCTGGGCCGAATTCGGATTAGATTAGAAAGCCAGAGTGCTGCCAACTGAGCCAGAATGACATTGGTAGTGAGTGATTCTTTGTGCACAACAGGTTAATGCTAGGTCTCATACAGCTAACAATCTCTATGATATTGGATTAAACTCATTCCTCTTACCTGTCTGGCATGGAATTAAACTCCTGCAATAAAATAGATAGAAAATAAATGTAAGTAAAAGAGTCAGTATTTCCCAGCTCCTTTGTGTACACTTTACCATTAATTATACACTTACTTTTAAAATCCTATCCAACATCAAAAGTCATCTATTGTGAAGTACTGTGTTCCCCATTCTAACAACTCTCTGTGTAAACATAGTCTAACCAATGTCTTCTACTAATGTAACAATACCACCTTGTCCTCTTGTATGCACTCTGCCTCTATGTAATCTTAGAATTCCATTTGTGTTACAGTCTTGTCTACTTTGCACTGAACTTCGTGCTGATGTAGCAAAGGGAGCTGGGCTAGAGCCTGGGGTGTAGACAGGAAAAGCATTACCTGTATAAACACAAGCTCTTCATTCTGCTTCAAAACACTGGTCAAAGCAGCCGAAGAAGTTTCAATTTCCTTCAGTTGATTCTCCAGCTGTAAGATCTTTGTGTTGGTCTCTGTAGTTACACGTTTCTCTGCATCCTCCAGACGCTCGAGAACGTCCCTCTCCTCTTCTTCAACGCCTTTCTTCAGTAACTTGTATTTCTCTTTCACTTTGTGTTTGGTCTCCTGGAACTCATTCTAAAGGAAATTAGAGAAAATTGATGACACAACACACAACATCCCAGACAATGTATAGTTATCCCAGTTTCAAGTTGAATTCTTATTATTTTATAGTGAATAATAATAATAATCCTTGTATTTGATGTAGCGCCTTTCACATTGTGACAATGTTTCAAAGCACAGGATTTACTTAAAAGTGTAGTGACTGTATTTTGTAAGTGAATGAACTGTGCTTTAATAATAAATAACAATAATAATCCTTGCATTTAACACAGCGCCTTATCACGTCTTCGCAACATCTCAAAGCGCTTCACAGAATATACTGTAAAGTGAGTGGACTGTATATTTTGTGGGTGAAATGCCTGTATATTTTGTGGGCAGCCAATTGCACACAATAGTGTGCGTGATGAGTTGTGTGTGGAAGGCATTACTGAACCCTCCAGCTGCCGTGTGACGGCTCCTACCTGTGTGTTCTGTTTCTCTTTCTGAAGAAGGTTCAGAGCTGCTTGAACATCCTCAGTATTGCTCCCAATACTCTTCAGCTGACTTTGTAAATGATCCTGAAATGGAAAGAGAGAGAGAAGCGACTCACATCACAGGCAGGCAGATACAAGAACATAAGAATTAGGAGTAGGAGAAGGCCATTCAGCTCCTCTAGCCTGCCCTGCCATTCAATAAGATCATAGCTGATCTATTCTAATTCCACCTACCCGCCTTATCCCCTTATCCCTTTATCCACAAGAAATCTATCAATCTCAATCTTGAATATGTTCAAGGACTGAGCATCTACAGCCCTTTGGAGTAGAGAATTCCATAAATTCACTACTCTCTGAGTGAGGAATCACAGGACACCTAGAGCCATTTGTTGCAATGTGTCTCTTCAATATAAAACCTGGAATTCCATTTGCTTTTCAAAATCCCCCACTCTGACTCACAGGTTAAAATGCTACCAACTGAGCCAGGCTGACAATTAACAAACACTTACCCTCAGTTCCTTCTCTCCCTCGCTGATGCTGCTACAGTTGTGGTTCTTGTGCTTCCCTATTAAGGCACAGAGACTACAGATACAGACTTTATCATCTTTACAGTAAATCTTAAGTGGCTCCTGGTGCTCTGGGCACTTCCACAGGGACAGGTCACTGGTGACCTGTGTGAGGCTGTGGCTTTTGAACACAGAGTTCTCCCTGTGGTGCTTGAGGTGAATGGGACACAGGGAGGCTTCACACTTCAGGCAGGTTTTGATGGCCGGGAGCGGAGATTCGGTGCAGTAGTTACAGAGAACAGCATCCTGAGAGCTCTGCAGAGCCAGGTATTTCTGCACTATACTCGCCAGCTTGAAATTCTTCTCCAGACCAGGCCTCTCGCTGGTCTCTGCTCTGCACTCCGGGCAGGAGTAAGTGCCTGGGGCAGCCCCACTCCAGAACTCCTCGATACAGGCTCGACAGAAGCTGTGTTTGCACTCCAGCACCACAGGGTCCGTGTAAATGCCGAGGCAAACAGCGCAAGTTAACTCTGCCTCTAGGTTTCCCAGAGATAAAGCAGCCGCCATGATCCAGCTGTGAGATCAGGAAACGAAACTAAAAGTGTTGCAGCCAAAAGGGAGCAACAGGTTCATTGTGGGTAACTGGGAGTTTCCCAAAGGAAGAGCAAATAGAAAGGTTTATTTATGTTGGATTCTCCTTCAAGAACAAATTGACAATTAACAATAAGAAGAAGGGCTGGAGACACAAGAGGACACTGGGAATGGGACAAGGTGTGTGGATTAATGAGTTTTTGGATTGACAAAGAAGTTTACTAACACACCCTTGATTTGGATCCAGTTAGATTAGAATTTATGTATTGACTTCTGTCTGCTGGGGAGCTGAGCCACCATTATTAGTTCAATCAATCAAACTGTAAATTTTCACTGGCTATACTGTAACCAATTTACGAGCAAAACATTGGTGAGAAAAATTATCCACGTAACAAAGGCCACCAGAGTGAGGTATTCCAAGGATAATTAGCGCTTGTGGAAACCATGGGGTAAAATTTGCGGTATTCCTTAACACAATTCACACCCCCAGCGCGGGCCCAGCCAGCAGTGTAAAGCACTTTGAGATGTCATTAAATATAAATTATATTGTATTCCTTGTGTTAACGAGCACAAGGAATATCCATTTTTTTCCCATTACCTTAAATACATATCATCATATAATAGTAATCCTTGCATTTGACATATGACGTCCTTATGACGTCTTCAAGATGTCTCAAAGAGTTTCACAGAATATATTGTAAAGTGAATTGACTGTATATTTTCCTTAACCTACACTTAGCTGTATTCAGTACGCTATGCCAAGCCGGAAATTCCTTACCTCCGTCAATGAGAAATGTCATCTCCTCAGAAAACTCCATGTTTGTTAGACAAGATCTGCTGGAAGTAATTTATATAAAGCCTTAGTTGGACAACAAACATGTAAAGAACTGTGTACAGTTCTGGTCACTAAATTATAGGAAAGATAGCAATAGAGGGAGTACAGCGTAGATTTACAAGGATGTTACCATAGGTGTGTGTATACAGTTATCAAGAAAGACTGCACTAAGGGTTGAGACAATTAGAAGACCCCATAGAGGTGTTTGTACAAAAGGATTTGATAAACTCGATGTTGATATCAACATAGACAGGTCGTTTCCATTTGTTGGCAAGTCCATAAGACCATAAGGCGTAGGAGTAGGCCATTTGGCCCCTCAAGCCTGCCCCACTATTTAATAAGATCATGGCTGATCTTCTAACCTACTTCCATTAACCCACCCTATCCCCATATCCCTTAATCCCTCTATCCTTTAGAAATCTATCAACCTCAGTCTTGAATATGTTTAAGGACTGAGCATCCACAGCCTTCTCGGGTAGAGAATTCCACAAATTCACTACCCTCTGAGTGAAGAAATGTTTCCTCAACTCAGTTTGAAAAGGCTGACCCCTTAATCTTGAGATTATGACCCCTAGTTTTAGTTTCTCCAACCGAGGGAAAGTCTCACAGCATCTACCCTGTCAAGACCCTTAAGAATCTTATAGGTTTCTATAAAATCACCTGTAATTCTTCTATATTGTGGAGAATATAGGCCTAGTTTACTCAACCTATCCTCATAGGTCAACTCCCACATCCCAGGAACCAACCTAGTGAATCTATGCTGTACCCCCTCTAAGGCGAGTATGTCCTTCCTTAAATAAGGAGACCAAAACTGCACACAATATTCCAGGTGCAGTCTCACCAAGGCCTTATACAACTGCAGCAAGACTTCCCTACTCTTGTACTCTCAACCCTTTTGCAAAGAACGCCAACATGGCATTAGCCTTCCTAGTTGCTTGCTGTACCTACATACTAACTTTTTGTGACTGGTGTACAAGGACACCCAAATCCCTCCGAACACTTAACACTACCTAGTCTCTCCCCCTCTAGAAAATAATCCGTTTTTCTACTTTTACTAACTAGGGGAATAACTTCACCTTCCCCACGTTAAATTCCATCTGCCACCTTCTTGCCCACTCACCTAGCCTGTCTATTTCCCTTTGCATTCTTTGTGAGTCATTCTCACAGCTTACACTCCGTATCGTCTGCCAATTTAGATAGTTCTATTTCCTCATCTAAATTGTTGATAAAGATTGTAAATGATTGAGGCCCAAGCACTGATTCTTGTGGCACTCCACTCGCTACATCCTGCCAATCTGAGAAGGACCCATTTATCCCTACTCTCTGTTTTCTTCCTGTTAGCCACTCTCCAATCCATGCTAATATATTGTGTTTAATTCCATGGACTCTGATCTTCTGCAACAGACTAATGTGGCATCTTGTCGAATGCCTTCTGGAAATCCAAATACACATCTACTGGTTCCCCCCAAAACTAGAGGGCATAAATATAATAGAACAAATTACATTTGTATAGTGCCTTTCACGTTGGAAGGATGCCCCATTCAACAGTAGATCTATGTAATAGAAAGCTTAGGAGGAACTTCTTCATACAGAGGCTGGTCAGTGTGTGGAATTCACTGCCAGAAGCTGCAGTTTGAACAATTGTATTTAAGAAAAAACTTAATGTGTACAGGAGAAAGGAAACAGAAGTAAAAGTGAAGGGAATAGGAGAGGTGGGAGCTACTACGAAGTATACATACCAACACAAACTAGTTGGGCCGAATGGCCTGTTTCCATACTGTTATCATTCTATGCAACCGTATGTATATATGCTCTGCTGAAGTTATGTTGGTTTTGTTTATTTAGCTCTGTTACCTCGGTCAAACACTGAAACCACATTTACTTGCTTCCAGTCTTTTGGACTATCCCAGTGTTCACTGACCGCCTCATATTGAACAGTGCTTCAGAAAACTCTTGTCTGGTCTCTTCAAGTACTCGAGGAAAGTTTATCCATCCATCATGGGAGTTGTTGTTGTTAAAGCAATGGGCAACAAAATCTCCACTATTGGCTCACTGGATGAATAACCTCAATATTGCGGTGCCGAGCCAAAACACACCAGGAACACCTCGGCTTTGATTCCTGGTCTGTAGCTGAAGAAATTCATTTCAACTGAAACAGTGGTAGAAGCCCTCCAGACTAACTTGAATGATCCTGGGCTGGGAAGGAAAATATAATGTTAAAGCATGGTTACTTAAAGCTGATCACACGAATGGAAAATCATGGTCGTCACACATAGGTGTCAACCGAGCACACAATTGGGTTGGTCTGTGAGGCCTGACCCCAGAGTTGAACAGTCCGCTCACATTCACTCGTTAATAAATAGCAATGTTAGCGGACTGTCAGCACCCACAAAACTGTAACCCAGCATGAAAGAAACTTTAAGGACATATCTTCAAGACCATTTCCAGACACTGAGCAGATTTAATGGCGCGTATAATAAATCGTTACATTTGATGTAGCACTTTTCACGGCTTCTAGACGTCTCAAAGCGCTTCACAGAATATACTGTAGAGTGAATTGACTGTATATTTGTGGGTGAAACGCGGCAGCCAATTTGCTCGCAGCACTGTCCCACAAACAGTCTTGGATTGAGTGACCAAATTATTATATATTTTTTAAGGATTATTATTCCTGGAAAAGCGATTCGCCAATCGACCAACAATCAGGTTCCTACCTACTGCTGGGTAAACAGGCGTGTGGAGTAAGGAAACTTGCCCAACATTTCGCCCTGCCAGGAATAGAACCCAGGTCTCTCACTTGCGAGGCGAGTGCTCTAACCACTGAGCTACAGGACTCCACGTGAATGGTGGTCAACTGGAGGCATGCAGAATAAAGGTAACTGAAAAGAAACTACCGACTCAGAACTTTTACTCCTGCAGAAGAACAGTTTAAAATGGTTCACAAAAAATCATTACATTATGTTGGGTGGGTGACCAACGAGAAAAGACAATTCAGATTTAAAGATGTCAAAGATTTAACAGTTCAGACAGCTCTCTGAAACCACACATACCAGGGCAAGTGGTAAACACTGTAAGGCTTCAGAGTCTTTCCTTTATCCACTCAAAGGAGACAAGTCAGAAGGTTCAATTTTAAGCCAACAAAAATGTTTACAATTTAGTCAGTATAAAAATTTTCATCCTATTATTGATGGTTACAACTTTGCCCTGCTGCACATTTAAAAAAAGAGGATGAAAAAAAACCCAAGAATATTATTGTTTAAGCAGGACCCTCAGTGAAAAATATGATTAATATTGTAATGTTCTGATCCACACTAATATTCAGAAATGGATTTAGTCCTCTGCTTATGTTCCAGCTCCAACGTATTCTGGTATAAGTTGTGCCGTGATCGATCAGTCCAGCCAACAGTGAGTCGTTTGGGATCTTCAAGGCTGTACTTTGTTGTAGGAGTGAAGTCGCCATTTAACGCAGGACAAACACGGCTTCTTTACGTGGCACGTGCTTCACTCCTGGGCTGGCGGGTCCTGTGTCTCCTTCTTCACTGCAGTAATGGGAGACAAAAAAAAAATCACAAGGCCTTACTATCCAAGCCATCAACATAGAATCATATATTTATCAAACTAACAGTAGAAAGCAATAAAAAGGAAAAAAAAATTCTACTTTGAAACATGAGGGTAGTTCAAGACCACCAATATAACTATTTACCATGGGGGGGGGGGGGGGGGGGGTAAATTGACCTGATCCTTTAGTAGTTTGGTTTCGAGCTAGACAGTCCATATACGCCAGAGGTCTATTCACAATAGACCAACCAGCCTGGCTCCTTACCAAGACTTGAAGGAACAGCCCAGTCACTGGCAGCTGGGCTTTTTCCCCCTATGCCTCCTGTGAAGTGTGCAAGCCAAAGCCATACTAGAGAGGGCGATCCGAGCTGGGACATGTAGCAGGAAGCTTACCAATGTTTGCGCAACAGCTTGAAGATGTGATAAGGCGCTACATCAAATGCAAGGATTATTATTATAAGCTAAATAATAAGTTACAAGATGTCCACACAAGCAGCACCCCAGAGTAAACACAAGACTAGATTCAAGGTCCAAACCTCTTACACTCGTCTCTTGCTTTCATCCGAGCAATGAAGGAGTAACTCTTGTTTCTTCGATAATTCTCATAAGGATCATCCAGTGGAACTCCCACTCCTTTATACTGATCCCACTTATCGCGGATCTCTCCTCCTTTGATTGGGTCTTGGATGCCCTGTTCCTTTGCCCCGAGTCCTCCTGAGCCGCTCCAGCCTAGAACAAACCAACAATAATCTCCTGATTTCCCACTACGGTACATGCTCAAAGCCCACAATTATGAAGAAAATGTAGTTTTATTTTAAATTATCTTTTAAATTCACTTGTGGGGAATAATATTTTAATATCAATTGTTAATCTTAATATTAAGACACATTTTTGTCCAATTTTTCCTCTCCTGAAGGAGTTTCAGGCTCCCTTTTCCTGCTACTGGCATATGGTTCCACAGATGTCAGATACCCTCTTATACTTCAGTCGGCAATGCTCATCTGTGCGTGTGGATCTTGCGTGTTGGTTGGCTATTCAACTGCAGGTGGGATACTGGCCAAGCCAGATGCTGTCTTTACTTGATAATCATATACCCAAGAGGTCCCTGGATATTAATCAGAAGCAAAACCCTAGCTGATTTTCCTTTCACTAACCCAAGTGTCCCTACGCCAATTCAAGCCCCAACTGCTGTCTGACCAAGATCTGTAACTCAGATTCAATCCTGCGAACTTCAGCTCCATATGGTCCAGTGTTGCATTAAGCAGCGCCTGTACTTACCAGCATGGGCAGAGTTGGGTAGAGCACATATCTCTCAACAATTAAAACACTGTATTCTAATGGTTAAGAAGTATTTTGTTCGAAAGAATTAGTACACAAGGTGATTCATTTGTAAGAAAAGTGGTCATTCTTTCACCTTAGAACCAATGGTGGTTTTGACACAACGATCTGAATAGAATGGTCACGTAAATCACACAGATAATACAACAACCCATACCCATCTTCATCAACAGCTGATGGCCTTTGTTTTCTTCTCCTAGTCTCTGATCGGGCGTAAGAGTCGCAGAACCAGCCCCAAGTCCTGTTGTGGAACTACAAGAGACAGCAACGTTAATAAGTCAGTTTTATGATAGGGTCACTGTGGGCACAAAGACGGTACAGACCACTTACAATGTACTGCCAGCTTAATTTGTGAGGGAGTAAACTGCCTTTCACACAGTTCCAACTGCCTGTGTACTGAAGGGATGTCCAACATCGAGAGGCTATTATATGTATCAGGGGTCAAAAATGTATTGTTCCAAGTTGTTGATGGTTTCTTGGCCTTTTTTTCCCTTGTGCAAGTGGCTTCTGAATGGCCTGACCCGCTGGAACTGCTCAGATACTGAGGCCCAGACACTTCTTTGGCTGCCAATGGACTTTGCAGCTAGATTTCACACATACAGAGTTGCAGCACGAGTACCAGAGAATACAAAGCACTTACGGCGGAGTCTGACTCCTTGAACGTGATACACGTCTCTTTCCTGGCGAGTAGGATCGAGACCGTGACCGGGATCTTGACCTGGATCTGCTATGAGACGAGTGGGAGCGGCTCCTGCTGGGAGAAACAGGGAAGGTAATCAGAATGTGCAGGCCACAAAGCAACAACTTCCATTTATATAACGCCCTTCATGCTGGATAACGTCCCGGAGACATCCTGAAGAGGAGTAGGGAATGATGAGGAGAGAGTGTAAACCTCTTTTTATTCAAAACAAAACTTCAATAAGTACTTATTTTTGTAATTTTTTAAAAAAAAACTGCAAGTGGGTGACTGAAGCAGGTGTGTCTGTTCCACAAAGGGAGGAATACATTACGATGCTTTTGAAACCTGGGGCTGACTTCAATTCAGCACTAATGGGATCAAGCTCCTGTAGGAGAAGCAACATCAAATCTTGTGGAATAGATTTAACTGTTCCACAGGCACTGTGGTACCTGAACCCTGGGCACTGGGATGGGTAAACATGATGCCAATGAGACAAAGGATTTTTTTAATATTATTTTTTCTTGACTTGCATCATGGGCAAGCTAGACTGGGACCTTAAATCCATGGTAGGGTAACAATTTCTTTTCTAAATATAACTTGGATTGTGAGGATTTGAGGAGAGAAACAATTTGAAAAGAGAAGGGAGTTTCTCTTGGTGTCCTGGTCAACAATTCTTTAGACAAATTGCTCATTCACGTCATGGCTGTTTGTGGAACGTTGTTGTGCAAAAACATGACCGTGTTCAGCAGCAAAAACAAGCCATTAACACACAGTAGTAATTATTTGTGAAATGCTTGATAAGGTGCTATAAAAATGCAAGTTTTTCTTTTCTTCAGTTTGTATCCAACCTTTGAAAGTTTGAGGAAGGAAGCAGGAAGGAAACAGGCGGGTGGGTGTTTGAAAAGGTCTATTCTTTGCTCTTACCTGGACCGTGATGGAGAATACGAATGAGAACGGGAGCGAGACCGGGAACGTGATCTAGAGTAAGAACCGGAGGATCCCGAAGATCTGGAGCTCGAACCAGAGGAAGATCGCCTGCTGCTCCTTGACCGACTGCGAGATCTTGAACGGCCGCTGTGGGAAACAAACACACTTTGAGAGTTTGCCTTAAAATTCAACTTCAGTTCCAGCACCTCCCATCAATTTTTTTTTCTTTTTTTACAATCAGAGATCCATCGTTCCTTCCCTGGGATTGGGGAAGAGATGAGGCTGGGAAGAAAAATGGATTAAATCTGAAAGCAACAGCATCACATGCCATTTTGTATGTCTGATTTATTTTCCACTTCCTTTCCTCACCACAGACAACCGTGTTGCACTATAGCCTGCTATACACTATACTGAGCTTCAAAGTCTGAGATAAAACACGTTGGAGCTAGACCTGCAAATCAAAGGGTTCACGAGAACCACCCAGAGTGAGCAATGTCAAAATATTGTTATCAAATGCAAGGATTATTATAGTGTTAGGATTTTCCTGATCGTTATTATTTTGCCACTCCTTCACCCCCCATAGATGCTGACTTTGCTGGGTACGATTCTATGCCGTTTCGCAAATGAAATGCATATTATAATCATCATTAGGGCCATGAACTGCACAATCCCTGTGTAACCATTTATGGTGTGCCTCCATTCTTCATATGCACGTCAACAGAACAAGCGCTAGTGAACTATTCAGCTAATACTACAGGGCAACGTAGTAGCACCTGCTCTTACAGAGAGTCTCACAAGTACGTTTTGTAGGAGGGCTCACTGGATAATGATCAGGAGCACGAATGCTCCCCTTTCCCTAAACCAAGAATCACTGAGGCCAATCGAAGACCAGGCACAATCTAAGAAAGGTTTCAAAACAGTTTATAAATCAAACGTTTCAGTCACATTTCTCTCGTGTTGCTACAGACACTCTCACCTGTTCCTCTTTTCCTGTCCCTTTTTCCTCCGGGCTCTCATTTTGGCCCGGAAGAACTCGTACAGTCCATTCTGCTCCCAGCCTTCACTGCAGAAACGGGAAGAAAGAATTGTGAACGTCAAGCGAGTTGCACTGAGCACAAGGGGAAAAAAAGCCAAGAAATCATTGAGAATAATATTGTTGCCTAACATTGCTACATCTATCACTCTGAAATGAATTAGATAGGAACAGAAGGCCATTCAGCCCACTGAACCGATTCCACCAGTTTATTCAATCGTGGCTGTAGTTTATGTTATAATCTACTATATGCAATTGGCTTCCGCATCTCGCCCACAAAATACAGTCAATTCAGTTTACAGTATATTCTGTGAAGCGCTTTGAGACATCTCATTGATGTGATAAGGCGCTATATCAAATGCAAAGATTATTATTATGTGCCTTTTCTCCATAACTCTCAATACCTTTCCGAAATATCCACCTCCCTTTCAAACATGCAAATTGATGGCCTTCCGAGGCACTGAATACCACTCGCCTAATCTCCTGTGTGAAGAAATTTGTCCTCTTCTAACTGGGCTCAGCTCTAGTTTTAAGATTGTTTTGGATAACTCTACCAGAAAACAAAGAGTAATTGAGCGCTCTGAGACGCTGTCCTGCCTAAGGGAGAAGGGTGCTATATAAATACAAGTTGTTGTTGTTATTGGAATTCTTATTGGAATGCATAACGTGTTAATTTTAATTAATAATTTTAACTAAACCCCTTTATTTGAAGACCTAACTTCCTGGAATGGAACAGCTCCCGCTAATATTTGTAACTTGGGTTTACTAACAGTACCTCTCACTGATCAGAGTGCCAGGAGTCTTGATTGCACTTAGTAAACATTGTAAAACAGTTCAGTCTTAAGTGCACACAGTGTAAGGGATGTTTCACAAGGTAGACACGAAGCAAAAAGCACAGGATTAACGAGACTCCCACCTGTTCCTTGGCCTATCGTGAGATGGTGGGCTGTAGAATGCCTCAACAGCAGCCAGTAGCCTGTCACTGGGGGGCATTGGGGGAGGAAGACGCATATCTTTGGGCTCCAGGGCCTTGTAGTCATAATCTTCCAGCTGTCTCAAAATAAAAAAAGAACACTAGTAATGCACAGCACAAAATCAGTGGAATGTTCACAGTCTATTTACAGATCAATCTTGTCCACCCCACAACTATTCAGTCCTTAAGAAGAAGCATTAAATCACTGTACTGTCTACCTGCTTTTCAGGATCGACATTGAAGATCCTATCACACAATTTGAAAAGAGGAGTTGCTCTTGGTGTCCTGGCCCACAGTCCTCCAGACAAAATGAAAAGGTGCAATATCAAATGCAAAGATTATTATTATTTTCCCTTGTAGATCCAGATTTAAGGATTGAACTTAACTACAATGAAAGCAGTCCTTAATTTTCTGGATCTTTTGAACCTCATACCAACAACAACAAATTACATTTGTAAAGCTCCTTTCATGTCGAGAGGATGTCCCAAGGCGCTTGACAGTCAGGGATTTGAACCCGAGCAGGGGTTTGGGATCAGGAGGGGTTGGAGGACAGGGAGCATAGGAGGTTGGCCAAAGGCACGGTCGAAGAGGAGGGTCTTGAGATGTGCCTTGAAGGAGGCGAGGGTCATAGCTGTAAGAGGATCTAAAAAGGCTTGAGCAATGAACGCTGCTTACCTTCACGAGCGGTGCCATTAATCCTGCCGGGAGATCAAAGTACGGCACGTTGGGCACGAGGCTGGGGTCGTCCGGGCTGATCTGGGGTGGAGGCGGCCCCTGTCGCCGGATGTGCGGAGGCTGCCCATTGAAACCGGGGGGAGGAGCAGCGAAGTCTGGGTGTTGGGGCCCTCCCCATGGTGGGGGCTCTGCCATTCCAGGAGGGGGCAGTCGGTGTGGAGCGTGGTGAGGGGGTCCCATATCTGCAATAAGTTACATCACAGGAGATTCTTCAATCAAATCTCTACTCCCCAAGTTCAGATTTTGCATGTTTTTTTTTAAAAAAAAGTTTGGTTACTGGGCTAGCCTCTAAGGGGTGAATGCCTGAACCAATGATCATAATAAAGCATAAGCTTAAATGCTCTCGGGTGTGAATTGTGTATCAGACAGCAGGTTAAACCGTGAACAAACGGAAAATATGCAACAAAAACAATCAGTAAACTCAACAGTAACGCACATTTTGACACAATGTGGAGCTATAAAAATGAAAGTTTTGTTCTATCGAGCCGAGATCCAGACATCATCTCAAGCATTAATGAATTGGGGTTTGGCATGAGAGAGTATTTAATGGTTTTTAAGTCTAATTTGTAATCAGCTTTGCTAAAATCCATCTCTCCTCCCGATTATCTCCCTTTGTCGGATTGGATGTTCGTAAGCTTGGGGATGGGTTTCCGAATGTGCCAGACACCCAGCTGACGAAAACAAATCCCTTTAATCAATCTTTCTCCCAGAATCAGTTGACGCTGGTCCCAAGCCAAGGTTGCTCTCATGTCGTTCCTTGCTTGTCCCACTAGGCGGGGCACGCCAAAGCTTTACCAGTCGATCATTCTCCAGAAACCCAACCCCAGAAACAACTCCAGGGAAGCTGGAGCGTGAATGTCAATCAAGGGACTAACTACAAACTGGAATCTTTTACTACTCAATCACTCTCACCCTGCCTCTATTTCTACTCGGCATTCAAGTGAACAGAGAGAGAGAGAGAGAGAGAGGAAAAAAAACACTCAAAAATCTCGAAGCCATAATATTGTTTCACCCGTAAAATATACAGTCAATTCACTTTACACTATACCGTATGAGACACATTGAAACATCTCAAAGACGTGATAAAGCGCTATATCAAATGCAGGGATTCTTATTATTGTGTAGAAAAAATTCAATTTGGTAAAGAAAAGGACAATTCAGACGAGCAGCAGTAAAAGGGTACAGTATAAAGAACGGTATACAAGGTTACCCAGCAGATGGACTGGTACCAAGCTTTGCTTTACCTGGTGGGAAGTCGCCCTGTTGATAGTCAAAGTGATGAGGTGGGTAGGGAGGCCGGTCAAAGTGGTGCCGGGGAGGAAACTCCTCCTGCATGAAGCGTGGTGGCATACGGTTGAAATTGTGGGGGTGCGGTGGCTGGTTAAACTGCGGGTGCTGCTGGTGCGGAGGGAACGGGGGCTGCTGGCGGAAGTGAGGAGGCCGCTGCATCCTGAAGGGCGGCTCCCGCTGCGCGCCCCAGGGCGGTTCGTGTTGGCTGTTCCACGGGGGCTCGAACTGGTTGTTCCAGGCGGGCTCGTGCTGGCTGTTCCAGGGAGCGTCTCGCTGGTTGTTCCACGATGGCTCCCTCTGGTCGTTCCACATCCCCTCGTGATTGTTGTTCCAGGGCTGGCAGTGAGGCGGGCCCTGATGGGGAGCATTAAACTGCTGGTCAAACTGTGGATTGCACAATTGAGAAAGGCGTGTTGAGAATGTGTTTAGACCCGTTTATTCACTTGGCAATTCTTCCAACTCCACTTCTCTGTTGCTGTGCTGCCCAGGCTGACTGCAAGGCACTCTATTGTTGGAGGTGACGTCCTTTGTTTCAAGACAATAACCTGAGGCTCATCTGCACATTCAGGTGGATATGAACACAACCTATGCACTATCAAAAACAGAAGCGACTTTCTCCCAGTCTCCTAGCCAACAACCCCCCAATTTTTTGTAAAATTGGTCATTCACTTTACTGCTGTATCTGGGACAATGCTGCGTCCCGAGTGGCTACTGGGTTGACTTATAAAGGTTCTGTGACAAACTTTTGAGACCTTTTGATGTGATAAGGCACTGTATCAAATGCTGCCACTGTTAATAATTACATCAGTGGTTCCTCTCATGCTGGGTTGCTAGTTTCACTGAAGTGGTCATAACAAGCTGGCTGCTTTATTTTGTTTAATTTAATTTCACAATTTATCCAAATTCACACAGAAAGCAATAGGTTTCAGCCACAGGGTAGGAGGGAAAAAAAACGCAGCCCAAATACCAAATATGTGAAGGGTTAAAGGCTCTGATGTTCCTAGTGCTCCCACTTCCCAAGCTTGGGGGCAGAGGAGAAATCTGCTCTTGAGCACTAACCTTTTATCTGGAAAGAATTGTGCATGGACATCGGGTAAAGAGAGGGCAGGATGGGCTGCAATGACTCTCTCCAGACATTCTCCAACATTCACAGAAACTCGGAGGGGAGCTAATTCTTTCCCAGTTTCCCACAGCCAGTACGTATGTATATAGTCTTGACAGTGCTCTGTATTATTGAATGTGTACCTGTTGCTGTTGGCCCCACATGGGCATAGCAGGGCGTTCGAACCACGGGGGCTTCGAAGAGGAGTGTTCGTGCTGCCCAGGTCCTCGCTGCCCTCCTGGCCCGGATTCCTGTCCTCCACTCGGCACATTTTCAGGAATGGGATGCGGTGCCTTGGTATCATCTGAAACACCAGCCGCAGGTTTTTAGATTGGATTCCTCAACGGTACGACAGGAAACAGCACCGATACTCAACCGCAACCCCACCCCACTCTACCAAGCCGCAGCATTAGAAGAATCAACTGAACCCAGGCAGCCAGCCAACCACCTGCTCAGAGATGTGCAACAGTGTCTTAGGGTGAATCTAGGCCTGCCGGTGGTACAGTGAAAAAAATGATAATTGGTGACTCAATCCACAACTGTTTGTGGGACACCACTGTGCGCAATTGGCTGCTGCGTTTCGCCCACAGTATATACAGTCAACTCACTTTACAGTCTATTTGAGAGCTCTGAAACGTATGGAAGATGTGATAAGGCACTATATCAAATGCAAGGGTTATTAATTTATTGTAGTCAAGATTGAAACTTCACTATAATAATAATAATCCTTGCATTTGATATAGCGCTTTTCACGTCAGGAGGACGTCCCAAAGTGCTTCACAGAACACACTGTAAAGTGAATTGACTGTATATTTGTGGGCGAAATACCACCAGGTGGTAAATTGCTGCTGTTACACCCACATTCTCCCAGGCTGTGACATAGGATACTGTACCTCCAATATGCAATGCCTGAGAGAACCTTCAAATGGAAGAACACTGTAAATTAAGCTGCAGTTTCAAAGTAAATTTGGTTGCAGATCCAATCAGAGCTCAACGATTTTTCCAACTTTTTTTTAAAAAACAATCCCTGCGAACAATAAGGGAAACGTTTTTAACACAATGACCCGTCATAAATGAAAATAAACTGACGTGTTAAAAGAAACGAGGCACTTTCTGCAGCCTGTGCATATTCGTCTTCATCACTTGGGTGGAGTATCAGAGGACCACCTAAATGCCAGCAGAAAGACAAAGGGCATTAGAGGGGATGCTGATTAACAGAGGACACCTCCATTCACAAATTTTACGTCGGAGACACAAAGGTACGAAAGGAAGGTTACACACTGAAAACGGTGCACTGAAGCATCCACCCCCCCGACCCCTTAAGTGGAACACCATGAGGTATCCAAATTGATTACTTGCCCACTGTTGTTGTACCTGGTGGTTCTGTAGGAGCAGAAACTGGTGGCTCCTGGCTTTGGGGTAAGACGATGTGGGGCGGTGGAGCGTCGGGCTCAAGCAGTGGCTGTTGATGGTGATGCTTGGTCAGACTGTCCACAAACTCCTGGTGCTGGCCCTTCAGGGTCTGAATCTGCTGCTGGAAGGCCATCTGTATGGGCTGCACCACGCCTGCAAACTCTGTAATCAAAGATGCCTGTGGGAGGCACCACAAAAAAAATCAGAGGACAGGCACGAGAGTAAAGCTGGGCACTAAGAGAATCTGCAACTTCAATGGCCTAATGCACCAGTTGGAATGTTCCCTACTAACCTGGTATTGTCCAAGACCAAGGGCTGGGCTCTGTAGCTGCTGAATAATGGACTCGTCAAAATAGCCATTCTTCTCCCACAGTTGCAGCAGCTGTCGGAAATAAAAGATTGGAGTTTGTGTTGCTAGAGTTGCAGGAGATAGCTCCAAGGGACTAAGACATGATGGGCTGGCAAGCCAGGTCCCCACCCGGTTTTAAACACTTACCCTCGCAATCTTCTGCTGTTTATCTTCTTCCACTGCAAGGAAGCTGGTGCAGTATATGGGAACCACAACTTTCTGCAGTGCTGCGAGCAGCTCTCGAGCCTGCTTCCGCTGACTGCGAATACAAAAGAAGTTATCGTTGAGTCAGATGGGCAAAGTCTGGTCTTCCAAAATGTTCGCCTTTTACTAAATCTACTTGAAAAGGGCTTCTCAAATGTCCTCTCAGCAACTGAAAGTTGTGCCTTTGTATGAGAAACACTTTGATCAGAAATCAGATGAGGAGTTTTGTGAACTGATAAGAGCTAGCGTCTGTGAATCATCGTACAAGATTTAGTCATTTATTTAGATAATGACTTCAAACACAACCAGAAACAGTGATATGCAACTTTAATCTGGCTCATTGGTAGCACTGTCTCAAAAAGTTGTGGGTTCAAGCCCCAAGTATGACTATGGCTTTGGGCTCATAACACCTTGTCACTCCGGTGAAGTGCTGGGAGAATGTTGCATTGTTTGCTGGAGGTGACATCTCTTGGATGAGATTTTAAACTGAAGTCCTGTCTGTCTGTTCAGGTGGACATTAAGCATCCCAGTGTGCTGACCAATAATCTGCCAGATATAAAATTGGTCATTCACTTTATGGTTGTTTGTGAGACATTGCTGTGTTCAAATTGGCTGCCAAATTCACCTACAAATACAGATACTACACTTTACGGCAAAATCCTGTCAAGCTCTTTCAGATTTTTGTGATGTGATAAGGCATTATATCATATGCAATACTATTATTTATAACATATAAAGAAACTCAAAAGTAAAAAATATTTGCACAAATTATAAAACATAATTGGTTTACACAGTGGATGGTACAAAGGTACAGTCAGGATTACTTCCACACAATTTATCAAGGTGATTTAAGATTTGTTTCATGTCTTATAAAAATCAAAGCTTGGGACACATTTTCAAACCTGAACCCAAAGATGTGCTAGTGCCTTGAAACATACGTTTTACTTCGCTGAATCATTGACTATTATGACCCAGTGAAAGAGTGAGCAAAATATTCCCAGCTTTTGTCTGGTTGCACTACTCTTTGAAATTGGCTATCAGGAACAACAAGTAAAGGAAGCGTTTCTTCACTCTTGGTCTCTGCTAATTGCCTCTTCACGATATAGCTAAGATTTGGGGCTAGCTGTGTGGGCAATGACAGATTATATTCGCAACATACCAGCACTCTATGGCACAGCAAAGTGGAGTTGTAGCAGATTTTACTGCCTCATTAGTACTAAACTGCAACCTTGAGAAACATACTGATGCAATGCTGAGAAATAACTGGGATTCTGCACAACAGCGATAAATCAAGCTTTCTTTAGTCAGGCAGAATATGATCACCTGCTATCCTTCCCAAGCACACATAAGAACATAAGAATTTACTAGGTAAAAGAAGACAAAGGTCTGTCTAGTTCGCCTTCCACCATCCTGACATTTTATGTCCCAAACTATACACTAAGACACACAAACACACACTGCTATATATTTACTGCTACTTAAAATAGCAGTTTAAGATATTTCAAAAAGGACTTCATTGGAACAGGTCATCACAGCTATTGCATCTGCGCTATCATTTTATTAATTAAAATGGTAAGTTCTTCTCGAAAAAAAATAACGTTTCCCTACATAAATTATACCCTTTGCTTTCCAAGTACCCACTTAAACACCATATTTGCACCTGTAACTATGGGTGTATGGGAAAGTGTGCGAGTTCCTCAGGCTCACACCGTAATCCTATGAAGAAATACTTTTTGTTTCACTTTTAACCAGCTGAGGTCTACTTTTTAAGTTCACCTCTTGTTCTGGACTCTCCGAATGGAGGGAAGATTTGTTCCCAGTCTGTCTTGGGTATAATTTCCTACATGAGGCCCCTTAACCTTTTGGGATCTAAGGAATATAATCCAATCTTACCCAACCTTTTCCCTTCTTTTGTCCCATGTGGTGGAGCTCTGAGAACCAGACACTAACCAGTGGTGCAGCACATCATTTATAAGGTAAATCAAATGGAGTCGCAGCTCAAAATGAGCTCCTTCCGCTGTGATGCGGTTCCTCAGGTGGCCAGACATCAGCTCACAGTGCTGTGGAGTTTTTGCATTGTTAAACATCCAGTTCTTACCAGCCTAGGGATGAGAAAAGAAATGATTTGTCACCTTTACAGAAGGACATATGGATCAAACACTAACTAAATGTTGGGGTATAACAAAGAGCAACCTGAAGGGCAAGCATCACCTTCAGAACCACTTGTTTGAAAACAAAGTTATCAATGGGTTCTCTGTGTACCATGTACAAGACAACAAGTACTTCATGTCTCAACTACAACATCAATAGAATCAACTAACACTTCAGTAACCCGTGTTGATATTGGCGCAGTAATATTGGCATCAATAAGAGGTGGCTTCATGTTGTTGATGATACATGCCTCAGTACATTTAATTAGTAATCAATGGAGGAGGATAATCAAGAAGAACTGGAAGGAATCCCGCCCACCCCCCAACTATCCAAACAATATCACACAATCTCAGGGAACTTGCGAAACATTCAAATGAGAAGCCCCAGTCCGAAACTTCAATGCTTATATCAAATCAGTTACTGTGTTTCATTACATGGCAATCATTCACTTCATTTTGAATTAATCTTACTTGGTAAAGTATTTAAAGAAGTTTTTTTTATATGAAAGGCACTGGATAAACACATGTTTTTATGGCAGCTAAAATCAGGGTTTAGGTTGCAACAGCAAATTTCGTTTTGAATAAGTGCATTATGAAACTAAAATCAATGGGGTAAAAAAATGACTCTTCTGTGCCTGTAAATTCAGAACAAACACATCAAGAAGTGGCTGTATACCGAGATAGCATCCTTCGTACAGGTGTCAATAATGGGCTGAAGTAGACTGTCAAATTCTGTCATGTCCAGCTGCGTCTCCGACAGCAGCTTCTGTATTTGCTGTTCCATTGCGTGAGCAATGGCAGCCGTGATCTGCTCCTGCAGGGTTTAAACAACAGCACAGGCACATCAGTATCATGACTCAACAACTACAACAAACTTGTATTGCTGTTGCAAGATTTTTAATTTAAATTTTTATTTTATAAAAAAATTGCTTTGAGACCCCTAAACGATGTGATAAGGCACTATATCAAATGCAAGGATTATTATTATTATTAAGTTGCAGTCATTTATTAACTTTCTTCTGCCAAGCGCGATTCCCCCAATTGGCAGGGCAGATGACAAGGAAGCTTCTCTGACCTGTCGTTGCATGAGGAGATGCTGTTCCTGTTGCTGCAGATTCCACAGGCTTTGCTGAATCAGATCTTCCAACTGGGGCTGCCCTGGAACTCCTGTGGGTGGCACCTGGGATGGGTTTGGGGCAGGAACAGCAGAGACTGGTGCTGGAGATGGGACTGGTGCTGAGGCTGAGGGGGGGATTGGGGCTGCCACCTGTGGTTGAGCTGGAAGTTCGCTGTCCTGACCCGGCTGTTTGCACAACACTGAAATAATACAAATGTAAGCACTTTATAACAACACAAAAGTGTCTCAATAATTCAATAATTCGTACCACCATTAATTGATCTGCATTGGTCGACAAATGCATTAACTCTGAAAATATTTGAGTTTCGCCCACAAAATAATCAATCCAGTTTACAATATTATCATCATCATCCTTGCATTTGATATATTCTGTGATTCTTTGAGATGTCTGAATGACGTGATAAGACGATATATTAAATGCAAGGATTATTATTATCTACTGTAAGGGCTTCAGCAGGGCCATTGTGTTTCTGATCAGCAATGTGTGCTGGAACGTATGCACGCAGATGCCTGGTGTGCACAGGAACAGGCTCGGCTAAGCTGCTGCCTTGTTCAAGTAACCTGTGATAGTTGACTGACGAGGATCAAAAATTAAGAACAGACATTTGGCATGATACAACAACAACTTGCATTATATAGCGCCCTTCACTCAGGGTAGCAATGTGGATTATTAGATGCACCCAGGACATTAGAGTAATTGCAAGAGGAGAAAATATCAGCAAAATAAAAAAGGACATAAAGGCTCTAAATAACAATAATGCTTATATTTGATATAGTGCCTTATCACGTCTCAAAGCGCTTTACAGAATATACTGCAAAGCGCAGTGACTGTGCATTTTTGTGGGTGAAACTCATTCTTAAAATATGTTCTTGCTGCATGGCTCAGCATACACAAATTGTATTCCATACCCTTACATAGTAAAGACTTCTCTGAAGTGAATTTGTGCAGTTCTCCATCAGAAGAGTTGGTTACTAAGCATTTGCGCTTGCCGGGCCCCCAAGAATCAAATGCTTTCAAGTTAAAAGTCAAGATCCAGGATCACGAATAAAAGGCTCAAGCACTTTCCATGAAAGATTGGCGCAGAAGTTTTTTTTTTAAAAAATAAAAGGATGGAGGAGTCAAACAAGGTGGAAAAATCTGGTGACTTTTGATAAGAATGCAGTTTTCCAGCCTGATTACAACAACAAAATTACATTTGTATAGCACCTTTCACATCAGGAGGATGTTCCAAGGCACTGGACTACTGTCAGATTTATCCAAAATACTCTGGAAACCAAAGCAACTGCCATACTTACATTGCTGCTCGATGGCCAGTTTGTACTGGTAATAGTTGTAGTATTCACCTCCAAACAGGAAGGAAAACTTGGGATTTTCCTTCTGTTTCTCCATGGTCATCTTTTCAAATTCCGGTCCATTCCGGGCCACAAACTGTGCCAGTTTGTCGATGACATTCCTCAGCTCCTGGTCTGAAACAAAAATAACATTTACACTTAATCTCATTTGCATCATTAGTTGTCTGAATTGAAAATATTAATAATCCTTGCATTTTGTACAATGTCGAGACGTGTCAAAGCTCTTCACAGAATATAATGAAAAGTAAATTGACTGTATATTTTGTGGCCGAAACGCAGCAGCTAATTGTGCACAGCAATATCCCACAATCAGTCATGGATTGAGCAACAACTTTTTTTTATATACTTGCTTGGGTAAAGCATTGAGATAGGATTCTGATTAACTGATTCAACAAGTGTTTAATTGCATAACCATGAATGCAATTATTCATATCAACTCAGTCATCCCACCTCCCAAAAGAAAATTGAAGAGCTGGGTTCAAACACAGACTTCAGTACTTCCTACTCAAATTTCCAAAGCCTTTGAACAGGTTAGATATTTCTTAAATGTCGGAAAGCAAGAAATTAATTTTTAATTGGGTTGGTAGCGGCATTGGTGTTATGTGTCAGCAGACTCAGTTGGTAGCCCTTTTGCATCTGAGCCCAAAGTTATTGTAAATTCAATAATAATCCCCACATTTAATATAGGCTTTCACATCGCAAGGATATGGGATTTACTATAACGTAAAGAGGTTGTATTTGAATAAAACAACCAATTTTCAAACAAATATGAATTACCAATTTTATTTGGGAGAATGTTGGCCAGGACACTCCCTTCTATTTTTGAATAGTGCCATGTGATCTTTTACCATCTACCTAAATAGGCAGAGGGGACTTCAGTTTAATGTCTCTTCCAAAGGATGGCACTTACCTCTAACAATTAAGCACACATGTAACACTGCATTGAGGTGCCACTTTATATCTAAGACTTTATATCTGGTCCGCAGTCTGAACTCAGTCTTCGTACTTCAGCCTAACTCTAACGTGAATGGCACTATATCAAGTCTTACAATTATATGCCCTTGTAATGTCGTGCTGTCGATCTACATATTTATAATGGTCCCTACATTTGACATAGATACAGTCAGGAGGACACCGTCACATGATGTACTGTAAAGTGTGTAATTTTGTGGGGGAATGCAGCAGTCAATTTGCACACAGCATTGTCCTACAAATGGCCTTGAAATGAGTGATCAATTTTATTGGATGGAGGAGGAATTGTTGGCAAGGACACTGGAAGAAACTCCCTTCTCTTTTATAGTATGTTAGCATAGAAACAGGTCATTCGGCCCAAGTCTGCACAGATGATTTTCTCCAATATCACGTAGAAGATTACAACATTCAGCCATGTTTCATACAGACTAAATAAATTGCAATTATCTGTCGATTGATCAAGTTGGTAGATTTACATCATGTCGCAATCAACAAAAAATTCCAAACATCTCCTTAATAATAATAATCCTTGCATTTGATATAGCGCTTTTCACGTCGGGAGGACATCCCAAAGCGCTTCACTGAACACTCTGTAAAGTGAATTGACTGTATATTTGTGGGCGAATGCGGCAGCCAATTGCGCACAGCGATGTCCCACAAACAGTCATGGATTGAAGTGACCAATTTATTATTTTTTGGGGGTTTTGGAGGGATTATTATTAGGCTCTGTGTGGAGTAAGGAAACTTGCCCAAGGTTTCGCCCTCTGCCTGGAATTGAACCCACTTGCAAAGCGAGTGCTCGAACCACTGAGCTACAGGACTCCATTATACAATATACAATCCTTCACAATAGTTGGATAGTTGGGGGGGAAGGGAGGAGAGAGAAGAGAGTGAAAGGACAGGTTGTTTTGGGACTGGTGGTTATAATCACAACACAATAATAATCCTTGCATTTGATATGGCGACTCATCACCTCGTTAAGTCGCCTCAGAGCGCGTCACAGAGCATGCTGTAAAGCGGATCGACTGTATAATTTGTGGGAGAAACTATAACTACGGTTCTAACGCTCAAGGGAGCTTTCCTCCCTCAGCGGTCGCGCGCAGAGAGCAAAGACATTCTGCGACTGTGCACGTGGGACACCGCGGCCCGCAGCTGGCCGCCGCGTTTCCGCAAGCCAAACCCAGTCGCGACACTCTACACTCTGTCCCGTGAAGCGCCGTGAGACGTCTCGAAGGCGTGATAAGAGGGGCTGTATCAAATGCAAGGATTATCATCAGTCTGTGTTGTTATCCCATCACCCACCCCACCACCCACCCCCATCATCACCGCCACCACCACCACCACCAGCAGCAGCAGCACACACTCTAAGCACACAGTCCAGGCCAGAGAACAGTCCTTAGGCCCAGTCCAGAACTAACCCTCTGGCCCCTCCATTAAGTCTTTCACTACGGTTGGCTTTAACTCTCCTGCGCATGCGTGCTGCTCCCCAGACGGAGCGTCGGGAGCTGCCGCGCATGCGCGGCGGCTGCGCTCGACGCGCGGGAGGAGGGGGGCGGGGGGGAGAGAGAGAGAGAGGGGAGACGAGGCGGGCAGGGCTCAGGGCCTCAAGCATTGGCGCGCAGCGACATCACACTAAATCCAACCCCTAGACCCCCACCATTCACTCCCCTTTACCGGCCTGGCTCAGCCCGATTACACGCTCACCGTCAGGGGGTACCGGCATCTCCATGGCTGGGGGGGGGGTGGGGGGGAACTCCTGTCTGCTTCTTCTTCTGCTGTGCAACTCTCCTCCTCGTCGTCGTCGTCGCCGCCGCCTTCCTTCCTTCCGCTACGGTTTAAATCTCCCTTCGTCCCGTCCCCCGTTTCCCCCGTCCCACCACCACCACCCGCCGCCGACGGACGCCCTCTCGCTCGCGCGCGCGCACCAACTGCCGCCGCTCCGCAACCGGAAGTGAACCCCACGCGGGGCGGGCGGCTGCGCGTGAGGGCGGCTCGTGCGCACGCGCGTCGCCCCTGACAACGGGGAGGGGAAGGGGGTTGGGCAAGAAGGGGAGCAGCGGCGACGCCATGTTTGTGAGGGGCGGCCAAACCCACCCACTGTCTGACTGGACTGACTGACTGGATGGAACCGACCAAGACGTTGCTCTGCTCTCCCGCAGCTCAGCTTTAGTCAGAAAGGTTCAGTTGTTACGTGTGAGTTTCTCTTTTTCTTTAAAAAAAATCACGTGAGCGAGTTTTGCGGACAAGGTGGACACACGGTACAATGGGGGTATTTTTTTTGGGGGGGTCACCCAGGGGGGGGGGTCTTGACGACGACGACGACAACTTATATTTGTATCGCGCCTTTCACATCGGGAGGACGACCCTTGACGCGCGCGTTAACCCACCGCCAATCGTCTACCCCCCCCCCCACCCATTGACTCACCATCACCAATTGGCCAACCGACGACTGACCCGGTTGTTAAGTCGTTCGGACGGATCGCGGATCGATTGGCAGTAATACTTCCTTCCCCCCTTCCGCCCCACCCCATCCCGCACCCCAAAAAAATGTCATCACTCAATCCACAGTGGGACACCGCTTTGCGCAATTGGCTGCCGTGTTTCGCCCACAAAATACAGTCACTCCGCTTCGCAATATATTCTGTGAAGTGCTTCGAGACATCTCAAAATGCAAGCATTATTATTGTTGTTATTATTATTATTATGATGATCACCTTGCCTGAAGAGTGTTCAAACCAAACGTGATTCCGTGCAATTCCCCATGTTTATGGAAATTCCAGAGATGTCCCAAAGTAAAATGGAACCTCCCGCTTTATCTTTTGTACACCCTGCAATTTAATTTTTCATCAAAAAGACGGATAATTATTCCCTCTTGAATTTGCCAACGCAATGATCTGCAACATTATGAGCTGACCAGCAGCAGTGTCAAAACTTCAGTTGTCTTTAAAGGGACCAGAAGAGTCCAGATGCTGTGCGTTCAGTTCAAAGTTCAGAAAGTTGTAGGAAGCGCTTCAAAACTTCCTCCCGATGTAAAAGGTGCTATGTTGTATTCCCTCTTTCCCCTGAGCTGTAGAGGAAATGTATACTGTATTCACAATGTACAGGATATAATGTAATTGAAGGTAGTTAAGGACATGTTACACCAGCAAAAGCAAATATCTGTTTATAACTTGGGAGCAGACACAAGAAGAGAAACTAATTGAAGGCAGAAGCAGATGTCAGCCTGGCTTGTTTGGTAGCACTCTCACCTCTGAGTCAGAAGTTGTAGGTTCAAACCAAACATTGCAGACATTGTCCTCATAAAGTTGAAAATAAAACTCCATTGCTGGGGTGAACTGCATTGCTGGGGGTGAAGCCCTTCGGGTGAGACGTTCTGTGAACTTCAAGGATGATGAGTCACTTCTTCACTCCTAAAATAATCTTACAAAACTCCACGCAGAGCTGACCTTATATTTACCGCATTAGTAACAACAGTAAGCAGTACTGATAATTCAGTATCAGTACTGAATTTTTGATGCAGCGCCTTAATCGAGCCTTCGCGACGTCTCAAAGCACTTCACCGAATGCACTGTCGAGCAAATTTTGTGTGGGGGGGGGTTAATATATTCTCCTAAACAATCTAATATCATTATAGATTGAGACGCACAAAAGCTGAGGTCAGGCTGGGGGGGTGGCTGGTTTATTTTTTTCACCACAAAAAAATCGTACCTTGGAGGAGCGCATTCTTATTTTGAAACGCTTCCAGTCCAAGTCACAATGGACTTGTCTGTTCTCTCACAGACACTGTACAGACAGCAACTGAACACCAGGTGACCCGAGAGCTGGATCATGGCGGCTGCTTTATCCCTGGTAACCTTGGAGGAAGAGTTGACCTGCGCTATTTGCCTCGGCATTTACACGGACCCTGTGGTGCTGGAGTGCAAACACAGCTTCTGTCGAGCCTGTATCGAGGAGTTCTGGAGTGGGGCTGCCCCAGGCACTTACTCCTGCCCGGAGTGCAGAGCAGAGACCAGCGAGAGGCCTGGTCTGGAGAAGAATTTCAAGCTGGCGAGTATAGTGCAGAAATACCTGGCTCTGCAGAGCTCTCAGGATGCTGTTCTCTGTAACTACTGCACCGAATCTCCGCTCCCGGCCGTCAAAACCTGCCTGAAGTGTGAAGCCTCCCTGTGTCCCATTCACCTCAAGCACCACAGGGAGAACTCTGTGTTCAAAAGCCACAGCCTCACAGAGCTCACCACTGATCTGTCCCTGTGGAAGTGCCCAGAGCACCAGAAGTCGCTGGAGATTTACTGTAAAGACGATAAAGTCTGTGTCTGCAGCCTGTGTGCTTTAGTGGGGAAGCACAAGAACCACAACTGTAGCAGCATCAGCGAGGGAGAGAAGGAACTGAGGGTAAGTGTTTGTTAATTTTTCTATCTCTTTATCTAACCCTGTGTATATGTGTGCACAAGAAGGGAAACACAGTATCACAGAAACAGTAACCCAGTCATTTACCGGGACCTTACACAGTGATGAAAATACAATTTAATTCTTTCATTTCATACAGCAAAATTCTTTAATTTGATTCCAACCCCCAGCTCGGATGGAAACCCTTAACTGTCCAGTGCCTTCCGACATGAAAGGCCCTACATAAATGCAATTTTGCTGTTGCTTCACAATGATGTAAAATGTAGGTGACTGTATTTGTAGGCAAGCCCTGCAGCCATTTTTCCACACAGCAAGGTCCCACATTCCCATACTGTACAGCCATGATGTAAATGATCAGTTTTATCTGAAGGATTATTGTTGTAGGACAAACCTCCCTTCTCGTTTTGAAGTGTCACAAAGTGTGATTTTGGTCTGATGTGTTATTCCAAAGTACGGCACCTCCGACAATGCAGCACAACCCTATACTTACAAGAGTGTCAGTTTCAAGAGTGAGCTCAAAGTCCTCGAGTAGAGTTAAAATTCACAACCTTCTGACCTCTCGGCAAGCGTGTAAGCCACACTGACCCCTATTATACCTGTGTGGCAATTTGGAAACTCAAGACTGATGGTTTCAAATGTCTGAAATGTTTTTACGCAGAATTGGAAGCAATCTCCATAATACCATCTGAAATAAATATTGTTCATATTTAAAGGATACGGAGAAAGAACAGGAGGAATGGGATCAAAGTCGAGAGTACAATGTGCTGAATGGCCCCCTTGTGACCTGTAAATATCCAGTGATTTCACATTATGTCTGTGCTTCTATCTGCCTGCCCATGATGTTAGTCGCTTTTCTCTTGGTTTCCATTTCAGGATCATTTACAATGTCAGTTGGAGAGGATCAGGAGCAATACTGAGGCTGTTCAAGCAGCTCTGAACCTTCATCACAAAGAGAAACAGAACACGCAGGTAGGAGCCGTCAAACAGTAGCCGGAGGGTTTAGTCACGCCTTCCACACGCAACACACCAAAGCACATCATTCACTTAAAAGCGCAAGAATCCAACTTGAAACTGAAATAACTGTACAATGTCTGGGCAGCCCAGGGGGATTGTGCTGCCAACTTTCTCTCATTCTCTTAAGTGTAACAAAGCTCTTTCAGAGAGATGGCACAGGCACTGTGGGTTGAGGGGCCCTCTTCTGTGCTGCGAAATGTTTTTCTGATTCTAAATATACTGAAGAGGGAGTGAGTGTGACTTTATTATCGGAGGATCCAGCCACCTCTTGACATTTGCATTGAAAAAATAACCGAGCTGGGTGACGTATATATTTAAGCATACGTTTTGACAGAATGGAACAGAATAATAATAATAATCCTTGCATTTGATATAGCGCTTTTCACGTAGGGAGGACATCCCAAAGCGCTTCACAGAATAGACTGTAAAGTGAATTGACTGTATATTTGTGGGCGAACGCGGCAGCCAATTACGCACAGCAATGTCCCACAGTCGTAGATTGAAAATGACCAATTTTTTTTATTATTGTTTTGGTTTTTTTGGAGGGATTATTATTAGGTGTGTGGAGTAAGGAAACTTGCCCAAGGTTTCGCCCTGCCTGGAATTGAACTCAGGTCTCTCACTTGCAAAGCGAGTGCTCTTTATCCAACAAGGGCAGAGGCATGCAGTGGGAGGGGAGGCCTCTGAAGCGTGGAAGTGGGCTCACACTGAAATGATCTTCGTTTTGAAGTCACTGCACTAACTCTCTTGTTATTTTAAGAGTGAGATCCAGGAAGCCAAATGCAAAGTGAAAGAGAAATACAAGTTACTGAAGAAAAGTGTTGAGGAGGAAGAGAGAAAAGTTCTCGAGCGTCTGGAGAATGAGGAGAAGCGTGTAACTGAACAGACCAACACTAAGATCTTCCAGCTGGAGAATCAACTGAAGGAATCTGAAACGTCTTTAGCTGCTTTGACCAGTGTTTTGAAGAAGAATGAAGAGCTTGTGTTTATACAGGTAATGCTTTTCCTGTCTCCACTCCAAGCTCTAGCCCAGCTCCCTTTGCATTATTCCTCTGGGTTGAATTGCATATTGATGTAGCAAAGAAGTAGGTGGGAGGGCAAGTAGGCAAGGCTTTAAAAAGCAAATGGAATTTGGGGTTTATATACAATACTCAGATTTACTAACACTTATTTTCAATCTACTTTGTTGCAGGAGTTTCATTCATTGGCAAATAGGTAAGAGGACCAAGTTTAATCCAATATCACAGAGACTTGTGAGCTCTTATCAGGTACCACAAGCCTTATTCTATAGCGATTACCCGGTGTGTACATTACTCACTTGCTACCAATACTTTTACAACAGCAGAACATGATGTATAGTAAACCTCGCAGAAGTCGTATCAGTTGGGATCATACATTTAATATGACTTTTATGCAAAGTATAAGTTGTGTCAAATCTGCATAGAATATAAACTCTTGAATGGTACTTGGCCAGATATACGATATTAGGTGACTATTCTATTTATACAGATCGGACTTATGTGAGTTTTACTGGAGTAACGCAGCTTAGACAATCCTGTTCTCCCAGTACATCCACACATGTGAGCTTGTATGGTGGTCAGCAACATCAACCCTGGCTCGTTTGGTTCTCCTCATGGCTCCCAGATGAACGGTCACATGAGCGGGATACCAAATGGCAGCTGTGGAATTGGACCCTAGTAAAAAAAAGTGACACGACTAAGCAAAGTCCGTGGAGAAATGTGACAGGATGCTTCAATCCTGTAGATTTTGTGGGTTTTGTGCTCAAAATATTCAGTCAATCCACTTTACAGTATATCTTGTGAAGCCCTTTGAGACATCTCAATGACATGATAAAGCGCAAGGATTATTATTATTATCCCCAGCAACTTTGCAGTCATTGGCCTTCACTCTGAGGCTCAATGACATGAAATGTCGCGCAAAGTGAAAACTCACGGGAGCCAATGTTGCAGCCCAGATCTCACTGTCTGCTTTTCTATCATTATTTAGGCTGAAAGATGTGTCTGAACCACTCATTCCGCCCGCACCGTCTCTGTGGTGGACAAATCAATTCTTGAAAAGCTGGCAAACTGGGTTCAGAAGCAGTACGATGCAGTGGCTCAGATGAGCAGCCAGAGAGACAGAAACTTTCTAGTCGTTATGCGTAAGTAGATGTTTGTTTGTGTTTTTCCTGTTGTCTTGCAATAGTTGTGGGGTCTGTATCATGTACAAAGCAACGATCAGAGAAATGCACAACTCATCAAATGAACTCAGGGAATTCACTTTAACTTTGTAATGTTACATTGTTTGTTGCGGTGCATAAATGATCTTAGTCAAAACTCTCATTCGTGGCTACGTCACCTCCAGATTTGACTTCGACAACGTCCTGCTCCTTAGTCTCCCAAGTCTCTAACCTCCACAAGCTTCAGATCATCCAGCCTGCTCTGTTTCCCACACTAGACTCTGCAAGCCCTTCGCTCCCCACCATCTTTGCCTGGCTCTATATCCTCCAGCACATTTAAGAGTCTCATCCTTCCTTTGCTTCATTCCTACCTGTACAATGTCTTGCATTCATACTCCCCTGACCATTCTATCCCACCTGCAGCAGGCGAGCTTACAGGCACCTCGCCCACTCTCTCCAGCACCTCTTCCAGAATCCCCCCTTTGGCTCCCTTCCTATCTCTGGTTTCAAAACCTACCTCTTCAACTGATTTCGGCCATCTTCTCACACTTGGGGCTCGGGTTCCCAGTCTTCAGGGTGTAAAGAGAGATTTTCTTTCCTGAGAGATGCTGTATAAGGGCCAATTGTTGTTGATGAGTCAGTCTTGAATGATGGAGCATTTTCTAATCTCTTTGAGCAGACCTTGAGCCCACACTCACCTCTGTGCAGCCAGTTACAGGGCGACGTGAACAGATATCGATCGGTCTCCCATTCGGTCGTTCCTGCAGCTGAAATAGCAGCTCTGAGGCCTGCTGTGCGTGTGAGGCTTCAGGCTGGAGAGCACATGCTCTTAAACCAGTTTATCCGTCAGCATTCGGGTAGGACAATTCCAAGGCTTCTGAATCCCAAAGACGAGCTTTAAATTCCAGAGATTTGAGGTAAAATCCCAATTTGTGTTGGGAATACATCAGAAAACAGGAACAAGGGCTATTCAGCCCATCGAGTCAGTTCTACCAGTTTATTGGTGCTTGGCAGATCTTATAATCATAGTGCCCACCTTTTCACATATCCCTTCATACCTGCTGCAACACATTTGTCTGAATTGGCATCACTTACCTCAGGCCAAACTCTACAGAGAAGAGTCCACTTTTCCCAAACATTTTAAGATCAGCAGATGCGCAATTTTGGCTACCGCTTTTCACCTGCAAAATACACAGTCACTCCACTTCAGTGCCTCCTTACGTGAAAGGCGCTACACTTATTTAATTTCTTGTTTGCAGCATATTCTGTGAAGCGCTCTGAGACTTCTCAACGATGTGATGAGGCGCTCTTATCAAATGCATTATTGCAATGATTTGTATAGCACCTTTCACGTCGGGAGGACATCCTAAGGCCTTCGACAGTCAGGGGTTTGGACCCAAGTAGGTGGTGGGGGAGGGGTGGGGGAATGGATTGCGGTAAGTGAGGGTACAGGGTAGGAGGGTGGCCGAAGGCACGGTCAAAGAGGATATTTTACTTTTTAACGGAACTCCCCTGCTCCTACTACCTGGAATAATCAGTGATTTACCCACATTTCTCCTTCTCTTCACAGACGGACAAACGCCGTCTCTCGATCCTGACACAGCAAATCCCAAACTCATCCTGTCCAACAGCAACAGGACTGTGTCGGTGTCTGACCGCACATGGCCGATTCCGAACAATGTGAAGAGGTTCGACCTTTGGCAGCAGGTTCTCGGCAGTGAGGGAGTGAGCTGCGGCAGCTCTTACTGGGAGCTGCAGGTTACAGGGAGCGAGTGGTGGGGGGCTGGCGTCTGTTACGGTAGCCTGAGCCGGAAGGGTGGAGGTGCCGAGTGTTTACTGGGATGGAACAAAAAGTCGTGGATACTGCGCTCGTGGGGCGGGTTACTTACAGTTCGACACAATTGCAAAGAGATTAAACTGGCAGCGGGAATGGCCTCCAAAGTGGGTGTGTTTGTGGATTTTGAGGCTGGGGTCATCTCGTTTTACAGTGTGTCAGGCAGCAACCTGACCCTGTTACACACCTTCCAGGAGCAGTCGTTCCCCGAGTCCCTCTACCCGGCTCTGTGGGTTTATGATTATACAAAGCCTCTGTCTCTGTGTGATCTGAAGCAGTGATTACATTTCCTCGCTGTTCCTCTGTGGCAGATTCCCCTTTAAATCCTTAATTTTTCCCTTTTGTCCCCAACCTGATCTTTCCTGGGTGTGTCTCCTTCACGAACAGTATTTGCTGCCCGATTGCACCGATCACACAAAGATTGTAATGTGTGAGATGTAGTAGCGGTAAAGGCTCCCTCAGTTGATTCTCATCATTAAACTCTTGCTGCCTTTAGCTTATCACTTTAGCTGCAGAATTCAACCTTTCTTACGGAGCCTAGAAAAAATTATCCAAAAAGTTTTGCAAAGTTAATGTAAAAATATTGTAAGGAATCAAATAAATCCAGCGTTATTGGAAAGTTCACTGCATGTTACAATTTTACACACTAATTTATTTCAAGACACTATAACGAGCGTAAATATAAAAAGTTGGAAGACACAAAAAAGTAGTGCATTAAAAAAAAGATGGAGCAGATAACACAAGGTGTCAACCTGGCTCAGTTGCTAGCATTCTCGCCTCCGAATCTACAGTGTTGTGGGTTTAAGCCCAATGTCTTAACTTTGAACACATAGTCCATACTGACACTTCAGGGGCTCAATAAATGAAAAAAATGTTTACAAAAAATACTTACAGGTCAAGAGCAGTAGCCGTCTCTGTATTGCCCTCTGTGCTGGGCTCTTCACCAGCAGTCATGCCGGATTCCAATTAAAATAATATAAAAATCGCTGCAGCTTTTGAATATAAACTATCCCAAATTCTGAAATGTGCGATTCCTTCAGGTGGAGATTCCGCGTGTAAATGTAAAAGCAGCTCACGCGGTTCAAGTTAATCCAATCTCTCTGCCACTGCTACTCGTTGCATTGCTGGAATGTGTAAATATAGCCCATCTCCTACAGTCTCCCACTCCCCTTCACAGAGATCACACATACTCGGAGAGAACCCTCTCCCAACATCGCTATTTATCTAAAAAGGCTTTTTCGTGGAATATGGCGGCAGTCTAGTTGTGAGACGGGAGAGAATAACAATGTACTTTTTTTTTAAGTTTAGACTGGACACATGGTCAGTTGTGTTCCATGGTTTACTTTCACCTGTAGATATTGTGTTTCCACTTACAAATTTGAACTCTATTTAAGACCTTTTACTGTTGGATTCCAGTCCTGCTTTTTATACAGCATTACGGGGTTCTCCAGATACAAACTGCAGAATACATCAGTCCCACATTTCAAAAACTCCAGACCCAAACAGACCTTTTTACGTTTGAAAGCTGGTCCCATAGCAGGGAGGAACTGATCAGAACAGATATACAAAATGAATAAGGTTCTTTATGTTATGTGTGTATGTATGTGATTAGCTGTTTGACAATAAAGCTGAAAGCTGTTTTGTTGGAAAACCATTACTTCTTTAACTTAATTTGCTGCATGCTGCAACTCTTTACATGTTACAAGAAATGTGTAGGTTGGGGTCCCTTTGAAGTTATCCCCGTCATGGAAGAAAAGAGTGTAAGGAATCAAGCAAACCAAACTGGTAATTGATGCCATTGTCAACGCAGCAAACTCTTCTGTTGGGAGGAGGTGGAGTTGACAGCAGTAGTCGGGGGCCTTCTGCGGGAGGAGTGCTTGACCCTGGGGGGTTACAACACCGGAGATGCCAAGATCAGCAGAGGCTCCTGCCTGCCTGCCAGGCCAAACATGATTCACACGGTTGGGCCCAAGATACTGGACAAAAGGAACCCACCAAGCAATCAGCTCCTCAGCTGTTATAGGAAGAGCTTGAAAGCCGTCAAAGACAACAGTCTGCAGACAATCATTTTTCCCTGTATCTCTACTGGAATCTATGGCTACCCCAACAGACCTGCTCTGGGAGTCGTGAGGAAATATCTGGAGAGCAGAAACTCATTTGATCGCGGTATATTCTGTGAATTTCTGGAAGTTGCTGGGGCACAGAGCGAACTCTGAGGGTCACTAACCCCAGGGCGAGGACAGGCAGGGACTGAAGATGGCGGAATCCACACCTGGACTGAGAAGACACCAGTGGGTTAGACACAGGTTAGACACCCTTTACCTGCTCCATGTTAATCAATAATGTGTGTGTGTGTATACTCCATTACTCTCTCCTGTTACACAGTGTGACTCTCTCTCTACTCTGTGACTCCCATTACACACTGTGTGACTAACTCTTTTTATACTCTGTGACTCTCTCTCTCTCTCTAATCTCTTTCCATTTAAACTGTGTGGCTCTCTTTATACACAAAACATAAAGAGATAAACATATAATAAGCACTTAAAAAAAATTTGTGTGGTCACTCAATCCATGACCGTTTGTGGGACACTGCTGTGCGCAATTGGCTGCCGCGTTTCACCCACAAAACAGTCAATTCACTTTATAGTATATCCTGCGAAGCGCTTTGAGACGTCTCAAAGACATGATAAGGCACTGTATCAAATGCAAGGATCATTATATTGTTATAAAAATTGTATTAGGTGCGTAATACTAAGTACTAAGCCACCCCGTATTATTAATTCCACTTTACAGCTCTTTCCCATACCAAAGCTCATTGCTTTCACCGCTCACATCTTTATTCGGTTCCCTCGCATGATTCTGATGGTTCCAGCCTCCATAGCCATGTGTGGTACTGTATTGAATTCTGCATCCTTTGCAATAACGTAGTGACCAGTATTGAAAGCACATTTATGTCGCAGTCTTCACCTCATAATAAAAGTGAAAATTAAAGCAATATCCTTGGAGATTTAAAAATATTGGGAGCCAACCAGAGTAAATAGGCCCGTCTTTTAAAAAGCATCAATTGGCAACAGGATGCTTAGTACCTCCTACAAACTTCCTACCAATAGATGGTGCAGTTGTCATAGGTAAACATTTTAAAATCATTAGAGACAGCGCGATCTGCTTCCATGAAAAGGTGCTACACCAGGACAGAACCTGGAGAGGTTCAGGTGTCAGCGGTCAATTCTGCTGCATTACAATTAATAACTTTTACATTTTGCGAAGCTATTAAATCCGTCTTTACCTCTTCGCCTCCTACAGAAATTGCTCCTTAATTATCCAAAAAAGAATATTTATTTAATTCCGTAATGCAATTTCTATTGACAAGTTTTGCAACTTTGTTCAGCTGAAAGTGATCTGCGTGTCCAGCCCTGTGGACGTTAAACATTGCATGGCTTTATTCAAAAGGAGAGCTTCTCCCAGTGTCCTGGCCAACAATCTCCGTGATCGGGTTAGTCACTCACTTCACAGCTATTTGAGACATTGCTGTGCACAAATTGGCTGTTATGTTTGCCTGCAAATGCAGTCCCCACACTTAACAGTAAATTTTGTGAAGCCTTTTGAGATGTCTCGACAACATGATACGGCGGCATAACAAATTCAAGGATTATTATGTCTTCAAATCCACTCTTAACACTGTGGGAACTGTTAAGATTTAATAAAAATAAGCTTGATGTGTCCAACTGGAGTTCACATCCCAGTGATATGTCAACAAGAAAAGACTGTTCACAGGCATTTGGGTTTAATCACTGCGTTGCCCCATTGAACCCACGTCGTTCCCTCAGAGGTAGATTTAACCTCAAAATACAATTACACAGAAACATTGTACAAAAATCATTAAATAAATCCTATTTCAATGCCTGACAAAATGAATGCTCTGTGTCTCAGGTGATCAGAAAACAGGCACAAGTACAGAGAATATTCATGTTAAAATTGGATTTCACATTAACACACAGTCCCACACCACAACTGCTCCTTCAACACTACATCAGGTTTGGGTGCTGAGAAGGTAGAATTATAGACAGACTATCATCAGAATAATCTTGAAGGGCTTTCAGTCAAGTTGAGAGCCCAGAAACAAGTTCACCCACATTCTTCCTCATGGGTGGGGAGGGAGCTTGGAGTCCTCAGTTTGCTTAATGAGGTCCCCAGAACACTCGGTAAGTGATAGGCGATACAGCTGTTTATGCTACTGAGCGGAGCAACGATTTATATGAACTAAATCACGCCAGAGTCGCAACAGATTCTCAGTAATCCAAGGGATGTCTGCCCAAGACCGATCTCCTTTGCTCAGAGCAAGAACCCCTGGGTCTGGGGAACAGAACACAGAACGATAGAGAGAGGCCTGGAATACCTCATGCCTATGCCTAGGAATATGAGATATGGCTGTAATTAGTTACAGCAACACACTGCACGAAGCTCCCGCTCTGATACACGGAGGCTGGCACGAGGGCAGGTTAGCCCAATGGCTCGTCAGGTTGGTGGCCTCAAAGAATCAAAGGAGAAAGAGTGGGATATGACACTATCACTGCCGTCCTTAATGTGTGTTACAGGAGGAAGAATGCCAAAACTTATCAAACAGTAATGGGGTGGGGGGGGGGGGGGGGGGGGTGGGGGGGAAATTCCAGTTCTTAAAGTACAGATGGGGTTTCAAGATTTTAAATCTGCTGTGGAAACCGAAGGAAAGCATTCCTTCCAAAAGGTGAATGTGCGACACCTGAGAAACTGAATGATTTTGCTCAGGCTGATTAACTGCTCACTTGCTGCTCAAGTCCATTGTAAATAGAGCCCCATCTGATCCCACCTACTTCCTCACACACACACACACACACACCCGAATAGCTTCTTCCCATTACAATGAATTGCACAGTTCAAACCCACCCCACATGGTGAGCTCTACACAAAGGCAGGAAGAAAGACAGAAACGACCCTCTCGCGTTGAGGGAAGACAAATAATAAAACAATCAATTGCCAGTACTCAATACTTTTCAAATACATTATTCAGCAGGGATTTGGGAGTCTTGACTTTAGCCATCACCTCGCTCACACGGCGCTTGTATTCCACTCTCATCAGATAATGTTAACCAACAACAGGGGCAGACTGGGACAGCATCGCTTCCAGATTCCTATCATTAGGAATTGCACTCAACACCAGGATCCGCTAAGTATCAAGAACATTAGATACAAGTGCTTTCAACATAACATATCCAAGGAGATTCTAGCCAGAGTTTGGATTTGGAGGTAAATTAGGAAGATGTTTAAATTCCCTGCCATTTTGATATATATACATACACACACATACACTCACACACACACACATATACATGTATACAGCATATGCATTCAGCTGTTCCTATTCATTGTGGTAGCCATACTAAATTCTCTGCTCACAGACTGCCTCCATAAGCTGCTAAATGCATAAAACCCTGCAATCCCAGGGTGGTTGAGAGATGGATAAACATAAGAGTTCTTTTCCTCCAAACTCTAGAAATATGCTGTATTGAATACACAGCCCCTTAAAGGCAATGCTACACAGATGGCTTGATAATTGCTGCTGCAACGCTGGAGAGTATTGAAGCATTCATGAGAGGAAGAAAGGTGTTCGTCCGGCAGCTTATTGGGAGTGTGAGGTAAAGAATAAAGTCTGGTCTCTACATCTCACCAGTTCAATCTGTCAATACTTCACACTTTATCAGCACAATAATTTGACATCTCCCATTGTAGGTAGACCACAAGGTGCTTTGATGATCGTTTGAGATGTGAAAGAAAGTTCAGGATTATAAAAGACAAATCCCTTTCTTGACAACCATCTGCTACATTCCCATCTGCTACGGTGGAGCTACTAACTGAAGCGAGAGGAGGGGATAATTCCAGTGGGGTTTATGGAGTGATAACAAACGCGGGGAAGTTAACCATCGTCACAAATGTATCAAACTTCTTGTGCCTCCATTATTTGGGTCAGAAGCAGCCTGCGGAAAGACAGATGATACACAACTGGCCAAGTGACACTGAAGTTTACCTCAGTCAAATCAAGAAGTGGAACTGACCAGAGACCCGAAGATGCTCGTCTTAAGACCTTAAACTTCAAGATCGTCCTAAGTCTAAGGTTGTGGGAAATTTGGGGGCTCTAGAATCTACACAACATAGCTGGTTCTAAGCAGCCTCTAACCTGCGGATCTCTAAACAGATAACACACAGAACCGAGGAGTGATACACATACGGAAATGAAAGTGTATATCTGTCTCCTTCTGTAACGTAATAGGATTATGTGAGTTTAGTATATAAACTCTTCAGTTGTTGCATTGGTCCCAGTGGTCGTTTGTTAATCACTGTGAGTTAAACTATCTTTGTAACTTCATCTGCACTGAACACACAGCGAGTGAGTGCGTTCAGACCTCAATGTTGGGAGCATTGCAGATTTAACCTGTGTTCCTGGTTATCTATAGGCACAGAGGCAGAATGCTCCTAAGTCAGTAGCTCACCATGTGAAGTGTTTCATGTTATTCCCTCCACATCTCAGACCAGATAGCTCCACAGTAAGATCATCAGACAGACACTAACTGTGCCAAAGAGCCAGAAGCCTTTATGGGAACACAAGAATAGACTTTCTCCTGGCATCAAATGCAAGATTATATGACGATGTTGAGTGTTTGCATGCGAGACTAGAGGCCAACCCATTCACTGATGAGTGAGTGTGCAAGAGAATGTGTGTGTGTGTGTGTGTGTGAGTGAGAGAAAGAGTGATAAGAGGACAGAGGAAAGATAGATGTCTTATGTGACGTCCTACCAACCAAGGCTCTTGAATCCCACTGCTACGCAACTAACATTTTCTATTACAATCATCATTTCCAGTTCTATATATTACTAACGGGGCTCGTAACCGGTGGCTCGCTCAACCCTCCCAAGTTGCCGACTGGAGTCTGTATAAAGCAGGGTGTTCCTGTGGCTCCTAAACCAGGTTATTTACATCTGTATTTAATCGGAATCACATCGATTCTAAAGTGAACGGCAGCGAGGGGAGGTGGTTTTGTAAGACGTCAGCCGGGCTAACCTCGATAGTTCTCAATTCATTAAACCACTGATCAAATAATAGATCTACTTTTAAAAAAATATATAAACAAGTAAAACACTAAAAATTTAAGAAATTGCACCGCTGCGATGAAGATATGGCACATTCCCTTCCAAACACCGCTGTTTACTTTGCTCGTGTAGTGTATGGATCCTTTACATTGAGATAACCACCACAAGCTGGACACAAGGAAGGAGGTGGGGATGAAGGGTAATATTGGCTAAAAGCTTGTATGCCAATCCTGACCTCTTCATTGCCTCCACACTGTGTCCCCACCCGACAAAGCTATTGCCTCATTATCCCACTGCGTCCCCCACCTCACGAAACTCTCTAAATATCCTTAAGTGGGGAACTGGGATTTTTGGAAAAGATGCATTTTACACAGAAAAACACAAACGTGTACATACACACACGCACACACACACACAGAAAGAAGGGACGTACAAATGCATCTCCATTGAGTCCAAGTTGTAGCATTTCGGTGGGCAGCAGAAAATAAAAATAAAATAAATTGCCCAGCCTTGGACCAACATCTCTTACTAAAATCCGTCAGCCACCGACCGGGAAGCTCTCAACAGTGCTCAGTAATAAGTTACAGATATAGTCCAACACTTGGAGGGAGAGGGTGCTAGACGTCAAATCGGTTAGAGACGTATGTGGTTCCGCTGGTCGGCCGGCTGTATTGCAGCTGCTCTACCAAGAGCCCACTCCTGCCGTACTGGTACTCAACGTGCTGCCCGTACACACCCGTCCCGTTCAACTGCACCTTCTGATCCAACAACAGTTCCTTGTGCTGGTCAAGTGACACCAGGTCCTCTGACGAGACTGGGAGCAATTTCCTCTTGGCTTCTTGGTTAGCGTCATACTTGGCCTGAGGTGGAAAAAGGGAAACCAGCTAATTTACAACGCGGCACGTAAAGAATAATGCCGATAAAGGTTGATCGTAACGACCAGCATTTGAAGCGATGAACGTCCGAGTTTGGCAAAGGTTAGGGGCATGTTTAACGCTCCCCTTTTTAATGAATCTGTTTACTGTGGAGTTTCGCCCACAAAATATAAATTCAATTCACTTTACAGTATATTTTGCGAAGCATTTTGAGGCACTCAAAGAAGTGATAAGGCGCTGTATCAAATGCAAGGATTACTATTATTATTATTGTTACTATTAAATCCCGCTCTTCCCCCTGTGCGCAGTCATGTTTTATTGCTCAGGTGCAAAGGTTATTACGACTTCCATGGACAGAGCTCGGAGTTGTATAAAAATACAGGAGACTCACCTTGTTGTAAGCAAAGACCCCGACGATGGCAGCCAGCATCCCGATGACGTTGGTGGAGGTGACGGGGTTTCGCAGCATGATCAGCGATACGGTGATGACCATGATGCGCTTGGTGGCGTTGGCCACGGAGTAGCTGAGCGGGCTGATCAGGTTGAGGATGCTGAAGGCCACCATGTTCTGGGCAAAGTTGCAGAAGCCGCTGATGAGCAGCAGCACGATGGTCCAGTACCAGTGCGAGCCCACCGTCTGCAGAGACACCGAGCAAGTCGGACAGCAACAGTCATCTCCATTCTCAGTCAGTCGCTCCAAACACATTGTAATTTGAGAGGTTGGGTCCCTGACACTATCCTACCCTCTGAATGTTTTCCTGTTGCTTTGGCATTACAATGTGTATTCCAAGTTTGCTTCTTTTTTAAAAAAAGTATATTGGTTAGAGAACTCGCCTCGCAAGTGAGAGGACCTGGGTTCGATTCACGGGGAGGGTGAAACCTTAGACAACTTTCCTTAATCCACACATCTCGGTTTACCAAGTAGTAAGTGGGAACCTGGTTGTTAGTCGATTGGCGGATCGCTTTCCGGGGATAATAATCCCTTAGAAAAAATGTAACCAATAAAATGGTCATTCAATTTACGACTGTATGTGGGAGACTGCTGTGCACAACTGGCTGCCGCGTTTCACCCAGTTACACAAAATATAAATCCACTTTACAATATATTTTGTGAAGCGCTTTGAAACTTCTCAATTACCTGATAAGGCACTATATCAAATGCAAAGATTATTATTATTATTTCCTATTGTGCTGGTATAACAATGCATGGTTCCACGTTTGCTGTTTTTTAAAAAAATCTCATTTATCATCTTATATATTTCTTGAAAGTTCTCTAGGAAACTGTTCCTTCCTCCCCACTCCCTCAACCCATGGAAGCTCCCCCTGCAAATGGCACTGCCATATTGTTCTTTTGCTACGACTGTTATTCGAGAGTTAGCATAAAGAAATCGAGAGAAATCGTTAAGAGTGAGAAAGTATGAGTGGGGAGTGAGTGACAGAGAAGGGGGTGGGGGAAGAGAGGATGAGAGAGAAGGAAGGGAAGAAGGTGGAGGAAGAGAGAGAGAGGAATTGTGGAGGGGGTAGTGGGGTGGGGGAGAGAGGGGAAGAGAACCCCAGTACTACCCTTTGCACATTGTAAAGCTCCAGCACTGCATGAGTATTTGGAAAGGAATATAAGATGGTGTACACTCCCTTACCCTGAGTTTATTTTAATCAATAAAAAAGAGTTGAACGTTAACTTTCGCATTAAAATAGAAACCGGTTGGTAAATTGCCCAACTTGGCAATATCTATTCTTTTTCTTGTAAAAGAGGCCACTTACTATGGAGCTGTCCACAAAAAAGGCAGAGACATCGACGAGGACCCAGGTTGGGACCATGAAGATGACAGCATAACGACCAAGGATGTAGAGGAGTCGGAGATGGTGCATTCGGGTGTCTCTCAGCACCTGCGGGTCCAGCACAAAGTAAAGCATTAAATACTGGGCGACGCTGTCTGCTAGGATGAGTAGGTACAGATCAATGAACATACATTACGCAACAGTCATCGGTTAGAGCTTTACTGGGTTAGTATACACAGCCCCGATCACTGAAGGACAAACGTACAAAGTTTACCCTTTTTGACGCACTGTGAACTTCAAGCCAGCGGAGTCTAATAGTGCCTGTTCAAAACCATACAGAATTTGACCAAGTTTAGCTGAAAGATTGGCTGCTTCAGCCAAAAACACTCAAGTGATAGTGATAGGGACATGATTTACAAGGCGGTGATGTGCGTGGTATGGGTGGTGTGTGAGGTGTGCACACAAGGCCAGTCCAAACAGTGCAATCTGCAGCCAGTGAACCATGAAAACTGCCAAGTGGCAATGCTACAACCACCCACCCAGAGCTCCATACTGACTGCTTCCATTTACTCATATTTGATCACGAGCGAGTCACTGAACAAGGAACTAGCAAATCTCAAACGTTGAAATCAAAGGACTGTATGTAATTATTCACTGTGTAAGGGAGCTGGGTGTAAATATAGGCTTATTAGAGAACAGCAAATACCTGCAGGCTGTATTAAGTATCTATGTGCAACTGTACATGATGCAATAGGGAGCAGTATGTAATTGGGGGCTGTATTAGGGAGCGTTGTGCAGGGTACATATGTTCTCGTCAATAGTAGGTGAGGTATTTGTCCATTGGTATAATTGTGCTTGCTATAATTGTGAACACCGAGCAGCAATCTTTATTGGGCGTACAGGAATGCAAACAGTGTGCTAATAGCTGCGGTTGCTAATTATTAACATACTTTCTTGTTCACTTTTGACTGACATGGATATCTGCACTCAGCTGCTCTCATCCAGTGATGTGATGCTGAATGTAATGGGATTGATGGAGGCCCTCCAATAGACCATGCAGCAGCCACAGCGCAACAACAAGATTTCATTTAGAGAGCGCTTTTCACGTCGGGAGGACGTCCCAAGGCACTGGACAGTTGGGTCGGGACCCGAGCAAGGGGGAAATGGTCAGGGTGAGGGAAGGGAGGGAGCGAGGAGGGGGTAGAGAGTCAAGAGGGGAGCTGAAGGTACGGTTGAAGAGAAAGGTCTTGAGACCGGCCTTGAAGGAGGAAAGGGAGAAAGCGGCGAAGGCACTGGGGGATGGAGTTCCAGAGCCTCGAGGCTGAGAGCCCGGCCACCGATGATAGGGCGGTTGGGGCGAGGGATGTGGAGCAGACGGGAGCCAGAGGAACGGAGGGTACAGGCAGGTAAGTAGGGGGATAGTAGGTCGGAGAGGTAGGAGGGAGCGAGGCCATGGATGGCCTTGTAGGTGAGGATGAGGATCTTGAATTCGATCCTCTGGGGGATGGGGAGCCAGTGGAGGCGAGCGAGGGTGGGAGTGATGTGGTCGCAGACACATTCTTATAAAGCAAAGTTCGCCTCCATCTCTGGTACCAAAGTGACTTTGGCATAAGTTCCAGTGATGGTCTCTGCCTTTCTTCCTCCCCCTCCCCCGTGTCCACCATGCGAGCAGCAATTTTAAATACCCGGTTAAGCATCAATTACATTCTCAGAGATAAGACTGGGCTAATGTATATTCAAACGGTCGGGGCAGATTGCTGGGTTGTGAATTGCAAATCAGTGGGTTACCTTCTTGGAGAAGATGTTCTGCAGGGAGAAGCAAAGCGTGGCTGCCAGAGCGCTGACAAGACCCCACACGTCGAAGGAGAGTTCCGTTACGGTGGCCAGGAAGACTCCAGATATGATCGGAATCAGTGACATGTAGACCTGATAGGAAACCATTTCAAAAGTCAAGGCTCCATCAGAGATCGCGACCTAAACCTCCCCAGTTTTCCACAGAGTAATAACCTGCACTCAGATTTGAGTGGACAATTTCCCTTGGTTTCGATTGGGACATCGAGACGGTACAAAAATTGCAGTCAGCGCAGCACACCCCACCTATAGCACGTCCCTATAGGTGAGTACAATCAACAACAATTCTTACTTTATCTTAAATTGCCTTTTCAACACTGGGATCCACAGCACTGGTTATAGACACCATTTAATGTCGTCTCCAGTTACTTTGATGGGTCGTGCTCAAAGTAGTAGCGAGATTTCAAGAGGCACACATTTGGGTGTCAGCTTGGCTCAATCGGTAGCACTCTCACCTCTGGGTCAGAAGGTTGTGCGTTCAAACCCCCACACATGGACATGAGCTCACAGTCCAGGCTGACACTCCAGTGTAGTCCTGGGGGGGCGGGGCTGCATTATCGGAGGTGGCGTCTTTCAACCAGAGGTCCTGTCTGCTGTGCGCAAGTGTCTGTCTGCCGTGTTTGCCTACAATAAGAATAAGGACCCACAAACAACCGTGAGATGAATGACCCATGTAACTCGAGGAATATTGGCCAGGACTCCCAATTTATACACCCAGAATGGAAATCCTGGTGTATTTAGGTGCTGAGTAAACCCTGAGTCTGTGTGTCGGTGCTAAACAAAATTCCATAAGAATTCATCGTGTGTGACTGAGTACAGAGAATAGCCACTGAACACCAACCAGCTTGAAAGACTTGAGGCTATTTCAAGCTTGTACTCAAAAGAAATTTCAAAGAGCTTTACAGAACGAGATTGATGAGAAGTGAAGTGAATTTATACGTAAGCAAACACAGCTGCTAAATGTCTCCAGCAACGCCCTACAAACTGTTGGGGTGAGCATCCAACTGACTTGAATTTGGATAAGGAGGGAATGTAAACCGTTCAGAGAGTTTTTAAAAAATCTACCAGAATACATACAGTGCCTTTCAGTAAAATCAAAGCATTTTATGAAATAAAATTGATCAGAAATGAAGTGAATATAAAAGCGCTGGTAAACAGCCTATTAACAATGAGGTTAGCAGCCAAACTCCACATTTCTTTAAAACAGCAGCAGGAACCCCCTAAACATACACCTGAATCACAAGGCAGAGGGACCTAAATAATAATCCTTGCATTTGGTATAGCCATTATCACGTCTGAATGTGTGTTTGTAGGCAGTTGTGCATACAGCCATGGAGGGAGTGACCAATTTCATTTGAGGGATTGTCGGCCAGAACACCGGGTGAGAGAAACTCCCTTCTCTTTTCAAATAGTGCCGTGAACAGACAAACAGACGGGACTTCGGTTTAACATCTCATCTGAAAGACGTAAAAATTATGACTCAATCAAAAAAGGTGCTGATTACAGAGGATAGGTTATATTTTTCCATTTAACTTAAGTCCATGGTCAGCGAGTGAGACTATAGTCAGAGAATATTCCATACTCACCTTTGTGGTTTGCTTTTCTTTCATGATTATGCGTGACAATAGCACCACCCATATTGGCATTGTGGCCTTCACTGGGGAGGAAAGGAAACAATTTAAAATCAAGCAAATTACAACCCTGCTACTTATCCTAACCCCATTAACCCGGGAAGGCAGGTCAACGACAACAACTTGCATTTATATAGCGTCCCTCACACCGAGTAGGGTCCCAGAGAGGTCAGTATGGCAGTGCAATGGCTCATCAATGAACCTAAGCCTATTATCCACACTAATTGGGATTGATCCCTGTGCAGATCAGCAAACAGTGCAGATAACTGGGCACCACTCATAATCAAAATTCACCGTACTATCATTGTAGTTGTGCACAGTACTCACTCTTCTTCTCTGACTTTTTCCATCCTCTTTTACTGTACTTTTCTCCAAACGGATGCATGTCTGTCTATAACTTTCGATCTCTACTATATCTCTAACCCTAATTTGTCTTGCCTTTGCCTTTGCCACTGACAGAGGTCAATTAAAGAACCACTGAATCCCAAGGCAAAAGGAATGATCCATAAATAATACAAAAAAATAGGTTTCATAGTGCCCGCACATCAAAAAAAAAGGGGGGCAGGGAGGAAGACAATCTTTTATTTTGGATCCAATTCTATTTACAATAAACAGTTAATAAGGAAGATAAGGAATAGGGATAAGGTGGTGGAGGGGTGGGATTGAAGCAATATCCTTGTTCTGTGAGCTAGTGCAGGCTTGATGTGTCAAATGGCCTCCTTCTGCACTGTAGATTTCTGCTTCTAAAGAGGCAAAAGTCTGGCTAGAAAAGATTTTTCGCTCCTCTATTAATTTAGACATGCTTAGAGCAGTAGCCCGAGGTTATGAGCATAAACCTCAAGTGACCTCAAGTGAGTTAGAATTAAAGGAATTTTGAAAAACACAAAATTATATTCACTCGAGTTGCCACAAATACCTGCTTCAGTGATATTCATGAGACGTAGGTGAGTGGAGCTGCACACCTCTCAATCAATGAATGCTGGGCTGTGTCTGGGTTTACGGTTCGTTGTCTGGGAACAGGAAGAAGATTCAAAGAGAGAACAGTGGCAGCTCTGTGCAAACTAAAGGCAACAAGACTCCAGCTTCATCTATAGCTCAGCTGGAAGCCAGGGAATAAAAATAGGGCTCTTGTCAAGGACTCCAGTAGGTCCCGAGAGCAGCAGCCCATCGAGCTGGCTCGAGGATGTAAAATAAATCCAACTCTTGTTCTCTCGCTGTACGCATGGTGCTAGAGTTAAAATTGAGGTACGAAAGTTCACAAAGATCAGCGTTTCAAACACATCAATGCTGTGCCAGTGTTTAGTAGGTATATGCACCAGGGATTGAACCAATACAGTTAAGTCTGAGAGAAGGCAGTGAGCGGATTTACAGACTCGGTGCAAAATAGGTTGATAGAAGGTACAGCTCAGAAACAGGCCATTGGCCCATCGATCTGACTGGTGTTTATCTATAGCCCACATGAGTGCCTATCCTAGATCATATCCCTAGTTCCATATCCTGGCTTCCTCCCCCACACCCTTCAACTTTAATCCCTCTTAACCACACGTCCAGTCTTTTTCTAAGTGTTCACATGGCTGCTTCCCCCAACAACGGACTGCGGCAGAGAATTCCACACTCCCAGCACGCTTGTGTGAAAACGTTTTGCTGTAGAATACCGTAGACGGCACTTGTTTGGGTCAGCCAGGTACCAGACGCACGTGGAAACCCATCACAGTTCTTAAGAATTTCTAGTCAGAGTTCAAAATATGCACACCACATATACGTGGTAATTTCCCTGCACCTGGAATGAGAAACGTGCACTCTCTCCCTCTGGGGGGGATGCATCCCACTTACTGAATTGCGCTATTAGGTGCCTATTGGTGAGAGCCAAGACTTGGGGAGTAACACACCCCATCCCCTCCTCAAACATAACCCGAGGCCCTTCTCAAATATAACCAGGTTCTGCTTGTAAGTCAATTTGTTTTAGCAGATTTGTAATTCTCCGTGATTCTGTCACCAACGCAAATGCAAGGCTGACTCTTTTAACTCACTCGGTCTCTAAATTTCGAATTTTGCGATTATTGCTTTTTTTCTTAAACATACTTTCAATCCCCACAGTTACATAGAGAGAGTATGTGAGAAGTACAACTCAACAGAAATGGTTCTGAAATCAATCAGACTTTTTTCTTTTCTTGGCTTCGTTTCCACCCGGGAAGAATTCAAAAGGCCGCAAGGACAAAAGGCGATGGTCGCTGTGCAACACAGCTCATCTTTATCAAAGACCAGCTTCAGACTGAGCTATAGTCACAGGTCTTCAAGGGGATCACATGGACAAATCTGATTATTACTGTGCAACCCAACCACGATGGTTGTGATCATGGAGGGGTTACACCATCGCAGCACTGATCATAGCTCTAGACGTTTTTTTTTAAAAAAAATTAATTCTCTTTCACCCACAAAATACAGTCACTACACTTTACAGTATATTGTGTGAAGCACTTTGAGATGTCCCAAAAACGCAACAAGGCGCTATTTGCTGCCTCGGACCCAAGCACTGCATCTCTTGGAATATTTAACCAATGTTAATTATCCATGTCCCTATTTGAAAAGAGAACAGAGTTTCTCCGGGCGTACTGGCCAACAATCGCCCAGAAAAAAAATGGCCATTTGATGTCTGTTTATTGGGAGTTTGCTGTCTGCAAATGGAGACATTTCAAGAACCTGAACTGGTGCTGTAGCAAATGCAACAATTAATTATTATCAGGATATTAATAGTAATCCTTGCATTAGATATAGCGCCTTATCACGTCTTCGAGACGTCTCAAAGCGCTTCACAGAATATACCGTAAAGTGAATTGACTGTATTTTGTGGGCGAAGCATGGCAGCCAATTGCGCACAGCAGTGTCCCACAAACAGTGGCGTACTAAGTGACAACATCATCTTTATTTTTTAAAATTTATTTTGAACGAATTATTACCCCCCAGAAAATCAGGATACTTGTAGGGAAGTGCCCACCAAGTCAAACACAGGAAGGGATGGGGAAGAAGGGGAATATTGTATCTGGCTTCAGGAGCCAAGCAATAATGTCTAACGTCAATAAAAATGAAGAGTGATAAGGAGGGCTGGGCCTATCTCCTTTATTGTGGTGTGGTTTGAACGTGGGAGAGCACAGCTGGTGCCAGATGATTGCCAATTTACACTCATTTGCACTTCCACACCTCCCACCTTCAACGTGGCCCAACTTGAGCAGGTGCTCGAAACGCAGAGACAAGCTTGCAGGTCAGTCAACAACAACAAGATTCCATTTATAAAGCGCCTTTCACGTCAGGAGGACGTCCCAAGGCGCTGCACAGTTGGGTCATGACCCGAGCAGGGGGGAAATGGTCAGGGTGAGGGGAGGGAAGGGAGGGAGCGAGGAGGGGGGAAATGGTCAGGGTGAGGGGAGGGAAGAGAGGGAGCGAGGAGCGGGGAAATGGTCAGGGTGAGGGGAGGGAAGGGAGGGAGCGAGGAGGGGGAAGAGAGTCGAGAGGGGAGCTGAAGGCACAGTCAAAGAGAAAGTTTTGAGACCGGCCTTGAAGGAGGAAAGGGAGGAAGCGGCGAAGGCACTGGGGGATGGAGTTCCAGAGCCTCGGGGCTGAGAGGCTGAAGGCCCGACCACCGATGGTAGGGCGGTTGGGGCGGGGGACGTGGAGCAGACCGGAGCCAGAGGATCGGAGGGTACGGGCAGGTAGGTAGGGGGATAGTAGGTTGGAGAGGTAGGAGGGAGCGAGGCCGTGAATGGCCTTGTAGGTGAGGATGAGGATCTTGAAATCAATCCTCTGGGGGATGGGGAGCCAGTGGAGGCGAGCGAGGGTGGGAGTGATGTGGTCGCGAAGCCTGGTGCGGGACAGTACACGAGCTGCAGAGTTCTGAATGACCTGTCAGCTCCTAAGTCAGTCAGCTCCTAAGCGCCAGCTATCATATTAAACAGCTGGAGATAATTCAAACGTTCAACCCAAACCGTTTCATGTTCAAACCAATTCACTGTCAGCTAAAGCCGCGGGTTCCATTGGAAGCCAATCAAAAGTCAGCCTGGACTTGCGCCAGTTGGGGCGGTAATGATAGCATGAGCACACGTAGTTAGAAAGGAACACTGATTGAACTCTGAACACTGCGCTTCCTGGGTAGTTAAGTTGGTTTAACAGCCGACGCTGTAAAGTTCCAACGCAAACAGGTCGATAAAGAGGGGAGAGAATGAAATTCGTTCCTCTTGAACCTCCGAGCTGAAGGGTTCTTCTGGGCGGCAGTGAGAATGAAGGAAATTCTGGTAACTACACAGTCACGACACTATACAGTGTCCACAGTAAATTCCTGCAAGACATTTTGACATAAGGCACTGTATTAAGTTCAAAGATTATTATTGTTTCCCCTGCTCTGCTTTCAGTTTTAGGTTCTCAAGTTAGCATCTGGACCAGTTGGTTCTTCTACAAATAGGACCAGTGCTTAAAATACACTTCATAAAATTACACAGAAATTCCAGCTGCAGTCCGGCAATATCAAGCAAAGAAACACAGCAAACGTCAAGAACAAAACACACTACTGTCCGTCGGTCTATCCAACGTAAAAATAAAAGTCACATTACTCTCTCAAACCTTCAACTGATTTCTACTTATTGAAACGGCTATCCTATTCTCTCAAATTTAATGCATCTATCACTGCGCTACTCTGGGCAGTCCCTTTTCAAAAATTAACTGCTCTGTATGTGAAGTGGTTAAACTTACAACTGTACCAAATATCATATTTTACTGATGAAAAGGAGTTGATTGAATATAATAATAATAATCCTTACATTTGATAAAGCGCTTTTCACGTCGGGAGGACGTCCCAAAGCGCTTCACAGAACACACTGTAAAGTGAATTGACTGTATATTTGTGTCTCCTCACTTTGTGAATGCGAGTTACTGTATGGTCCGTACTGGAGCTCAGAGAGGAGTGTGGGCAGCAATGAGCCCTCAGCAGGCAGGAGTATGAGGATCTCTGATAGCTCGCACTCCCTCCATCACCAGAGATGGAAAGAGAGTCAGTCATCATAAACCATTGATTTATTAGTGTGGGTTTACTGTTAGAGGACACAACGAAATACTTCTAAAGCAAACCCATCCTGATAAGCAAGCAAATCCTCTCTGAAGACATTCTTCAGATACGTCAAGAGTTTTCAGTTGTCACTTAACAAGAAATCAATGGGACTCCCTTTGTCGAAGTGTTAGCACTTGCCCTATAAGCAAAAGGATTTGTAAAGGCCACAGGAAGACCAAACAAAAGCAAAGACATTGTTAAGTGAACAATGCAAAAGGAGTGCCAATGATGACGTTCGCTCCACTGAAACCACATGTCAGATTAAATTCTTGTGCTCGGTAGATTTTGTTTCTCGTTGGAATGGGATGGCAGGGCACAATTTTTCAACTCTTTCCGTATCACGTATTGCCCACGAAACATACAGTCAATTCACTTTACAGTATATTCTGTGAAGCACTTTGAGACATCTCGAAGATATGATACGGTGCTGTATCAAATGCAAGGATTATTATTATTATCTCAGTGTCAGCATTAAGCACTCTTTGGTCAGGAAAGACACAGACAGTAAATTTCATATACTTGGCCTATTTTACCCATTAAGGGCTGTTGCTTGTGGATTTAAGAATAAATCTGTACTTTGTTGATCCCTAGATTACTGTGACATAGTTTAGTTTCCCAGTCAATTCTCCTCAAAGCCAGTCCAACACAAGGGGACCCTGGTCACATCCTTCCCTGAAAGAGGATTTTTATTTGACGTGGCGCTCGTGCAATTTCTGAGCCACCACTAACTTTATTTCACCTCAGGTTCAATTTCGCGGGACCCCACGAGCAAACGTACATGAAGCACGACACAGTCACTGCTGAGAGCGAGAGGCAAAGCCAGGACTGGAGACCGCCTCAACAGATATTTGGTTGTCGCAGAGCTATCAAGATAATCTCATTTTGCTTCTGGGAGTTGTAGCTTAGTGGTTGAGCAGTGATGTCGGCAGAGTAGCCACGCAGCTATACGTAACGCATTACAGGCCGCCAGATTATCTGGATCTGGAAAAGTTTAACAGGATTACCCTTAATCGTCACAAATAAACATTTCCACTTTCCACAGTTTCTCCTCAAAGTTCAGCACATTAAACCCACATTATTAATTGGTTGCCCTTCATTTATACCCTCTCCAATGTCACTATCTCTACTGTGGTGAACCACATACAAGACACTTGATGAGTCTGCACCAGTATTTTGCATTATATCCTGTGGCTTGTACTTCCTCTTGCACCGTACTGTGACATTTTGTTTGCTTTCCTCGTTGTTGGTTTATATACAATGAGTAACTAAACAGTAGCCCAGATCCTTCTCCTGGCTCATGTCCTGTAACCATCCCATTCGTCAACGGATATTCCCATGGTTCACACCATGTTAAATCAACGGTGTCATGTGCAAGTCCAAATCTCCTTTGTATTCTGTTGATTTACACCCCACATCACACTTCGAACAGTGAGCAAGCTCGGATAACTTGGTTTCTGTCTCACTTCCAACTCATTCATGTCTTTGCAACTGGAGAATCCTGCAAATCACCTCCTTCCAATCCTCCATGAAAACATCCTTTGTTTTACTCAGTTCTGGATTTACTTTACAAGAAAACATCCTTTGTTTTACTCAGTTCTGGGTTCATTTCACAAGTTCCCCATTTGTCCTTTTTCAACCCTGTAGAACAGCCTCTCATACAACAGTCTGCGAATGGCCCTTCTAAAATCCAAAATGCCACGTCTAGGAGATTGCAACACATTCCAAAATTGATTCAGCAATTAGATTACACCTTCAGGTATCCAGAACCAAACCTCCAGTTACAATGGCAAGAGACCCCAAGGCTGAAATACTACATTCTCAAAGCAGGCGAGGCCACAAAAGTCATTCATAGATCCCAGGCTACTAAAATATTTGTATTGTGTGTTCACAGCATTAACAACCTCGAGGACACATCTATGGACACATTTTAATTGCGAGACTATTAACATCCCAGTTGCGCGGACCAAGACCAATCGTCACATAGAGAATGACGCAGCCAGAGCAGCGCACGGAGTGACACCCCCACATTCCAGTGACAGCCACAACCCAGTGACACCGACACCCACAACCCAGTGTCTTGCACACAACACACACAGCGCCTTGGGACATTCTCCCCACATGAAAGGTGCTATATAAACATTTTCCTCACAAAATATAAAATACACAGTCAATTCACTTTACAGTAGATTCCGTGGAAAGCGCTTTGAGACGTCTCCACAACGGGATAAAGCACTATATCAAATGCAAGGGTTATTAATAATACAGGGTGACCAAAAAGTTGTGATACCATTATAATGTCTAATTGTTCTTAAAAAAATGTTTTTTTTAACGATAGACATCCACGACTTTTTGATATAGATGCAATTTGTTGTTAATCTTGTAGCGACACACAGGATTAGTTATTACTATATCAATGCAATTATTATTATTATCGTTATTATAATTTGTTCGTGTTGTAGTGAACACACACAGAAAAAAAATATTATTAGAATATCAATGCAATTTGTTGTTCTTGTAGTGCTATATAAGAGACGCTATATAAACATACAGTCAATTCTGTGAAGCGCTTTGAGGCGTCTCGAACACACAATAAGGCGCTATATCAAACGCAAGGATTATTATTATTATAATATAAATGCAAGTTGTTGTTCTTGTCGTAGCGAAGACAGAAAGATTATCACTGTTATATCAATGCAATGTGTGGCTATTCTTGTAGCGACACAGAAAGATTATCATTATTTATGTTAATATTATATCAATGCGATGTATTGTTGCTGTTATTGTTGTAGTCTCTCTCTCTCTCTCTCACACACACACAGTGAGATAGAGCGACACGTAGACACACAGTGAACGACACAGAGAAGGGGCACAAACAGTCAGGCCTTCCCCCCCCCCCCCCCCTCTGTCTCTCCCCACCCCCCTCTCTCTCTACCCCCCTCTGTCTCTCCCTCCCACCTCCCCTCTCTCTACCCCCCCCCCCCCTCTCTCTACCCCCCCCCCCTCTCTCTCTACCCCCCCTCTCTCTCTACCCCCCTCTCTCTCTCTACCTCTCCCCCTCCCTCTCCCCCCCCTCTCTCTCTCTACCCCCCCTCTCTCTACCTCCCCCCCTCCCTCTCTACCCCCCCCCTTCTCTCTCTCTCCCCCTGTTTCTCTCCCCTCCCTCCCTCCCTCTCCCCCTCCCGGACCTACCTGTGTGGGCATAGGACACGGGCACTTTCCAGATGCTGACGTGGGCCGACACGGAGGCGAAGTACTTGCCGAAGGCGAGCGGGAGGATGACGCGGAGAAAGTACTGAGGCGGCAGCTCTCCGGCCGAGGGGATGTTCCAGGCGCGGGTCAGCGGCGGCATGAAGGTGCAGATGGACAGGATGTGGAAGAGCGACACGGTGACGGGGTAGGGGAAGCTGTTGAGGATGACCTTGTTGACCACGTTGCCGCCGGAGCTGACCGTGTACCAGCACAGGCAGAGGATGCCCACCCGCGCCCCGTCCCGCACCAGCGACGGCCGCCGCTCCGCCATCTTGTGTCTGGCGGCGCCACCGCGCAGGCGCAGGCGCCGGCGCCTCGTCACCGCCCAGCCAGCTCGTCAATATTCACGGCGTCACGCCTCATTAATATTCACGTCGTCACGCCTCGTTATTCACGACGTCACGCCTCGTCAATATTCACGACGTCACGCCTCGTTAATATTCACGACGTCACGCTTCATTAATACGTCATCCCGCCCGGTCAGTACTCACGTCGTCGCGCCTCCTTAGTACTCACGTCGTCGCGCCTCGTTAGTACTCACGTCGTCGCGCCTCGTTAGTACTCACGTCGTCGCGCCTCGTTAGTACTCACGTCGTCGCGCCTCGTTAGTACTCACGTCGTCGCGCCTCCTTAGCACTCACGTCGTCCCGCCTCGTTAGTACTCACGTCGTCCCGCCTCGTTAGTACTCACGTCGTCACAGCCAGCCCAATACAATAACAATCCTTGCATTTGATACAGCGACTCATCACGTCTTCGAGGCGTCTCAAAGCGCTTCACAGGGTACGCGGTCGTGTGAATTGACTGTATATATTCTGTGGGTCAAACGCGGCAGCCAATTGCGCACGGCAGCGACCCCACAAACAGCCGTGAATTGAAGTGACCCAAATTATTATTATTATTTTTTTGAAGGAATTGACAGCCGGGGTTCCTACTAACTGCGAAGTAAACACAGGCGTGTGCAGTAAGGAAACTTGCCTAACGTTTCGCCCCGTCCGGGAATAAAACCCAGGACCCTTCGCTTGCGAGGCGATTGCCCTAACCACTAAGCTACAGGGTTCCTCAGCCAATGTTCATATCACCACAACCATTCCATTCACATAAACACTACTCAGAATCTGTGACCATAAGACAGCTCATTAATATTTATATACATTCAAATAATCCCCCACAAAATACGGTCAATTCACTTTACGATATACCTGTGAAAGCGCTTTGAGACATCTCAACGAAGTGATATCAAATGCAAGGATTATGTATACATATATATCACTCATTATTAATGAGCTATAGTCATATGAATAAACTTTCTTATGGCTCATGTCAGCTTGTCATCTTCGGATGAGACATTAAACCAAGGTCCTGTCTGCCTGTTCAGGTGGACGTTCAAGATCCTTTGGCAGGGTTCGTAAACCAAAAGGAGTTTCTCCCAGTGTCCTGGCCAACAATTCCCAAATAAAATTGGTCAGGCTGACACCAATATTCATATAACCAACGTATTAACATTCAGATGAGCGATAGCCTAATTCATAAGCAAAACCACCTCGTTAATATTTTATATTCGTTTCAATCTATTATTTATACACCCAGTGCCTGCTCACTTAAGATGCGGACACTGCCTACAAAATACTTAGTTGTTATACTTTATGGTAAAATTCTGCACCTTGGGACATCTTCCCGATGTGAAAGGCGTTATACAAATGTAATTTGTTGTTGTTGAGACATCCTGTCAATGTGAACAACAACAAATTTACATTTATGGAGCGCCTTTCACGTCGGGAGGACGTCCCAAGGCACTGGACAGTCAGGGATCAGGACCCGAGCATGGAGAAGGGGTGGGGTAGGGGTGAGGGAAGGCACAGAGGTGGGAGGGCGACCGAAGGCATGATCGAAGAGGAGGCTCTTGAGACTGGCCTTGAAGGAGGCAAGGGAGGAAGCGAGGCGAAGGGTCTGTGGGGGCAGAAAGGCTGAAAGACCGGCCACCGATGGTAGGGTGGGTCGGGCGGGAGACACGGAGCAGGTCAGAGCCCACTGAACGGAGGGAGCGGGCAGGTTGGTAGGGAATCAGCAGGTCAGAGAGGTAGGAGGGGGAAGGCCATGGAGGGCCTTGAAAGTGACAAGAATCTTGAATTTCTTGAATCTCTCTTTTCATACTAACATTTACTAACATTTATGTAGTTTTTGGCTTCTTCATTTCGCTCATTAAGAACCTTGTGGACAGAGCACTCTCCATACTCATCATTAACAATAAAGATGCAGTTATCACTCCTACCCAACTGAACTCATTAACCAGACCTTGCCAACACCAAACTCATTAAAAAGAATTACTGTTCTAGTGAACATTTTCATTCATGCCTCATGTCTCTGAATGCATTTAAGAAACCTGTCAAAGGGATGAAGTCACAAGGTCTTGCAAATATAATTTGGGATCTTTAAATCATATTAAGCAGTGGCAGAAATTATCTTCTGTTTAAAGAATAGCCTAATCTCATTAAAATTTGCTCTTGGGTCATGATCTTCCAGAGTTTGCTTCATTCTCTTTGAAAAGAGAAGGGAGTTTCTCCCAGTATCCCAGCCAACAACTCATCCAGGTAAAATTGGTCACTCACTCCGTGACGCTTGTGGGACATTGCCTTGTGCAAATATGCTGCCGTGTTCTCCCACAACATACAATCACTCCACTTTGCAGTATATCCTGTGAAGCACTTTGAGACGTCTCAACATAATAAGGCGCTATATCAAATGCAAGGATTATTATATTTAGGTAGCATTACTCTGTCACAATAAGTGGAATTTAAGCATTTTCCAAAATAATCATATTCAATCAAAATTAAAAATAATTAAGGAGAAAGATTGATGTTGCAATGGACAGATAATAGGGAAGAACAAGACAAAAATCAAATGGGCCATAGGAGCTTTTTCTACTTGAACGGCTCGAGATAGAGTCCTGTAGCATATTGATTAGCACGCTTGCCTCGCAAGACAGGCAACCAGGTTTGATTCAGGGCAAAACGTTAAGTAAGTTTCTTATTCCACACTCCTGTGTTTACCTAGCATTAAGTAGGAACCTGGTTGTAAGTTGATTGGCGGATCGCTTTCCGGGGTTAAGAATCTCAAAAAAAAATCACTCAATCCACAACTGTCGTGGGCCACTGCCGTGTGCAATTGACTGCCACGATTCGCCCACAAAATATAAATCCACTTTACAATATATTCTGTGAAGCGCTTTGAGATGTCTCACCTACATGATAAGGCACTGTATCAAATGCAAGGATTATTATTATTATTATTATCATAGAATAATTAAGAAGGTGATCAGACATCCGTCTCCACAGAATGTTTGAAAAATATACTGATGACTCTCCTGGACAGTTCTTGTGCACCATCTAGTGCAGGAGCATGGAACACCATTGTCACTGGCTGAGACGTTACTCTGTGCCCTTCAGGCTGGGAGAAGGAATCATAACATAAAATGAAAAATAATGCTGAATGTACCCCAATGTTTCTAATTTAAATGTGCAGCGCAGACTAAAATACAGTAGATCAATTCTCACTATCCCAATCTTACCCGTCAGTAATTCATTTGATTTGGAAGTACAATATTTGCACCATACAAGTAGGAATTCAATTGGTTGTGGGTTGATGACATACACAATCTCTTGTTGGAAACAACCTACTGACTAACCACAAGGCATAATTTTACACTGGGAAGGACCTTTGCCAACTGAGCTACGATGTCGCTTCCAGTCTTAAATCTGGATTGTGCCGATTATCGCACTGGTTTCATTATATCTGGGTGGTGTAACTCAGTTACAATAAATGGAATTTAAAACATTTTCTGCTCAAGTTTTTCAGACCAGTCAGTCATCTCTCTTCTCATAAGAACGTAAGAATTAGGAGCAGGACTAGGCCATTCGGCCCCTCGAGCCTGCCCCGCCATTCGATAAGATCATGGCTGATCTTCTGACCTAACTCTAATTACCTGCCCTACCCCCGTATCCCCTAATCCCTCTATATTTTAAAAACCTATCAGTCTCAGCCTTTATCCCCAACCATTACAATTTCTACAAAGTGTTCAACACTTTACCCTGCATGAAAGGTGCTGGATAAAAATGCAAGACGTTGGTATCTTTACTGGAAGAGCCCTCCAGAATTAGCTTCACTTTCTCCAAATATTATAACATTTCACCCACAAAATACTCTTTACAGTATATTTTGGGAAGCACTTTGAGATGTCTTGGAGACTTGATAAGGCACTATATCAAATGCAAGAATTGTTATTATTATTTTTCTTGCATTTCTGGGTTTTTGTCATTCCACAAAATGTAATATCTCTGTTACTCTTGTCCCGCTCGAAAGCTGCAATAAATATGGAAGAACGCACCAAATAAAAAGGACAGAAACACACAAGGGGATTCATCTTTGTAAGTGATTTGCTGGTATCAAGTGGCTTCACTAATTTAGAATGGTGGAGTGCGAGGAGGCTGAATAGTCACAGTTGAACATACAGTAACTGAAACAAACCTGGTCTAATAATAATACTTGCATTTGACATTGCTCTTTTCATGTCTTCCAGACATCTCAAAGCGCTTCACAGAATAGACTGTAAAGTGAATTGACTGTATATTTGTGGGCGAAATCCAGCAGCCAATTGCGTACAGCAGCGTCCCACAAACAGTCATGGATTGAGTGACCAATTTATTTTTTTCTTGAGGGATTATTATAAGTCGTGTGGAGTAAGGAAACTTGTCCAAGGTTTTACCCTGACGGGAATCAAACCCAGGTCTCTCACTTGTGAGGCGAGCACTCTAACCACTGAGCTACAGGATTCATAATAGCCATCTTAAATGAGAGATTGCACAAGAAAGAAACTTGGAAGTAAAAAAAAGAAACCAAGTGGAAACAGAATAGTGAGAATCTTATACTAAAAGGTTATAGAAATTAGCATTAATTGTAGGAGCAACTTATATTTTACCAAGGTGGTCTATGAGAATTCACTAATTTAACAGGTTCACAAATGAGGGAAGCGGAATTATTTTGGCAAAAAAAACAATAGCCAGGATTGACTTCTAAAGCTGGTCAGTCATGGAATCTGTGGAGTGAAAATGCATCAGATCATAACACTTAGCTCCAGCATTTAAGAAATCATTAAATTTAAAAAGCATAGGGTGATGTACAAATACTTGAAAACATTTATCCTTTTTCGTCGTATTTTACCACCACCTTAAGGCAGTGACTCACAGACTGGAGACCCGTTCCACGAATCATTCAGCCATCTGGTATCTTGCCTAAGTGCCACTCGCGTGTGATCCTTAACAGTAACTGCTGATGGGTTATTCAATCATTGCATCATCTCAACAGTCGATTCTATCCTCACCCAATGTCTACACCTGTGCAATACCTAGTAGATATCTTATCAAAAGGCGGTTTCCTCTCTCTCAATCTCTCATTTTCTTTCCTACAGGCATTAAGGCCAAATTAGAAATGTGGTTACACTAGCTGGTTAGGGAGGCAGAATGAACTGCATTCAGCAATGTTCAACCTGTGCACTCAGAGCAATGATGAAAAGTGACAAAACTGAACTCCAGATTTCACACAAGCAAGTATCGTTGCTAAATGTTTTTTTTTCCAACAAAGATAAAGAGAATCCCATTTTTTTGTGCAAATTTTTTTTATTGTTTCCACATTTATATCACAACGTGTCCACTTAAAAGGACCAAATAGCAAAGTCATTCCTTCTGCATTGTGAAAAACACAGAAGACTAATTCTGTACATTCACTAAGGCTTCTTGTTTTTGCAGTTGTGTTATGATGGATATCCATAAGGCAAACAATATCTAAAGGAATGGTAACAAGTATATCTCCAGCATACAAACAGATTCCTTTTTTTTTTAAATCTTTTTTTTAAATGTTTTAATCAACTTCTCACAGTACAAAGTTGCAAACTAGTAGCACCCTCTGTTTTTTGTTTAATTTTCCATTTTGGGATGTGGAAAGCTGAGAACGCTTTGCGGGAGATCAAAGTAGAAGAGGAGAGTGAAGAAGCGAGGGGGGAAAAAAATTAAAACAGATGCTTGGATTTCGGGTTGCCGATGAGGAAAAGAATAAAAACACGTTACCCAATTTCTCAGACTCTCTAAAAATAGATTTTTTTTTAAACTTAGATCGTGAAGACCCAAGGCTTGCTCCCCTCCTCCCCCCCATTAAACAAGACAATAACTCCTGCCATGTGGACAGGACCTATGGAATGTTTGGTATGATGTTGTACGATGCAAACCTCACGGCCCAACATGATGTTTCGTATTTTAAAAAACTGCCCCCCCCAAAAAAAACAAGAAAAAGAGAGGATGCGTGATGTAAAATAAAATATAGAAATCTACAGTTTTTGCACATTTGTCTCAGACATCTCTCACTGCCAAATGAATATTTTTTTATTTAAAAAAAGAGAAATCAAATCAAATAAATAGATGCATACTTCTTAAGGTAACATTATTCATTTTTGTTTAGATGCCACATAAAGCTCCTGTACCTGCCCAAAGACCGCCTCCAGCCTAATGTAAAGTGCTGGAACTTGTCATTTGCCTCTATTCTCTCCTACAGACAAACCGCTTCACACCTTGGCCAGTCGACCCACTGGTTAAGACTTGCCCTAATCCGAAAGGGGTGTGTGTGTGAGAAAGAAGTTGTTTTTACAGAACCAACCACCCCTCCATTTTCCTTTACTGCCTTCGCCCGCGTTCCTTTTCCCTCCTTCGCAATTTTGGTTAAAACACTGATAGCAGCAAACTGCAGAAGAGAGGGGTGGATGGGGGGGGTGTGGGGGCTTACACAGATGGGCTGAGAAACAGAACCCTTCAAAACCTTTACCTGTGTCCCAGAGGCTTTTGCTCGTTTCCAATAAGTGGGAGCCACGTGTCGGCTGCCAGCTCTGACCTGTAAGTAACCTCAAAAGCACGCCAAAATGGATGCCGGCACTCAGTCTAGACATACGTACGGCAGTATGTGCAGTTTGCCCTGATCACCATGTGGATCCAACGATATACACTGCGTCCAATCATACCATTTGCCCTGGCTGTCAGCGCAACCGTTAACACCCGCCCAGTGCTGTTGATGTATTCGGTGAATGTCTGAATTCTTGACCTCTCGACTGACCCCAGGTAGTTCTGAAGGGGTGTCAGTAGGTACTAATACATGGACCTCGCGGGGCTCTGTGTTAGTGCTATACCTGTGGCTCTCGTGCTGAAGAAACTCCACGATGTGTCCTCCTGGAGGCTGTACTCCCGAGGACGACAGGAGGCAGCTCTGCCGCGTTAAGTAGGACTGGATGATTTCATTTTTGGACAGCTCCTTCCAGTTTGTTTGATCAAAAGTACTTTGTAAGTTTACCCTCTGTTCCTGCACTGTTACTTCAGGGGTCCGGTGAGGCTCAGGGGGTGGAGCGGGGCTTTCAGCCTGAGATGAATCCTTGTGGGTTAATGGTTTGATTTGCCCGGTTACAGGGTCAAAAGTAATCCTGCGCTCTTTCAATCGCACGGGCTTTACGCTTTCGTCCAAAACTTGTCCGTCTAAATTCACCTGATAATCTCGCGATCTGTACTTTTTCTTGGAGGAGGACTTTCTGCTGTCGGAGCCGTACGAGGCACTCTCAGCGGGCGACGACAGCTCGCCTTTCGCTGCCTCCGTCTCGTGGGTGAGGGGCAGGGAATCCCCCCCACGGTGCGACCCGCCCAACTCGGGGCTGTGGGGGAGATACGTCGACGCCTCCGGCTGTAGTGTTGATGCTGGATGGTGCTGCTGCGGTTGGCTTTCACTCGGGGTCTCGGAAGAGTGTCCCAGCCGGTGTGAGGGGCTCTCCGTTGCTGGCGGTGTCCCTGGCCGGTGATGTCTCTTTACTGGAGGCGGAGGAGGCGTTGTCGCGGGCTGCAACACAGGCAGGGGTGACGGCACCTGTACAGTGTCCCTAGAGAGATTTGAGACAGTCCTGTCTGAATCCGGAGCTGCCTGTGCGGACGTCCCTGTAAAACTCTGAGAAGGGCTTGATACAGAGGTCTTGGGTGCATATGTTGTCGAGGGTTTCCCCAATCGCTCCTGTTTAAGAGTCCTGGGACTGAACGACTGACAGCGGGGGATACTGGGGCGGTAACGGCCACCGGATTCATCCGTTTTCCCATGCTGCTGTGGGACCGTGGTCTTTAACAATGAGGAAGTGCTTGGGCTTCTGACGAGCCCTGGAGAACTGGTGTGAGGTTTCACAGCGTTGACTGGGATTTTATTCTGCTTGTCGTTTTCATATGGTGCCTGGGTCTCCGGCCTGCCCTTGGCCGGGACTGCGTGGGTGTTGACGGAGGCCACTTCCGCAGGACATGAGAAGCTTTCCGGACTGCCGCGAATCCCGTTGGAGGGCGGGGGCGTGGAGTTGGGTAACTGCTCATTGTTGGCCTTTGGGATCTTGGCTGCCGGTCCCTTCACCCCATCCCGATGCTCGCCTTTCCGTTTCCGGTTGCTCGGCTTGTCGCCGAGTGGGGAGTAGGAATTGTGCAGCACGTCGTTCTTGTTCTTGAGGTCGGGGACGGGCTTGGTGCCCCCCACCGCAGGGCCGCCGGACAGCGACGACAAGTCGTGCTTGTAGGCGTGAGCCCCGCCGTTGGCCGAGCCCGGAGAGTTGGGCAACCCCCTGGACACGGAATCGATCTGGCCAACGGGCTCAAGCAGCTTCTGCCAGCTCCGCAGCAGTTTCTTGGCGCGCTTGGCAAGCTCCTCGTTCTTGGTTTTCTTCCGTACATCGTTGATGAGCTTCCCCAGCCGCGTTTCCTAGAGAAGCAGAGAACCCAACATCAACCCGGATGAATTACAACTTCCATTTTGGCTTTGATAAGACTGCGAACATTTAACAATAATAATTCTTGCGTTTGATACAGCGCCTTATGGCATCCTCAAGACGTCTCAAAATGCTTCACAGAATATACTGTGATGTGAAGTGACTGTATATTTTCTGGGCGAAACGCAGCAGCCAATTACGCACCAATCTCACCACTCTGAACACATTTACCTCTGACTCATATTTCTACCTCCTTTCCTCCGATATGGTTCCATATTACCATTCCAAATGATCATTCTTCATGTGTAAGCTATTGATAGTGAATCTTGGCAGTTTGTTTAGCTTGTGGGGGGGGTGTGGGGGGGAGGAGAAGAAGAGGAGAAAGAGTCTCTGAATTCACTTAATGTCCACATTTGCACCTTTGAGCAAAGGACTCTAAACCGTGGGAACCCAGGCTGATTTTCCCTTTCCTTTTCTTGAGGCCACTTTAATTTCCCTACTGCTGCCCTAGCTGAAATCAGCAAGCACTAGAGAGAAAGGCCAGCCCAACCATTGAAAGGATCTACTGAAAATGCTGGTATCTGACAAGAGGCGCACCGAGATGCTACCCCGTGTGAAGGGAGCTATAATAAATGCAAGTCGTTGGTGTAAGTGTGTGCAATCTCTCCTCCCCGTGTCCCTAATTCATTCCCCCCTCTCCCGCGACTAAGTGCTGTATTTCAGAACCAGTTACCTCAAGGGCCTCTTTGGTAATGGGATACTTCTCCAAGCTGGAGATCACCTCCAGCACCGCCACCATGTTACGGATCTGGAAGACAAAGAACAGCGGAGTGCGTTAGAAACCAAACCATTCGCTCTCTCTCTGTACTAGCTAAACAGTACTAGGCATTACAGCTTTACTGAATGCAGAGCTGTTGTGTAGCAGTCCTGAGGTTTAACACAATTCAGTTTATGTGTAACATGATGTCATCCAGCAAAGTGTTCTGTGTGTCAGATGTGAGGTTTGGAATAGCTCAATGCCATTCTCTTAAGCAGCCCAACTACAAGTGTGCTGGGGCCTTTGTGCAGCAAAATTGGCAGCCACTGTGCATAGAATACGTGACAACAAACAGCCAGAAGGTGTTTATATACAGAACTGAGCAGAGTTGTGATTATATTGCTGCTTTGGTCAAATGGCAGCCTCATCCAGCTGTTTTCATACTATGAAAGTCTACTGTCTAACAAGAGAGGGGAGTTTTATCCAGGGCCCTGGCCAACAGTCCTGTGGCCACTCACTTCATAATAATAACCCTTGCATTTGATATAGCGCCTTACCACGTCTTTGAGACGTCTCACAGAATATACTGTAATGTGAATTGACTATTTTGTGGGCGAAACTTCATGGTTGTTTGTGGGACATTGCTGAATACAAATTCTGTTGTTTAAAAAAACTCATAACACTATCGTAAATCTTGTGAGGTGCTTCAAGATATCTCAACAGCATGATAAGGAGCTACATCAAATGCAATACAACACAAAATTACATTTGTAAAGCATCTTTCACATCTCAAGGCGCTGAACAGTTAGGGATTAGGACCCAAGCGGGGGTGGGGGGGGGGGGGGAGTTTGGGATCAGGGAGGGTAGAGAACAGAGAGGGAGGGTGGCTGAAGGCACGGTCAAAGAGGAAGGTTTTGAGGCATGTCTCGAAGGAGACAAGGGAGGGAGCAAGGCGAATGGAACGGGGATGGAGTTCCAGAGGGTGGGGGCAGAGAGCCTGTAGGCCCGACCACTGATTGTGGGGTGGGCCGGGTGATGGACATGAAGCAGGCTGAGTGGAGTGAGTGGACAGATTGATAAACGGTTAGCAGGTCGGAGAGGGCAAGGCCTTGAAGGTGACTATATCATTTATATCTTAAATTGAGGAGTGGTAATAAAGTGTTTCAATTGGTATTGGTGCCTTAGGTTAAGAAGGGAAAAACTTTATTCTGTTAGATCTCTATTAAATGGCAACTCCTTGGGGATGTCAATTAGACAAGATTGTACTTAGGAGCAATGCCCCACAACATACTCACACATGAAGAATGACATGAGAAAAGCACAAGTCGCAACACCCTATAAGGTTACCCACCACATCACCAACTTCAGTAAAAACAGCACCACTAGGGGCCTTGGATTTTCCAGGGCAGTAAGTCTGATCTGTATAAATCGTATAATCGTCCAAGTCATACATCTGCCCAAGTCCTGTTCAACAGTTTATAATTTATGTACAATTGACATAACTCATACTTGGCATAACTCATATTAAATGTATGGTGCCAACTGTTACAATTTATGTGAGCTTTACTGTATTATATCAGCTCAGGAATATGCAGGCTTCAAGAAGACTCACATCCTTCTCATAAGAGAAGGTCCCGGGATCCATTATTGTGAAGCGCTCTGAGATGCCGTCTGGCGTGGAGGGCGCTATATAAATCCAAGTTGTTTTTGTTGTTCTTATCCATCTTTAAATTAGACATAGACAATCCCAGCAGATTAGTTCCTCAACACATGCACCTTTTGCCTTCCCATTAAAAAAAACATGCTTAAAGGAAAAGAGTTTTCTACTGAACAGTCGAAAACATAACCTGAATTGAGGCATCAGTGAACCCCTAGGTGAACATGGTTGTTCCCAATGTGGGAATATTATCAGCCGACCTGCCTCTGATGTGCAGTCCAGTGGCTCATTAAACTACAGCTAAGGTAGACAGGTGTTCAACATAAAACACCTACTTCGTCTATTACTAATAAGCATAATATATAAATGATATAAGCATTAAACATCTTACAAAGTTCAAGGACCGATTACTCTTTTTTCATAAAACATCAGGGATTGTACCAATCAGAACACATTAAAGTGCCTACTTGGTCTATTGCTAACCAGCATGTTTAAGCATTAAACATTTTACAAGGTTCAAGGTCAGACTTTTTTTTAACATAAAACATTAAGGATTATGCCAATCAGAACAAATTTTCCTGCAAAAGTCCAGGCCTGTCTGCTCGGGTCCAAATCCCAGATTGTCCAGCGCCTTGAGACGTCCTCCCGATGTGAAAGGCGCGATAGAAATGTAATTTGTTGTTGCTGTGTCCCAAAACTGCATTCCTATCAGCATTTGCACAAAATCTGTGGTTCCAGAGTATCCAGTCTACTGGGACCAATATACTTTGGGTGAAATTGCACTTACACCAATACTGTACACTTGGGTGATTTCCTGAATTCATTTCTAATTGTTCCCACCACAACACTCACCAGTGAGAAACCCTTGACCACCTGTAGTTCAAGTAGCCTTAGGATGAAAAATGCACTTCACTGATATCCTAGTGATAATAATCCTTGCATTCGATATAGTGCCTTATCGCGTCTTCCAGGCGTCTCAAAGTGCTTCACATAAAGTGAACTGACTGTATATTTTGTGGGCGAAATTAAATATTGAATATATAGCCATAAACTAAGAAAACATTTCAACTGTTCAACACTCGACTCAAGTCAACCTGCCTGTCGTGCACATTTACTGAAAGCCTTCAGAGGGCTCTGCATTCAACATTTTGAACCATGCAACTGTGTCTACCAGATGTCTGCTGAACTCAGTGTAGAAATGCCATGACATATTTAGGTTTATTCCAGTAGAAATAAAATAAATGATAGAATTCTGAGATAAACGGGAAATGTGACAGAACCACCTGAACTGCATCTAAGAGAAAGATGGGCTAACATGTTGAATTTGATCCTTCAATATTTGGGTCAGAAATGTTATTCTTACCCAAAAACAAAGAAAACCCCAAAAAGATATGCTAGAAAAGTCATCCCTGCAGACTTGGTTTAAAAGCAAGATGGAAGAACTCTAGATTGTTTTTTAAATAATAAGATGATCACTTCTGGTCAATACTAGATTTAATAATAATAATCTTTGCATTTGACGTAGTGCCTTATCATGTCTTTGAGACATCTTAAAGTGCTTCAGAATATACTGTAAAGTGAACTGAGTGTATATTTTGAGGGCGAAATGAGTGATGGCTTCATTCCACCTCCCCCCTCATTTATTTTATCTGCAAGATATAAATACATTTCAACGCCAAGGTTTTCTACTAAATGAACACAGCATTAATGGTTGTGGAGCAATTATTCGCAGCTGTATGTCACGACTGGTATAAAGATACTATAAACTCAAAAAGCAGGAGTATTATTTGAATACAGCAGGTTTTTACAGTAAAGGAATAGTCCTTGAAGCCCACAAGAGCACATGAAGTACTCTTCAATGTGGGGCCCATGTACAATGCAATAATTGTCCACTATAATATCTACAGAATGTTTTTGGGGAGAGTGCAGTTATGAGAATTAATTACGAAAATACAAAATAATACAAAATTACATTTGTAAAGCGCCTTTCACATCGGGGGGGGGGACGTCCCAATTATGGATTTTAATGAATTTAGTGTTCAAAAGGGAGCTTTGTAGGTTAACGGCGATCTTGTATTCTGGTGGAAATAGTTTTGAGTGAAATTTCAGCCAACAACAATTAGGGTAAACACTGTTAACTCAATTGGCTGCCTACAAAATATACAGTCAATTCACTTTTCTGTATATTCTATGAAGCACTTTGATACATCTCAAAGACGTGATAAGGCACTATATGAAATGCAAGGATTATTATTATATGGCTGCAATTTCTTTGCAGTGAATAACTTGCTCTAATGTGGGTTACAGATACAGTGCATAGCACGGCCATCTGCCTTAACCAAAACTAAAATTACAGTTTATCAATCTCGGGCGCGTGTATACAGAATTCACTGATGTATTCTAATAGCATTTCTGCCCAGAGTCGAGCATTGGTCAAGATATCCCGTTCTCTGCCTATCTGCAATGTGCCCAATAGAGTTCATTCTCAATAAGGCCACATGAGAGGATTGTTTGAGCTTGGGACGTTCACCTTTGTCTCACAGCCTTCAAAGTCATCAATGCGATGCGAGTCAGTGGAACAGAACCAAAAATATTTCCATTCGTCTAAATAACTTTTTGATATAGTATAGAACAGACCTGTGCGAGTCCAATTACTGAGTATCTGGGGTCGCATAGTTTGAGAGTGAATCATACTCATCTGCTAGAATGTGCACCTTGAAATAGATTTAACGAGATATTAAACAGAACGTGCACAGGAACTGAAAAGATGAAACAGCAAAGTATTAAGGTTTTTCCACCATTCGCAATACCTTTCAGCATCAAGCACGATTAAGATTAGATTTGCAGTTCAGGTAAAAATGTCACAACACCGCCTTACAATACAACTCTCACTACATATTGAAACATTTTGAATACAGGATATTCTCTTAATAATTTCCCTTCCTGTCTCAACACGGTCGAACGTGGTGTTCCTTGAAGCTCTAATTTCGGTACTCTCTTAGTTTGTCTACAAGCTTCACCTCAAGTGAAAGCGAGAGTCAGGGGCAAGAACGCCGTGAAGCTGAGTCAGGTTTTAGTTTCAAGTCCCATGTCACAACGTTGAGCTCGATCTAGACTAACATTCCAATGCATCGCTGTGGGGGTCCTAAAATTATCAGAGGTCCCGTCCTTGGGATGACATGTTAAAATTGAAGCCCCATCTGCCTGTTGAGGAGGGCAATAAATATCCCATGAAACTATTCAAAAAGAGAAAGCAGTTTCTTCCAGTGTCCAGGGCAATAATTCCCCCAGATAACACTGGTCAATCACTTCAAGGCTGCTTGCAGTCAGATGACGTGTTCATCTAGAAATAGTCACTATAGCACTTCACAGAAACTGTGTGAAGCACTTTGGA